CAGCCACAACGCCGGACGCAAGGCCAGTCGCGCCACCACAGAGCATCGCAGTGCCCGACCACAAGGTCGCGCCCGCCACTTGGAGCGTCGCGGCAACGCCACCGGCAGCATGAATAGTCCCGACGCCCGAGACGACCGTGCCGAAGTACGACATGGCCGTGGGCACTGCGGCGGCGGCAGCGGACGAGGCGAGAAGCGGCGCCGTGACGCCAACGGCCGTCCCGACTGCGCCGGCAATCAGCAAGTTCTTCGTCGTTGGATCCATCTTTTGAAATGAAGTCGTCGTAAACTTGGCGGACCAGAACCGGAACTCGAAATTATCAAGTTTTAAAGAATGGAAGAAGACAAATGCGCTGGCTTTCGTTCGACTGAGGGATTTGATTGGTACGAAGTATGTATTTCCAGAGGTTAAACATTGCCGTCTTGACATCGAACTGCTGTTGACAAGATTGCCATTGACAGTATTGAGCAAATTTGCTCCAGTAAATGCTATCAATCACGTTGGGCAGGAGTATTGAATAGACGTAAAGTATCAAGTGGAACTCTTACACGGAGATCATTTTCAAAAGTCCGCCGACGAAGCCCGCACCGACACCGGTCGCATCGCCGTAGACGGCAGCGGAGCTCGACCACAAGGCGGCGCTGGCTGCTTGAATCTTCGTAGCGACGCCCGTTGCGCTATGGATCGTTCCGACACCGGCGACAACGGTGCCAAAGGCGAACATGGCTGTGGGCACGCCGGCAGCTGCGCCTGTTGATAGAAGAAGCGGCGTCGTGAGGCTGAGAGCGCCGCCAGCGACAACCCGAACAGTCATCGTTGCCATCTCAGAAAACAGAGTATGCGGTGTAGTGCTCTACTTGGCACTCGTATCTGCGCCACAGTGGTTGCGCATAGCATTTGAGAATGCACGCCACCAGCTCGTCATGCTTGTACATGGACTCGGCCGATCGCCATTAATTGCAGTCGGGTGGCTTTGATGCAGGCTTTCACTGCTGATGGATGATGCACTTCTTCGTCGCTGGCTCGTTGACCTTGGCGCCAACCGCGACGCTTCGATGAAAGATCGCACTGTTTTATACACCATGTCCTTATGTTTAAAACACATTGGAAAGGCCAGGATCGCATGGACGATCTAAATGCCATGTCGCTCGAGGTCTTCCAGTACCTCGGCGCGCACGCTGCAGTCTCGAACCTCGAGCTCAAGCCGATGCCGGGTGTCGCCATGCACAACATCAGCCTCTGGAACCAAGTACTGCGATTATGCTTATGCTTCCTAAAGTTGAACCACCCTAGCGCAACAGCCCCAAGAAGCTACCAGCCGACCTCGTCGCGTTCCTCGCGGCGTCCAACGGCCTCTCGATCAAGTGGCACGCGGTGCTCAACCACAAGTTTTTCGCTCTCGGGCACTTTAGCATCAACTCGCTTCAGAACATGAAGCGCGTCGACGTCACCTTGGGCGACGCGACCCACGGTGCGTCGAACTCGCCGCCTCTCACTTCAGCTCGTCGGTAGCGGGCTACGTCCTCGAGTCGTCGAGTACGATGGGCGAAGTGTGCATGGTGTTTGCCGACGATGGTGAAATATGCTGATTGACTACTACTGTCCTAAGTCATCCTCCAGCGACGGTAGAGGTGTGGCTCAAAGACCTCACGGACCAGTGGCACTTTTTGGCAAAAACCTTCTCCGACTACTACCGCCTCATGTACACGACCCTCATCCGAAATTGTGGACATCAAATGGTGTAGGATCGTGCACTTGGGTCTCGTGGGGTGGCAGCTGCTCTTCACGCCCAACGGCCTCGACCCCGTCACGCTCGTACGCTTCAAATTTGTCTCGTTCTAACCCCCGATGCTGCGGTAGCAATGGTTTCACTTGTTTGTGCCGGGACGCATGCAAGCGCGCCCGACGGACAAGAACGACGCGACGTCCGGGGACACCAAGGTCACGCTGCTGCCCTTCACGCTCTAAGTCACGAGGAAGTATCACTTGACCACTTCAGCGATCGAGGAAGACGCTGTATCTCGTTGCGACTGCTTTCACCGTCAATGACTATGGGTGCGATGGCATCTCAGAACGACTTCGTGCATTGACAGTGTTAACCAAGCGCGGTCAAGAGAGTGGGAAGCAGAGAGCTTGGGTGTCGCATTATTGAACTACGACTCCACGGGCGTCCAGGCACCCGCAAAGACACCAGACACGGCGCCTACCGCCCCACCGTAGAGCAGCGCGCTGCTCGAGCCCAAAGCGACACTGGTGGCTTGCAGCGTGGCTGCGATACCACCCGCAGCATGAAGCGTGCCGACGCCCGAGACAACCGTGCCAAAGTACGACATGGCGGCGGGGACTGCGGCCGCAGCGCCCATGGACGCAAAGAGCGGCGCCGCAACACCGAGCGCACCGCCTCCAATGATCAAGAACAACGCCATTTTCAAACCAAATTTCAAAGTGAGCAAGCCCGTTCGCTTGCGCAAGTGGGGCGAGCGACAATACAAGAATTCTGTGGCCCTGTCAAGGCCAAATGCCACGTCCTTTCCCATCCATCAACCGAAAGAATGTGGTTCAGCTAGCTCAAGATTCAAACACCAAGCGCAGCTGACTATGTTCGAGCCAACACGTTGGCGGAGTTGCAGCTCATCCATGGGAGGTGGCGCACTGGCCTGGGACAGGGAGATAAGCAGGAGTGCTAGACAAATGCAAAATGCCAGGGACGGTAAACGATCTGCTGGGTGGCGCCAACGTCAGCGATGCGATAGAACGCCCATGGAAGAGGGTGGATGGGACAGCATGCGTCGAGCAAACACAAACCTCTGAAAACCAGCGTCAACTGAATTGAAGTAGGAGCGACACGAGCTACACCAGTATCGCCGTCCCGACGGCACCCAATGCCCCGCCCACCGAGCCACCGACGGCGGCGGCGCTGGCCGACCACAAGGCAGCGCTGCCGGCTTGGAGCGTGGCGGCGACACCGCCCGCAGCATGAAGCGTGCCAACACCCGAGACAACCGTGCCAAATGTCGACATGGCCCACGGCACCGCAGCGGCAGCGCCCACCGAAAGAAGCAGCGGCGCCGCGACCCCCGCCGCACCCCACCCCGCAATCGCATACAACGTCAACAAGCCCATTTGAACACTGTCTCCATCGCAGTCGCGGCGTATGTTGTCCGGACCCATCTAGGATCTGCGAGCCTTGAGGCAAGACGTCATTTCTTGTTCCGGCGGTTCTCGGCACGGCTCTCTGCTTTTGTCGGATGGCTATGGACAAAGAACCGAGTGTGTTCACGCTATAATGCATCGGCGGTCGACGGCTCGAGGTAAAAGATCGTCGGGTCCTTGTACGTAAGCTTGGTGTAGTCGTCCAATGTCACCAAGCACGCTTTGCGCTTGATCATGTCGGGCTCGATCGAAAACACTTTGCGAACGCAGACAAGCCCTTGGGTTTGGTCGCGCGTGCTATATACAATCTCAGTGTAAATTCTCTGAAAATATTTGGCAAAAAGACGCAAGCATACCGTTTGTACAGCTGCACTTTGATGGCAATCGCGTCGTCGGCGTCATATTCGATGCGCATCACTTGGCAAACTTGGTAGCGTAAGTGGTGCGTCTTGGCCGACGCGGTCGTGTCGACGAGAAGCATTTCACCGACAGCAATTTTGGTTTTCCTACAAAAAATACGATAAAACTACGATCCCACTCTGATTGTCGCACTTTTCATTCGGAAGACTCACTTCCATGGCTTTGGACACGAGCTTGCCGTCGTTGTTGAAGCGATCGGGGGTAAAATGGGCGTGCTCGAACTCAACGACGCGCTACACATCTCAATTGAGCACAGGTTGAAGCAGCATGTACGACCTGCAAGATGATGCACTCGTAGATCCACGCAAAGCGGACGACTGGAATGTCATAGTCGTTCGCAATCGAACACAACTACGTCCATAGTATGAGGACGTGATCCTTCGCAGCGGCAATTGAGTACATAAGTCTGCTCGTTGGAGATGAGCACGTCGACTTTGCCGGCCTTGATCGCTGCTTGCTTGACACCCTATGGATACGACGCACTGTAAGATATGGATGTTGAGAGGACGAGAGAAGATGGCGTCGCACCCGAACGACCCCGCGCGCACCACAACCGTCGAGGATGAAGACGGTGGCGTCGGCCAAACCTTGAATACTGTCGCGGTCCTGGAACGAGACGTCGAAGGGGATGCCAAATCGCAGCTTGCTAAAGAGCTTGGACTAGGGACAAAAATATAAAAATTGCTAACACGATCAGTCAAGGGTACGTTGTGTTCCGGCGCCCGCACGGGACTGCGCTTGAGCGTCCACGAGAGACCGGCAGGTATCCAGTACCTACACAACGAAGTGTTCCTAAGCGCAATATGCAATTCGTGCTGCGTACCCCGCAATGTCGACGATCGACTGTGTCTGAAAACACGCCGCAAGCCAATCCGGGTGTACGATCGGGACGCGGCACACGAGTGCATAGTGAAACTTGAGGCGGCGGCTGGCCTCGGGCGTCGCAATGACAAAGCATTTGTCTAGTTGCACGTCCATCAAGCCGAACTTGGTGGATTTGCAACGTACTTTCAAGGTCCAGCATGACTTCGGGCTTGGACTCGACCTTGCCGCCGTACGCGCGAATTTGGTTCTGGAGCTGCTTGGACGCTGGCACCTCGAAACCCGAGATGAAAAAGTGGTACCGCTTGTTGAAGAGCTTGGTGCTACGGGACGGATACGCCCGCTTGGCTTCGTGCACAGGTACGGGCGACGGCGTCGACGTTTTGAATCGTTTTCGCGCCGACTCGGGGGTCGCCACGGATGTTGCGGCCGGCGTCTTCTGCGGTGTCGTCGACGGCGTGGGTGTACTCACCCGTCGCTTGGACGACGGCTGTTTACAAGGCGGCGGTGACACCGACGTCGGCGTCGTTGACGGACGATGCGCTGCTTGCTGAAGCACAGCGTCCACAAAGGTCGGCGGGCGTGGCACCGGCGGTCGCACTCGGTGGTACGGAGAGACGTAGTTGGCGACGTGCAAGCCTGCGTGCAGGGCAGTCGTGGCGATCGCACCGAGGTCTGGCGGACTAAACGGCGTCTCGGGTTGCGACTGCGACGCGTCGTTTAGAAAATCGAATCGGCGCTGGAGCGTCGGCGCGTCCGACGACTGGCTGTCGGCAAAGTCAAACGACTGCGACGCCGGAGACTTCTTGTCCGTCGACACAAACTCGTCTTTGAGCCGCCGAACCAGAAAGAGCTTGGGCTGGGGCGCCGACGCTGGCGAGTACGCATCGCTAAGCGTTGCCTGCACGTCGTCGATCGACTCTTCGACAATGTCGAGCCGCTCGGGATGCGAGTCGGGCGCTGCAGGCGTCGGTGGCACCGAGCTATCGGCGTCGGATTTAGTCGTAGTTGAGCGTAGCGCTGCTTTGCCGGATGTCGTATCTCGGGCTGGCCCAGCCGGCGTCTTGCTGACCAGCACTGAGGCAGGAGCCGAGTCGTACGGGGCGAGTTCCGTGGCCTCCATCTCTTCGTCGTACTCGTCCTCGTCTTCCCGGCCGCCATCGATGTCGAGGTCATGATCGTCATCTCGAGCATCGCCGTCATTTGAAGCGAGTGCAGGCTCTGGAATGAGCGCATTGTGGGCGGGATTTGCCGAGTGGCGTGGTGCCAACGCACCGGGGTCGCCCTGCCACTCGGTCTCATAGTCGTCGTCGTCCTCATCGATGTCATGAACGTCTTCAACCACTTGGGTCGCCTGGACCTCGTCGCCGTCGCTCCACACATACGTGTCCGTGTCCGATGGCGGATCCTCCATGAGCTGCGTCTCGTCCGAGATGTGCGTGACGTCGGTAAGATGCGTGACGTCCGTGAGGTTCGTCGTCTCGGTGAGCTGCGTCGAGTCGGTCAGATGCGTCACGTCCGTCGGCGGCGAGGTCTCGGCAGCTGGAGCGACGGCCACGCACTCCGGTATCGGGGTCATGTACTCGTCGTCGTCCATGGAGTAGGGGATTCCGCTCTCCTCGGCCGTGCCCAGGCGCAGCGGGAAGACATGGAGCTCGGCCTCCTGCGTCATGGGCGGCGCCTCGATGTAGACGTCGGAAGCACTCATGCTCAGGCGCATGCAGCGGTCGTCCTCGTCCTGCGTCGGAAACGTGCTTGGCGGCAAGCGCTCCATCGCCAACTCCCACGCAAAAGCTTCGCGGGTCTTGAACGGAACCAATTTTGACCAATCACAAAGTGCTGTTTTATTTGCGGCATATGCCGAATGAAAACTTGCATACCTGCGAGCCATGGGAAACGACGCGACCATTGTCGCCACGCGACACCACACGTAGGCACGTACGTCTACGCGTTGCAGTTTATGCTTATGCGCACTGGCTCCGCTGTGTTTTCCATCCGCGTGCAAACATGGCACCACTACCGGAATGCCGAATTTAAACATGTATAAATGTGGCACGCCAGTTACCGTTGCCGGAAACCGGAGGATGCTTCGCCCTGCGGTCGGTCCTTTTGCGGTCGCCGGTGGCAGGCTGATGATGCGTCCATGGTAGAGCACACGTGACCTTCGGCCAGTGACGCCGGACGCGCCCTTGAGCGACAGCCCAGAGACGCCCGACCCCGCGGCGCCGCGCCGCCTTGCGCTGCGGCGGCAGTCGTCCGTGACCGTGCCGCATGCCATCAAGTGTCTTTGCAGCAAGCGCCTCGTGGCCAAGGGCGCCGACACGTCGCTGTGCCCAATGCATTCGATCGACTACATGGCGGCGCTGCCGATAGACCGGCCCAAGCTCGCGTGCATTCCGCCCGAGGCCAGCATCAAGAGCCTCCCGCCGTTCGTCGTCGGCGAGCACGTCGTGTTGCTCGGCGGCCTCCCATCCTCCTCATCCTCCTCGTCAGCCTCGCCGCCCAAGTCGCCGCTCAAGAAACTGCTCGCATTCGAGCACTGGCGCAGCACCGTCCGCATCGTGAGCGACGCCACCTACTGCACCGATGGCACGTTCTCCATCGAGACGTCCGATGGCACCATCTACGATGGCATCTCGAGCATGCGCCTCGAGTCGACGACGAAAGCACCCACGGACGTGACGCCGCGCTACGTCGACAAGCTCATCTTGAAGCTGGTGCGACTCCCTCGTCAACGATACTAGTCATGCTGGATAAGTATGTGCCAGGGCCGGAACGGCGCCGAGCTCAACGTCCGAGAGCTCTCGATCGTGCCACCGACAGAGGTATGGCAGTGCTACTACCTTCCCACTCCACCAACTCCAATAGTTGGGGCGCGATGAGCTGGAAGCCATGCTAGCACAGTACTCGAAACTCATTGCGCTCAAGTACCTCTCGCCCATCAACATGAGCACCGTGCTGTGTCGCCGGTCGGCGCTGTACGCGGCCTTGGGCGAGTACGAGGCGTCGCTCCAAGACGCAGAGGTCGCGATCGGCCTGCAGCCCAATATGACCAACGTGCGTCGTCAGCTTGCCAGAGGATGCGCCACGCAGTGGCTATGTGTAGGCTCATTTCCGAAAGGGCGTCGCGCTCGCCAGCCTCGGCGCCTTCCCCGACGCCTGCGTTACGCTCCGACGAGGTCTCGAGGTTGACGGCTCCTGCGCCCACTTGCGCCACGCCCTCCAAGTGGCCATGGACCATCTGCACCACGCGCCAAAGATGGGATGAGCGCATCTAATGGATCGATCCTCGTGCATCTGTCCAGGATTCCTCGGGATGCAGGTACATCTGCGACAGGACAGTTGTCCATGCACCGCCGACGCCACTACGGCGCGCTCGGACATTCTACGCGAGGACGCATGCGGCGCGGTGAGGCTGCGCATGGGCTATGGCCATGGTCATGGGCGGCTACCGCTCGGCGCGGCCGGCGCCCGTTGCCCCGCGGTAGCTTCACCGATGGGATGGGCAAAATTGTGGAAAATTACGAAAATATTTGCCTACCGTAGGGGTCCGATCCAGGCATTTTTTATCTGTCGTTCCATTTCCACATACCAAATACAAGTATAGCGTACTAGAAATGCATTAAAATACGATGGGGACCATCTGGCCACCAACATTCTACGTGGGTACAACAAGCCATCCGATATGCATTTTAACAGGTTTTATACAGTAAGAGAGGACGGTAAATGTGAAAAACTCAGTATAAGAGGCTCGAGGTATTATGTGTCAGAGGGTTTTGGCGCAGCGGGTGCCAATAAAATCTCAGCACCGATCCGACGCTGGCCGCTCGGGCTTCCATTGCCCGACCTCGTGGCGCCAGACGCAAGCATAGCCAGCACATCGCCGACGACTTCGCCTTCAACGGCCGTCGACGCCACCTCCTCGCTGCCGACCATGCAGCTCTCGCCAGACCACAAGATCATCATGCTCGAGGACGACGAGACGATGGGCCATGGCCCGAATCGCGGTAGCACTGTGTACCACCCCGACACCGCGCTCGACGTGGCCGAGCTCCGCGCGAACCGACGGCCTAGCCACCGCATGTCGATCGTTGAGATGACCGAGCGCATTCCGCGCTTCGTCCTCGGCCTCGCCTACACGCGCAACTCGTTCTTCGCCAAGAAGCTGCTGCTTTTTGGCCTTGGCATCCTCGCCGTCGACGTACTCGCGATCGTTTACTACTACCAAACGATCGACGAGGACTTTGGCGTCTCGACCAAGAGCGCGGGCTGCGCCGACTGGGTCGAGTTTGCCTTCCTTGTCTACAGCACTGCGCCGTTCATCCTGCTCCTCTTCCTCCCGGCGACAGGCATCCGCGTCTTCGAGCTCTTTGCGCGCAAGAATCGATCGCATTTCGAACCGTCGGCCAAAGTCAAGTTCAAGGTCACGCGCACATGGTACCTCCAGTTTTGCGAGGTAGACAGCCTGATCTTCCATGTCTATACATCCACATCGATTAGGTCATTGTCGTGCTGCTCTTGCTCTACAGCTTCTACCTCTTCCTCGTCGCGCTCGACATGCTCCTTGGCGACGAGACGTTTCAATGCAACGTGCCCGCGCCGCTGCTCTACTCGTGCATTGCCTTCCTCGTCTTCTTCTCGATCCCTGCGTACATTGCGGTCTTTACGCGCTTCCGCGAGCACATCAAGATGCAGCTCGGCGCGTACAAGGAGTCGAGTCAGACGGGCGACGTGCGGTCCCACTTGGCATCGGCGAAAAGCGCCAAAGGCCGGATCCGCAAGGCGCTCTACAAGGCCGCCGAACACTGCAACCTCGACGCCCTCGACGAAGCACTGCACGACGCGCGGTCGCTCCTCGGCCAGAACTTTGCGCAGCGCATGTACGCGTCGACGAAGCTCCATTTCGGGTTCTGGTCCATGTCCAAGAAGAACCCCGTGCACGTGGCGGCCGGTCTCGGCGACAACACGGCGCTCGCTGCGCTCAGCAACGCCGGGTTTGACCTCAACGCGCTCGATAAGGTCGCCCGTGTTCGCTTTAGCACGTCAGATTTGTTTTGGTTCTTCGCGCGCTTCATCGTGTCGAGGCCGTGGGTCGCCACGGACGGCGACCGCCACAGCAAGGCGACGCTCATGTCGCCGCTGCACTGCGCGGTCGCGACCTCCCAAATCGAGACGGTCCGGTGGCTCGTCGAGGTCAAGAAGGTCGATGTCAACGTCATGTCGCAGTCGCCGTTCCGTGCTGACCGCCTCCCGCCCCTCTTCCTCGCTGAGCACCCGAAAATTGTCGAGATTTTACTCTCGGCGGGCGCCAACCACCTCGCCGTGCCAGATCCCGGGTACGCATCATAGTCTTTTTTGTGGTTTAGTAGAGAGCGGGGTTAGGTATGTCAACTGCATCACGGCCCTCGAGCTGGCGTACCTTCGGGAGAACTACGCGGTCTGCGCCGTGCTGGAAGACTGGGGCAGCGACGTGGCGCTCACTCCCATGCACTCGGCGGCCGCGACCGGCAACATGACCAAGTATGTAGCGCTGTACCCTGTACTTGAGTGTGCGAAAATGAGTTCTTAGGCTGCAGCAGTTTCTCAAGATGCAAGTGGACCCGAATTGCTTGGGCGAGCACGGCTACATTGGCGTCAAATGCCGCACGCCGTTGCACTGGGCAGCGATCAACGGCCAGTGGTCGTGCGCGTCGCTGCTCTTGGCGGGCGGCGCCGACCCCGATTTCCAAGACGACCTCGGGCGCTCGCCGTTGCACTGGGCCGTGCGCAACAACAAGCTCGACGTCGTCCGCATTCTTGTCGACCACCATTGCAACGTCAACCTCCTCGACAAGAAGGGCATGACGCCAATCATCTGCGCTGCGTTTGCCGAGCGCGTCGACCCTGAGCTGCTCAAGGTATTGTCTTATTGTCATGTGTAGGAGGATACATAACTTTGTTATCGTCTAGCTGCTCGTGGCCAAGGGGGCCAACATCAACTACCAAATGAAGTCGAACGGCGACTCGGCGCTGCACCTCGCGATCAAGCATGAGAAGCAAGAGACCGCGATCTCGCTCGTACGCGTGCAGTAACGCTGCATGCGACTGACAGATTTGCCGGCCGTAGGTGAGCTGCGGCGCCAACATCATGTGCACCAACAACGCCAGCTTCCGTGCGATCGACATTGCGACCTCGACCGCGCTGCAATTCGCCATCAAGTCGGCGGCCGGGCACCGCGACGTCATGATCAGCTACACGCATTCCCATGCCGAGTTTGCGCTCAAGTTGCGCAAGTCGCTCGAGGCGAGCAACATCACGGCGTGGCTCGACACGATGGACCCGAGCGGCATTGGCGGTGGGTCGGTCTGGCGCGAAGAAATCGCCAAGGGCATTGCAAATGCGACGCTCCTTGTCGCGATCCTCACGGACGATTACACCAAGTCCGAGTGGTGCTTGAAAGAGCTTGCGTGCGCCAAGCAAGTAGGCACGCCGGTATTGCCCATCTCGACCGAGCACGTCCGCCTCAACGAAGAGCTCCAAGTGTACCTCTACACGCGGCAGATCGTGCCGTTCGAGCCAGCGATCACGGCCATCAACAACAAGAACCCGCGCAGCATCACGTATGCGTACAACGACGAGGCGTACAACACGCAGTTCCGCCTCCTTCTCGACGGCATCCGCGACGAAGTCGAGAAGAAGCGCAAGCAAGTGGCGCTGCGGCCCTTGGAAACCATGAGCCCGACCAACGGCGGGGCGTTCGAGAACCACAGCCTTGCGTTCGGCTTGAGCAGCCCGAGCGGCAATAGCCCCAGCACGTTTCAGGACACGAAATTTGTGTTTATTGCGCACGGCGACTGCCACCGCAACTTTGTCAAGCGCATCTACCACGAGCTCACGACGACGAAGCGCGTGCCCGTCTACCTGGACCTCAAGACCAAAACCGACATGGCGGCGCGGGTCCATGCGGCAAAAGAAGCCATTCTGCGCTGCGCGTGCGTCATTGTCGTTCTCTCAAGCAAGAGCGCCAAGAACGAGATGCTCAACGACCAGCTCGCGTTTGCCGAAGACAAGGGCAAACCCATCTTCCCAGTGGTGCTCCACACGGAGTTCACAGCACTGCCGCCCAACCAAATGTACTCGCTCTCGCGCGCGCCAATGCACCATTTTGCGCTCGACCTCGGGTTTGCAACGTCGTTTGAGCAGCTCTTGCACGACCTCAGCCCCCACGTGGCGGCCGACCGCCCGAGCCTCGTCGACGACGACGACTATGGCATTGTGTAATGGACAGTCTTGTACTCTTCTTCGTTGCTGTGTTTTGCGATGTATCTTGGCAGCAAGGTTGGCCCAGCGTTGGGATGTCATGACGATCTTGGCTTGCCCACCGGCGCCAAGGGATTGGATTGGCTAAAAATTGGAAATATTGGGCAGCAAATCTTCCTTTTCGACCAATCCAGCACAAGCATATATGCGGCGCAGTGTGATTCCCGGCGCTTCCGATGCCAGAATCGCGCTGAAATTTTTTGTCGACAATACGTAGCGTATGGATAGAGGACACTTCGGGGAGCACGGAATGCAATGTCGCGTCGTCGTTCGAAGCCTATAGCGAGCGTCATGGGGTATTGAAGATTAATTAGTGGCATACGCCATATTTAGCCATATTTAAGGGCGATTGTCCAGCAGGAGGGCAGTACAGGCCCACCAAGACCTGGTATGGAGATACGAAAGACCAAAGACGTGTTAAGCTGCACACCTATGCTCTAGCACGGCAGAAGGCACGCAGGAACGTACTGTAGGAGGTACGGCGCCAGAATTTGTCGTTGCCGTCAAGTGCTTGGAGAAACTAGGACGCGCGATGGATAGCCTCTATACCTAGAAAAAGTGCACAAAAAAAATGCTGGGTACTTCACTGTTCCAACCCTTCTAGATGGGTTGTCGCTAGATCGAGTATTGGTCGTGCAATTGTACTAGTAGCATTTTTGGCTCGACACCGCGACCATTCCACCGATGCTGGTCGTTGACAAGGGTTTTCCATGCGCCTCGAGGTGCGATAAACGCTAAAGCTAGTTTAAACACGTTTGCATAACGTTCTTGGAACGCTTGTGCCTTTGCTCTGCCCATCTTCGACGTGCTTCGTTGACTTCGCGTGCACTCCACGCAAACACTGTTTCCTCCAAACAGAATGTCAAACGCTGGATCTGTGGCGTGCTGACGCAATACAACGCGTCAAATTATCCGGACGCGAACATCCTGGAAAACCAATCGCTCGCTCCATGCTGCGCCAGGTTCGCCGCTTGAAGCTGCGCCCGCCGCCGCAATCGCGACCGACTTCCGCGCTGGCGACCGACGACCGGAAATGGCAGCAGGCGCTCGAGACGTACTCGGAGCAGCAGTGGCGCAGCGTCTTGGCCGACGAGCACCTTGCGCCCGCGCTGCACAAGCCCGGCGTCACGAGCTACGTGCATCTCGCCAACAAGCACCCGGGCCTTCTCGAGCCGCTCCTGAGCGCCGTTGTCTCGGGCGTCCATGCGCAGCATCCTCACAGCATGGCCGACCAAGAAGCTTACCTCGTCACGGTACGCCTCCTTCTCGGCGACATCCAGGTCGCTCACGCGCGCTGTAGGTGCTCCAAACGATGGCCTCGTACAGCGGCGAGCCAAAGTTGACGCGTGCGACCTCGTTCGTCATGGCTGCGCTCGCGCCCACCAAGCCGGCGCAGGCGACACTGCTCTTCCGCGCGTCCTACCGCGCCGCCACACACAAGTCGGGCCCCGCCGGCGCCTTTCATTACCTCTTGACGGCGCTCACCAAGCACCAGCACATGGACGAAGCGTACCAGCTGCTAACGTTTGCATCGAATGAGCGCATCAAGCCGCGGGCGGACCACATTAGCGTCGTCTTGCACTGTCTCGGGCGCGCCGACGAGGCCAAAGGCGCCGCATTGGTCCCGTCGTTTCTCCGACTTACGCTCGAGCTCTTGAGTCGCCTCAAGCTCGAGACGAGCCCGCGCTTTTGGCTCCAGAGCATCACGTCGGCGACGAGCACGGACAACACGTCGCTCGCTCTCCAAGGTATAGTTTTCTTTATATTTTTTGCATTTTCAAAGGTGTACTTTAGTCTACGACGCAATGCGGTCCAAGCGCATCAAGCCTCGACCCGACGCCGCGCACGTGCTCCTCGAGTACTTGCACCCGCGGAATGGCGCGGTTGATGCAGCAACGTCGTTTGTTCGCATTTACAAGGACGTGGTCGACGCGCGTGCCACGTCACCGGTGCGGCCTTTCTCATGTTCCAACGATTTCACATAATATGTGGTAGGCCATTTTTCTAGTGGCGCTGGACGCCGCGGCGACCATGCAGGACGCGGCGCTGGTCCGGACGATCTTAGCAGATGTGGACGCTGCAGAGATGCCAATGGGCCACGGGCTTCTCAACGCCGCGCTGCGCGCCCTCGCAATTACGACCGACGACGGCACCCGTGCGACGAGCCACAGTACATGGAGCACAACTCTTATGCACTGGAGTAGATGCCGATGTGGCCACCGAGCTGGAAGGCCGCTTGATTGCAGCCGGCTTCAAACCGACGCATGCGACACTCTCTGCGATCGTCCGCCTCCATCGCCACTCGCTCAACGACCTGTATACGACGCTGACAGCGTTGGCGCCAGCCTTCTCTGTGCCGACGCACCAGAACGTGACCGACCCTGCGTCCCACGTTGCGTACCTCGGTCTTGTCCACTGGATTCGGTACGAGAACGGCGGTCGCGCCGCCTCGGACGCGCTTGAAACGTTGCTCAAGTCGCCCCACTGGCACTTTGATGCCTTCATGGTGCCTCTCTTATCTCTCTACAACGTAATTGGCTCATCTATGGCATAGCGAGACCGGCTCGTTCACACCTTTGTCTTGGCCCATCAATTTGAACTCGCAGCGCATTACATGCTCGCGCACACGGACGCGCCGCTCCACCGTGACGTGTACGCGTCATGGTTTTCCACAGCCTTTGCTGCCAACGCGCCCCTGCATGCTGCTGTTGACGTGTTCAAAGCCTGGCAGGCGACGGGGTCGGTCACGCTCGAGGACTTTGGCGACGTCATCTACTACCTCTGCCAGCGCCAGGACCTCACCAGTGCCCTCGACGTCTTTGAGCTTCTTGTACAGAGATGGGTGTGGGGTTGATACTAAGTCTTGATACTGTTGCGTAGCACGAGCCACCGACCGAGAAGATTTGCGTGGCGCTCATGAAAGCACTGCATGCCGAGCAGTCGAGCGCGTGTATCGACAGCAGCTTCAAAGATTTCTTCCGTCTCGCAGTGGCCCGGGGCGATGCCAAAGCGCCAGCATTCCACTCGGCGCTCAACCTCGCCGTGACGTCGGCGGACGAAGCGTTTGTGCGCGAGATCCTCGAAACCACGGTGCTCTCGTACACCGTCGACGACACGCCGACCTGGCGCTTGGATCAAGCAGCCTACAACAAGGCGCTGTACGCCTGCGCGGCGCACCCGAACCTCCACGCACTTGGTCTGCGCGTCTTTGACCACATGCACCAGTGCGTCTACGGATTCTAGACCAAAGGTCTATGACTTATGTATTGTGTGTAGGCACCGGGTCGACATCAACGAACTGACGATGATGGCGTGCGCGAAAATGGCCAAGTCGTTCCCAGCGTCCTCGGCGACGTTGAAGCTCCTCGCCGATTTCAAAGAGTATGTGCTATATCGTCGTCTTGGTGGGATAAAGCGAGTGGGTAGGCTCAACCAATGGCCGACAATTGAGGTGTACACAGTGATCCTCGGTATTTTGGCCCAGCACCGTCAGTGGGTCGATTGTGACGTGCTCTTTTCGATGCTGCAAGAACAGGATGTGGCATTGGACCTCAAAGCGACCACGCTCTTTGGGTGCGTCCTCGCGCAGCAGTGCCGGACAGACGAGCTCCTCACGCTCATTGCACAGATGGAGCAGCGCGGTATTGTAGCTCGACTTGTCGGATTTTTTGGGTTTTTACCGTCTTTTTCGTAGGAATCGAACCGGACGCGTTGTTTTTGCGCGAAATTCTCGCGCGGCTGTACAAGCACTACGACGTGGACAAGTGCCTTGATTTTTGCAAGCATGTTCTCTCGGTCGCGCGGTGCCAAGGTGCAATATTGTCTTCTTTTTATGCACTAACCAGTCGCTGACTAGTCTACTATCACTCGATGATCGAACTCGCGCTGCGTCACGGTACGCTATGGAATTATAGAAATGGAGAATAATGTCTATCTGTCTAGGCCTCTTGGACCGAGCGCTCAACCTCGTCATCCAAATGGAGTGTGACGGGTTCACGATCCACGCTCATGTGCTACTGGACATTATTCACCGCGTCACGACGATGCAAGAGCTGGAAAAGCTCATTTCGGTCTTTGCGCAGCTCAACGACGGCGGTAACCCTTATTTTTCGACAATTTAGACGACAACTTGTCTCTTGGGATGTAGACGTGGACCGCGACGTGCCGTTCGAGGCGTCGGTGTTTGACGCGCTCCTCGAGAAATGCGACGCCATGCAAATCAAGAGCAGCGTCGCGCTGCGGTTCATTGAGCGTCACGCGACCGCGCTGGGCTACACCGTCCGCGCATAATGCATGGGTTAACACTAGACAAGAATAGAGACTATAGCGTTGTATACAAGCTTGCCAACTTGCTGGCGCTTCAACTAGTAGCGCCATTTTTGCCAATCATGTACGCTCAAGCAAAATGCTGTGCTCGCATTGGCTCGAGGTAAATGCTTTTCCATTGGTCCATTCCACCAGATTGCCGCCAAGCGCCAAATGCAAAGTCGGAAGAAGCATGTGCTGACGCCGGACGAGAAGATGCTGATCGTCCGCACGCACGAAGAAGTCCTGAGCGACGTCCGGCGCCGGCGCCCTGTGCGCGACCTCGTCCACGAGCGTGTTGGCTTTTCCAAATCGACGATCGCAAAGGTCGTTGCACAGTGGCGGCGGGACAAGGACCCAACCTTGCGCCAGCAGCGCCAAGTCACCGTGGCTGTCCTCCGCACTCACCAGCGCACGCGCTCGGCACTGAAATCCGCGCTCTCATCGCATCGCTGACGAACAAGGCCAAGCCCGTCACGGCGATCAGTCTCGCGGCCGAGTTAGCTGCGTACGATACCTGTCTTCATCTCCTCCTCCTACTTGTCTCTACTAGCCGACACAACGTTGCCGTCTCGATCCGCACCATGCGCCGTGTACTCCACCGCATAGGCTATGATTTCAAGAAAGTGTCAGCCGATTAAGTAGGGCGCGATACGTCAAGCCAGCAGTAAAACCTCTCATCCAACGCTACACCCGTCGTCCATGATCCCACTGCGTTCATCCAGTGATCCCCACTGCGTTATGACTGCTCTTGCACGACGGTGATCTACGCCATCTTGCGTAGCGCGTTGATCAAGGAAATAAGATCAAGGGAATACTTATTCCCTGGTGTCGGTCTACGATTTTCGCTCAGAACCTGTACCGCCAGCTTCACGGCGTATCCGACCGAAGGGCATAAATGAATCAGGCACCGTCGATGGGATATACTTCCCCGGATCTCTCTGCGTGTGATGCACGCAGCGGCTGCAGTTGTCCTTCGCGGTGAACTCGCGCGTTGGCTTGTCCTTCACCCGAGCTGCGGCTTCGAGCCACTGGAGCTGCCGGTGCAAGCTTCGAAACCAGCTCAAAGGCGTCCAGGCAACATGCTAAACTTCATGCCGTGCGAAATACCGCCTCATCATTACTTGCTCGAGCGCAGTGGCCAACAAATCTGCGCTCCTAGTGCAAGAGTCTATAACAGGTCTTGAATTTAGGTGTTTCACCTGTACCTGAAAGCGCGTTTTTGTGTAAAATTGGAGCGTCAAAGCGAAAAAGCAGCACTTACCCTGTCAGCAAAGACCGGTAAAAGCATCGCACGAGCATAGCAAGCACTGAAAAGGGAGGCTATAGTGACTGAGAGATGTCTCGCACTTGACAAGACCTAGTCCAGCAACGTTCTTTGAAGCGTGTGCGATACTCGCGTGGTTGCTGCTCCGCCATTCCAGCGTCCGTGCTCCACCGCCCATTCTAGTTGTCCTTCCGAGCCGTGAATAGGGGACCGGCGCGCGACATATCCAACGGCCATCTACTTAATGGCTCGCAGCCTTTGCGCAATAATCTACAATATATTTCAATTGATTGTAACAATTCTCAAATATATTGAAGTGAATTAATCAATACCCCAATCTATTTAAATGAAAATAGCGATACTCCTTCACAAGCAGAAACAATGTTCCTTGCTCGAGGCCAACGCAGTCTCTGAAATGCACTAAACGACGGGGGATCGAATAACATACATGTGGTTCCGACTTCAACCAACGATCGAACAAATGTACTAGCGTCTACTTGAAGTAGCTCGCGAGGTTCTCGAGAAGCGACGGCGCGAGCGCGCTCGTGACATCGGCGAGGAAGGACTGCAGCGCGGCCTCAAAGTTGGGGTTGAGAATCACGTCGCAGTACTGGCGCTGGAGCACGTCGACCTCGTCCGAGTTGTGCAGCCGATGGAAGCAGCTGCGCGTCTCGCTAAACGTCTTGTTCCAGTGGCGTTTGAACGCGGGCGAGAGGTCGTGGCACGTCGCGCTGTAGTCGCCGGCCGCCGACCGCCCGAGAAGGAGCTTGTTGACGTGCATGCACTCGCACGTGGCAGCGACGTCGACGATGTACATGTCGAGCGACGCCAAATGCCCGAGAAAGCCTTGGGCAAACGGAAGGCTAAAGAGGTTGGACTGCTGCAGTGATGAGACAAATGAGCGGACTTTGTCGAGCAAGTTCTGGACCCAGTCGAGGTACTTGGTCGTATCGTCGTCGTTGTCGGACGACGTCGTATTAGCCGTCGCTTGCAGCGCGACAAAGTTGGGGTGGTGCGCGAGGAGCACGGCCGACGGCTGCTTGGTCGAGCACCCGCTCGCTGCCCAGAGCTGCCCGTCGAACGCGTTCGAGCCGTACCGGTACGCGTACTCGCCCAGCGAGTTCGTGTCCATCATGTCACCAGGTGTATGGAACCCTTGCGGCATCCACTCTGCAAAGTCGGTCGCGACGTCGGCAGCCACAATGTTGTACCGACCGCCGCCGACGTCGTCGTACACGAGAAAGCTCATTTCGTCGTTGATGCCGTCGCCGCTATTGCTCCCGACATAGCATGTGCCTTCGACCGTCCGCGTGGTCGGCGACGGGCTCGTGCATCCGTGGCAGGCTTCCCAGAGCGCGTACACGCGGTCCACGTTGCCCTAACCTCACCATTCAGATCTTATAGCCATAAATCAATGAATATGTACATGGTGCAAGAGAAAGATCGGGTCTGCCGGACTGATAAATGTGGTCATGAACCCGCCATTGTTGTCGTGTGGCAAGACGTGGATGTCGCCGAGGGCGATCGGGATGAACGACCGGTACGCCGTAGCCCGCGCGAGGTTCGATGCGAGGCGCAGAAAGGACGTTGTCGCCATGGGCACCGAGTAGTACCCGCTCTGGTCGCTCTACATACATCGTCGTTGAATACAGAGCAATACACCGGACAAAGCCGTACCGTGTCGCCCCAGCCGCGACGAAGCACGGGGCAGTTGGGGTCGTACGCGGTCGAGAAGCGGCCAAGCGTCATACCGGCGCGCCAGTTGCGCGTAATGTCGTTCAAGACGCAGTAGCCGGTCGCCCCGCCGGACGGCGATCCCGTCGCGGGGTCGCTGTACACTGGCACCGTCTTGTACGTGCCTCGCGTCGAGCCGCCGCCGCCCCACTCTTGCAAGACCGCTACGTATACCAAGATAAACATCTGGGGCTCGTAGAGTTGGCTGTGTACGGTTGCATTCGAGCTTGTTGCGGCAGCCATTCGGTACGGTTGCATTCGAGCTTGTTGCGGCAGCCATTCGACTGCATATTGGCGGCATCCCGCGTCCAGTCCCAGTACGGAAGATCAATGCAAGCGCAGACGCCGCCCGTGGAGCGCATGAGGTTCTGCACCATGAGCAGCCACTTGCGGTGCCACTGCACAAAGCCGTTCGTGTGGTGCGCGTACTGGTCGTTGGGCGAGTAGACGTGGATGCCCGTGAGCTTTTGGTAGTACCCACTCTGGAAGATGCGGTCGACGCACGTCATGAACGTCGCCTTGTCTTGAGCCGAGAGCGCGGCCCAGTCGCGCCGGACGTTGGGGCAGTTGCTCTTGGCGCATGTCGACGGCGCTGACCCCGTGCACGTATACAGCGCTTCGGTGCGGCAGCGGTAGCTGCACCCGTCGCCCGACTTGGTGTTGCCGTCGTCGCACTGCTCGCCAGGTGACACGATGCCGTCACCGCACGAAACGCCGCGGCTGCACACGGATGGACTACCAGAGCACTGGAAGCCCGGCACCAGTTGGCACTTGCTCGAGCACCCCGCTGTGCCCGCCGTGTTGCCCACGTCGCAGGCCTCGGAGCCAGCGACGATACCGTCACCGCAGGTCTATGCCAGTTTACAAGAACCATAGAGGATGATGCTGGAAGTTACCGCTGCGCACGCACTAGGCTTGGTACCGCTGCATCCAAAGCCGCGCTCGATCGTGCACGTAGCGCTACAGCCGTCGCCAGCCCTCGTGTTGCCGTCGTCGCACGCTTCCGAGGCCACTTTGATCCTACTCGATGCGTTAGGGTATCCAAGGACGGGATACTGGATAATGGATAGTGCAAGGTTACCCGTCGCCGCAAACCGGCGTGCAGGTCGAGACGCCGTTCGCATTGGCTCGGCATTGGAAGCCAGCTTCGACAATGCACGTGCTGCTGCACCCGTCACCCGACACGGCGTTGGCGTCGTCGCACGTCTCGGGCGAGAGCACGCGGCCGTCGCCGCAGATAGGGCTACACGACGACTTGCCGGCGCTGTTGATCGTGCACTGGTAGCCTCTCTCGACCGCACACGTGCCCGAGCAGCCGTCCCCCGACTTGGTGTTGCCGTCGTCACAGCCTTCACTGGACGTCTTGATGCTGTTGCCGCAGACGCCGTAGCAGTTGGTGCCTTTGCACACGTAGCCCGGCTCGATCGTACACGTCGCGGTGCAGCCGTCGCCGGACTTGGCGTTGCCGTCGTCGCAGCGCTCGCCCGACTCGAGGATCGCGTTACCGCACCTGGGAGAGGATCCTTTAATGGTAGCGAGTACAAGGTCGTCATCGTACACGGACGGGCCGGGCGTCGTGAGCTTGCAGTTGAGACAGCCTTGCGCGGTACTGTCGCATTCTTCCCACCCAGTGACAATGTCATCGCCGCAAATCGGCTTGCACACCGAGTTAGGCGTGCCGACGTTCGAGCAGGCCCAGCCCGTCTCGATCGCACAGTTCGGGTCGCAGCCGTCGCCGCTGAGCGTGTTGCCGTCGTCGCACGCTTCGGTGCTCGCGAGCCGACTGTCGCCGCAGACCGCAGCGCACGTCGAAGGTGCGGTACCTGTGCACTTGAAGCCCTCTTCGGCAGCGCACGAATACGAACAGCCGTCGCCCGAAATGTGGTTGCCGTCGTCGCACGTCTCGACGGGGAAGGCGACGACGCCGTCGCCGCAGGTGGCTGCGCACGTCGACGCGCCGGACGAGCCCGCAGAACAGGTGTAGCCTGCTTCCACTTGGCAGGCGTTACTGCAGCCGTCGAACGACGCCGTGTTGCCGTCGTCACAGCTCTCGATGGCCGGGAGCACGTAGCCGTCCCCGCACACCGGTGTACACTGCGACTTGCGCGCAGTAGTGGCTGCGCAGCTGTAGCCTTTTTCGACGACGCAGTTGGCACTGCACCCGTCGCCGGACGTCAGGTTGCCGTCGTCGCAGCCTTCGAGGCCGCTGGCGCGCACGCCGTCGCCGCAGACCGCCGTGCAACGCGACGGTGTCCCGGTGCATGACGCACCGACTTCAACCTGGCACGCCGACGAACAGCCGTCGCCGCTGTCATGGTTGCCATCGTCGCACGTCTCGGCGCCTTCGAGGACGCCGTCGCCGCACGATCCAAGGTGGCACGTGCTCGTCGTTGTTCCCGTGCACGCAAAGTTGGGCTCGATCTGGCAGTTGGCCGCGCACCCGTCGCCTGGCTCGGTGTTGCCGTCGTCGCATTGCTCGTCTGCCGTGAGGAAGCCGTCACCGCAGACGCGGTTGCACTGCTTGGCGCATGCGCTCGAGTAGCATCCGGCCGTGCACGCGGCGCTCCATGGACGTCCGTAGCTCGCCTAGTCGTCATCGTTAGTCGTTTCTGAGTGGCGCTGTATATGTCGTACCACAGAGGTGCTGCACGACGCCGACTGCTGCGAGACGCAAGCAGCGCAGACAGCGTCGGACGGGTGGCACTGGGGCCCAGCGCTGCACTCGGTGATGCAGCTCGGGCTCTGGCACGTCTCGTAGCAAGGGAGCGACCACGCGTTGCGGTCGCAGGTCGACGGCGCGTTCTTGGCGACACACGCCGTGCACTCGGGGCGCACCGAGTTGGCCGAGCATATCGGGTTGGGCAAGCACATTTGCGCGCAGGCTTCCGTGAGCCCGAGTGAGAGGCAGTGGCAGTCTTGCGCGATCGAGTACGCTGGGTCGTAGCCGGGCATGCCAATGACGTAGCACAAGGGTGCATACGTCTGCTGCGCCGCCACCTTGGCAATGCACGAGTGGCTACACAACACCTCAAGCCATGTGCCACGACTTGTCAATGTACCATGCTGCGGTGACACTCGCGTCATTCGAGAGGAGGAAGGGGCTCTGCAAGATGAGGTTGCCGGCCTGGTAGAAGATGTTGGGGCAGTAGGTCGGGTCGGGCGTCGCCGCCAAGGACGCGGCAGCCAGCGCTGCAAGCACGGAGAGGCTCTTCATGCGACGCTTGAAATCCGCAACTGACGTTGCGAGATCCGAGGCAAAGATATTTCGAAAAAAACAGCCAATCAACGGCGGGTTGCCCTTGCCTCGGCCAATCAAACGCGTCCAATCGCGATCTTTGGTGGGGACACCCTTTCGCATACAATGCGGTGGATGGACACCGGGTTACGAGCGGATGAGTAGTCCATCGCATGATCCAGCTACTAGAATATATGGCTCTAGCTGCGACAGACCAAGGTGCCATCTACCTGGCAGTAGCCCTGCACTCGTAAATGCAGCAACGTATGGGACTCCAGTCATGGGACTAACTCGCGAACCTCGGCAATGGGACAAGGATTATTGAGGCGACATTGCTACCCGGCATCGAGCGACTGAAATTGCAGAGCGATGAACAGAGAGCGAGGGGCAGAAGAAGAATTACCGTCCGGCGACTGGTACTCCAAGAATTTCGAGCTACTTTACTCCCTCGAGTACATTGAATGTGTCGCCCCCAACACCCAAGTGAGCTAGCTGACGCCCATGCCTTGGCTCTGGATAAAAGAGAGTTGGCACGTGTAATGGCCAAAGGCACAGGAACGTCTCGCACTGGTGAAGCCCAGTCGCGAGCCCGACCGCACAAAACTGTGCGGCAACAAGATTGGCGGGACGCATCACAGGGTGCTGTAAAAGAACAGAGTCGCTCGGAGTACGTATATCGACAAGCAGAGATTCGAGGGTGCTACCTCCAATGCCCACAATTACATTTTAAGCGGTTGAAAAGTAGCTGCGCTTCCGGGACACGGTGACAAAGCGCGGTCGGGTGTCGCTGTCGGCGGCAACTTTGGGCAGCCGCTTGGCGCCCTTGGCTGGCACGACGCTGGCCAAGTGAACGACCTTGGACGCCGACTTGCCCCGCACCAGTTTCGCCGGTGCTTTTGTTCTAGCCAACGTCGTCGTCGTCATATTAAACTCCGTATCGACTTCGGGCGTCAATTCGGCTTCTTCTTTGTCCTTGACGTCCTCGCCGTCGATCTGGTTGTTGTTGTTGCCGTCGTCGATTTCGGCGAGCTCGCGCGGTGGTGCTGCGAGCCAGTTGATATAGCCGTCAATCATGTGCAACACGGCGTCGAGCGAGTCTGTCGTCGGCAATGGCGCGTCATCGGCTTGGTTGTCACTGCGGACCGCGTCCGAGGCTTGCAGAGGTATCGTCCGTGGCGCGTCAGCATGTGCCGTCGGTGCGTCACCAATTGCCGTTCCCTCAGCTTCGAGGTCTACAGCGCAGGCGTCATCGTGTTGGTCATCCAGCGACGTCCACGTCCGGGCCAAAAGCCAGTGGTACCATCCGAGAAGATGCGAGTACCACAGCAAGAGGAAGCTCACGAGCATGTACGTTCTACCGTCGTGAGTCGTGCAATGTCGAGGCCGACCTTGGTGCTCACTGGCGCCTCCATCTTGGCTTGGCCAGAAATAGCCGCCGAGCCGACATGGCATGATTCGCCACATTTACTGTTACCAGCGGCCGCCACGTCATGACCTTCCAGATGCGACGGGAATCTGCCGAGGGCGAATGTCGGTCGCAGAGAACATGCAAGTCGGATCAGTTGCTGCAGCTGCACAGGAGATGCAGGCGTTCATGCCCACTGCGCGACGATATGAATTCGGCGGCGAGCGATGGGTCGTCCGCGGTGTCGATCGCGGCCGTCGCAAGCACAAGCTCCGTCGAGGACGCAGGTGTCGACCCGACGACGAGCTTCTATCACCCACGCGTGGCAGGTGCGTATCGGCCGTGCAGACGCTTGCCGCCCAACTGACGACGCCAACTGACAGCGGCGAATCTGGTTCGTCGCCTTGCCGCCTGCCAATGGAGAAGCCGAACCAGCACCCACTTGGCGCTGCTTTTCAAAAAGACCGTATTTTCACGCTCATTGAACGCCAAAATGGGACCAAGGATCGTCGCAGCATCGTCTTTTATATAGCCCAATTGCGTTCGTAGCTCTTTTGTGCTATCAAGCAACGTCAGAGATGGCATGTGCGCGCGGTCGCAGCCCCGCGAGCAAGGTGGCAAAGAACGTATGACAGGGCAAAAGTACCGTACTTTTGGGTTCTTACAACTAAAAACACGCAACTTCAACAAGACCGCCACCCACAAAGTATCTTGGTCAAAGCCCCGACTCGGAGCCCCACAACTGCATTTGCCGACAACAAACCAAGATGGCCCTCTCTGTGAACGCGGTGCACCAGTTCCTCCTTGGCGTCTGCGGCGTCCTCTCGACGATCGCGGCGATTTACGCGCTCGCGGACGACACGTACCTCTCGACGCCGGCGCGCTTGGACGTCGCCAACGTCTTTCTCCGGCTCTACCAGCTCTTCTTTGCGCTCGTGCTGCTCTCGACGGCCGCGCTCGGCTGGAAGCTGCCGCTCAAGTGGTTCAGCCTCCTCGAGAGCTTCATCGGGTCCGGTCTCTACGTCATCTTCCTCGGCTTCTACACGTACCGCATGCTCAACGACTATGGCATGTACACGGCCTGGTTCCACTTCATCATTGGCGCCGTCTTTATCGTCTACGGCCTCTTTGTCAAGAACGACCGCGCCGAGTACACGCCCATTTTGCCCCAGTAAACATGTTGACTCGAGAAGCAAATAATTGCTCGTCCCATTCTCGACCTTTGGCTTTCTGACTACGCCGTTTCTAAAGCTGCACAAAGGAAGGCTAGATAACAAAACATATGTTGGGATACTGTCAATACATCTCGATACTCGAGTGGCTCCAACCGCAGCTCGGGCGGTGGACCTTAGACATTTTCGGTCTTGTCCTTCTTGGCTTTGGGGGGACCTTTTCGCGTCGGCGTCTTGCCCTTCTTCTTCTTGGACGTCTTCTCGACGATACCGCCGAGCTGCTTGGCCTTCTCTCGTTGTGCTGCGAGGATCTCGGCTTGCGTTTGAGCGACTTTAATCTCTTTCTTAGTCGCAATGTCGGGCTTCTTCTTGGGCTTGGCTTGGACGACGACGATCGGCTTGCGCCGGGCCCACTCGCGCAAGCACCTACAGTCGCCATGCGTCATCGGCGACGTCTTCGTGATGCCTCGTACCGAATCAAGCCCCATAAACTAGAGAGAATTGAGATAGTACGATGAAAGCAGACGGCGCGTACCACGGACACGTGGCAATCATGATGTACACGAGGCTCATCACAACCATGTTGATGGTCTTGCCCGAGAGCACTTTGGTCATGCCGTAGAGGAAGACGCAGTAGAGGACGCAGATGATGCGAACCACGATCTCGACCGCGACGATCTTGTCGAGCTTCATGAGGAGTTTCAAAGTGAGAGTTACAAGTCCAATGCTCTGCTTTCGCCGTACAGCCCTGTGAGCGTGCCACGTCATGTGCAAACGTCCAATGCAGGGGAAAGGGTGCGAGATAGAGTAGTGGAATTAGTTACAGTGGTAGTCGGAGAGCGCAGAGAGGAGTGCGCTTTTGGGGGGCTTGGCCTTGGTCCCTTGAGTCGTCTTGGCCTTTTTGGCGGTTGCGCCCAACACGACCGGCGCCGCCCGCTTCCGACTCGCGTTGAGCTGCGCCTCGTTCTCCTTCTCGCGCGGCTCATCATGCGCGTCCGTCGACGTCTCAGGCGTCGCAAACGAGCTATTGGAAAACACAAACGCCTTGGACGTCGACGACTAAACGTGAAATTTCAGTTGCCGGCTCGATTCGCCAAATATTACCGTAGGAAACATTTTGCACGTGTCGGCAATTCGGGAAAATGACGACGCTGTCGACGTGAGCGAGTACGATGTGCGCTTCTTGAGCGTCGGTGCGGCGGGTGGGGGCGGTCCTCGCAAGCTCTTGACCAGCTATTATCCAAGATGTGAATGACGCGCTGGCGTCATGCCAACAAATACCTCAAACGAGTCGTCCATGTCGTCATCGAGAAGCGTCGGTAGCACTGGCGCTTTGGTCTTGTGCCGGTCGTCCGACGCTTGCGCTTTCTGCAGCTGGGCCATGCGCTACACGAGTCCAGGATGACCATCAAGAGACCTTGAAAGAGGATAATTGCCGTACGTGCATGCGGCGGTTGATCTTGGCTTTGGCCGAGAAGAGCTTCATTTGACGGGCTTCGCGCTCGTCGTCGTCGGAAATGACGTCCGCGACCGTCTCTTGGGCTTTTGGCGCGTCATTCTCGTCTTCGCTCTCGGACTCGGACGACGTAATGTAGATCTGCGGTTGGTGCAAGAAGCGGTCGCGGAGCTCACGTTCCATGCGCTCTTCTTCGTCTTCCGCTTCGTTGTCATTGGCATTGGCGGTCTCTTCGTCCGACTCGAGGAGCCCGAGACGCGCGGCCTCTTGCTTGCTCCCATCGGCCGCCACGAGGTCGTTGAGGTGGAACCGACCTCGCGCTTCGCCATTGTTGAGGCCCGTCGAGAAGATGCGGCGGTTGCGCCCAAAGCCCTCGCGCACGTTCCGCATGACCTCGGAGATCTGGTCGCGGTCCCGGGCCGCCATGTCGTCGCGAAACGCTTCGTCTGCGTCCTTGTCCTTCTCGTCGTCCGAGAGCTCGTCGACGATGTGCTCGAGGTCGTCGTCCTGCAACGTTAGCGCTTTGGCTTCCTCTTCGCGCTCCTTGTCGGCCTCGGTGGATGCCAATGGCACGCCAAAGCCAAAGTCCCCGAGACCACCGATCTTGAGCACGTCGTCTTCTTCCTCTTCCTCGGCTTCCGACTCAACAAGCCCCGACGTCTTTTGTCCGAGTCGCTTGCGCTGCTTGGTGTTAGCGTCCTCGGCGGCCAGCATCGCGCGAAACTGCGCCGCCTTGTCCTTGGCGCGCTGGGCAGCCGCAGCGGCTGCGGCTTCGTCGTCGTTATCGTCACTTTCGTCGTCGGCGTCGGCGCCGTCCTCGTCGTCGCTCAAGGCCGTAATACGACGCTTCGTCCGACCCAACGGCTTGGCCTGGACAACGTCCGTCTCGTCATCGTCATCGGCGTCATTGCCCTTGGCGGTGGTATCGAGCAAAGGCGTGACGTCGTCGTGGACCCCAAGAGGCGCTGCCGGTGAGGCGCTTTCGAGACGAGGGCTCTTGTCCGCGGAGGCTGGCTGAGTGGCGCTGTCCTCGTCCAGCGCCGGCTCCAAGCCATGGTCCGTCCCATCGCCTTCTTCGTCGTGCTCTTTGTCGTTGGACACCTCGTCGTTCTCGGGCGCGCCATCAACGTAGTCGCTGTCCTCGTCGTCGTCGTCGGGATCGCGCGTCGAGGCTTGTGTCGCAGCGTCGTCTTGCTGCTTCTTGAGTGCATTGAACTGAATGCGCGCTTCCTCTTCTTTCTTGAGGTGCTGCTGCTGCTCGTGGTGGTTCTTGTAGCCAAAGAGTTTGGCCATGCTGTCGGCGCCTTGCGCGAGCGCTGTCTTCTTGATCTGACCCAGCATGCGCTTCTTGCCGTGGAGGAGCGGGTGCGCCATGGCACGCGCGACCGGGATGTGCATCGCATGCTTCTCTTTCGAAGGCGACAACATGGCGGGACGCGCGGCCGGCGCCGGCCGCGTCTTGGCACGGAGCTTCTGCAGCAACTCGTCCTTCTTGGAGCGGACCTCGTCCTGCTGCTTGGCGTCGGTCTGGCGGAGGCTCAAGAGCAGGTCCTGTGTCTCGGCCGCGATCGCCATGGCCTCGACCTCGGGCGACGGGGAGCCCGCGGTCGCCGTCGTCGTCGTCGTCGGGGTCGCCATTGTCCAAAACCTCCTTTGGGTGCATCTCCACTCCAAAATGGACGCGAGTGTTTTAAACACTCGACCAAAACATCACCACCAAATCGCGATCTTTTGACATCCGAGCAATAAGTTCTCGTAGTTCGAGTGTACTAGTACAAAGCTGCAAAGTCCTGTTGAGATACCAAGCTTGTTGCAACTTGACACTGGAGGTTGCCAAGCTTGAAGCAACGTCGACAAGACGTCGGACGTTCGCAGAATTATGCTGCGGAAGCATGCTAGCGGTGGAGTTATGCCCGCAGCTGCAGTGTTGCGCGCGTCGAACGCCTAGCTCCAGATACGTAGTTGATCTAGCACAGCATGTTAGCGTTCGCATTCAGTGCAGCTGTAGTCCAAGAAGAACGTTGCAGGGAGGGCTTACAAAGTCTGTCATCTGAAATGATATAATACGTTGAAAGTGGCTTGTTGATAGTTGAGCGGTGGGAATGCTGTCCTGCGCCAGGACCTGCTATGTGATGTTCTGCTATGTGAAGCTCTGCAGTGCGCCACCGCCTCGTACCCAATGTGGGGCTCTGGGGTTCAAGCATCGTGTTTAATACACTGTATCTTTTATATTGCATCTTTGAATCCAACACAGTGGCATCAATGGCGGCCGCCGGGAGATTACCCGCCAACGCACTGGCCAATCACAGTCATCGACCGCCCAATTTATCCGGTCCCCTCCGGATAACCGGTCACATCACATATCCTCTTTATATCGATGCAGTGCAAAATCAAAACCTCTAGTAACGCATACGCCCGCCCTCTCAGGCGCAAGATCGCAACCGCGACAACCTTCTGCGCAGCAGCCACTTGCCCATGTGAAACGACTTGAGTTTGACGTTGTGGGATTGGACTCGGCGGGACCGTCATTTTTTCTGGTGACGGGGCGCCATTCGAATCGAAGGCGACCCTCCACACCGACGTCTCGTTCAAGTACCGGTAGGGATGTCGGTCGTTGCTGACACTGTCATGCACTGTAGTTAAGCTCCAGAGCCATGGGTTGCAGTCGTAGTCGAGAGGCTTATTTGCTGCAATATTGCTCAAGAGAGAGCGGGAGACCAGAGCCAGAGAGACGTTGACGTGGATATGGGAAACGACCGGCCTAGCAGCGCGAAGAGTCGGCGGTATAAATAGACGCGGGCGATCTTCGCCCACGGTGGTCATTTTGATTTTGGCTGCGATGCGAACAGCGTACCTCGTCGCCATCTTGGCGTCGCAGATGATCAGCGCCGAGCTCCCTCGCCAGTGCGGCGGCGTCGGCTTCCACGGACCGACCGCGTGCCCGCTTCAATATGCGTGTACGTACGTCAGCGCTTCGTTGAGCCAGTGCACACCCGTGGTCCATCGATACCTGCGCCAGCGCCAAGAGACCACGGACGCACCCACCGATGAGCTGACGGATGCTCCCACCGACGCACCTACCGAGGCACCCACCGAGGCACCCACAGATGCTCCCGCCGCTGAGGCCACCGAGCTTCCCACGGACAAGCCGACGGAGTCTCCCATCGACAAGCCGACGGAGTTTCCCATCGACAAGCCGACTGATGCCCCCACAAATGAGCCGACCGACGCTCCCACCGATGAGCCGACTGACGCTCCCACCGTTGAGCCGACGGAGGCCCCCGCCGCTGAGGCCACCGAGCTTCCCACGGACGAGCCGACGGAGGCTGCCACCGATAAGCCAACCGATGAACCAACGGAGGCCCCTGCCGTTGAGTCCACCGAGCTTCCCACTGACGCACCCACCGAAGCCCCCACAGATGCTCCAACGGATGAAGCGACTGATGCACCCGCCGTTGAGTCTACTGAGCTTCCCACTGACGAGCCGACGGAGGCTCCCACCGATGCGCCGACTGATGCTAACACCGATGAGTCTACTGAGCTTCCCACCGACGCACCCACCGAAGCCCCCACAGACGCACCTACAGATGAAACTGATGCTCCCGCCGACGAGTCCACCGAGCTTCCCACAGACGAGCCGACAGAGGCTGCCATCGATGAGCCGACTGATGCACCCGCCGTTGAGTCTACTGAGCTTCCCACTGACGAGCCGACGGAGGCTGCCATCGATGAGCCGACGCAGGCCCCCACCGATGAGTCGACTGAGATTCCCACGGACAAGCCGACCGACGCACCCATCGATGAACCAACAGATGCTCCGACCGACAAGCCGACAGAGGCTCCGACCGACGAGTCGGGCGAGGTCCTTATTGACGAGCCGACGGCCGCCTCCACGGCTGAGCCCACGAGCGCTTCGACAGCGGCGCCGACGGACGCACCGACCGAGGCTCCTACCGACGCTCCCACGGACGCCCCAAAGGGTGCCACTCCCAAAGCAACCGAAGAGACCGCTTCGCTCACGACCAACGTCGGTGGTCTTGTGCTGACGACTGCGCCGTCGCCCAGTGACGTTGCAATCCGGTATGGCCAATGCGGCGGCTTGAACTTTAGCGGCCCTGTGCTCTGCCCCGAAGGCTTTGCATGTGAGTACAGCAACGAGTACTACTCGCAGTGCGTCCCGATCCCAGACCTCCCCGGCGTCCGCACGTGGGGCCAATGCGGCGGCAACAACTACGACGGACCCTCCGACTGCGAAGTCGGGAGCTACTGCTTCGAGTGGTCCGACTGGTACGCGCAGTGCCTCCCGATCTAACCGCTTTCTCTTTTGTGTCGTAACACGTTTTAACACGTCTCGTCTGCCCATCGCCTACCTTTGCTGACAGCGTCCTATCTCCTACGACAGCGTTATAACTCCTCCTACGGACAGCGTCTTAGCTAGAGGTAGTGGAAAGTCCGTAGTAGAAGCTATGAAAACGCCCCAGTACAAATCCAACGCCGTATATGATTGTCTAACTCCATGTCTACGCGTCCGAGTTCAACAGCAGGTGCAGCGCCATTGGGTCGTTGATACGCAGGGCCTCCATGCGCATGAGAATATAGGGATCCAGCGACGCGTCGCGGGCCTTGTCGATGCGCTGGCCCAAGTGCAGTCGGCTCTCAGCTTCGTACGCGTGCAGGTTCGGAATCGGCGCGGCAAACGCCGACGGAGCGTGGAACTGAGAGCTTATTGGCACGGGGCGCGGCGGTGGCTCGGTCTTGGTCGGTACGAGCAGCTGGAGGCAGTCGGACGCACAGGACAAGAGCCGGAGGTACACGTCCGTGGCTTCGTCCGCCCGCGGCCAGTCGACGCGCCACCGAGGGTACTCGGCCACTTGCTGCGCGAGGCCTTCGTTGCGGCTGCGCGCGCGGGCCGCGGCGGCGTCGACCATATGAAACATGCCTGTCAGCGCCTTGCTGTCAACGATGATGTCTTGGAGGTACGGGGCGTTGGCGTGGAGGTTGCGCTTCGTCAAGTCGGGCTTGACAAAGTTGCGCGCGTTGACCTTGTCACGGAGCGTTCGGAGCTTTTTCTGGTGGTTGCCGAGCTTCCGGTCGTCGTCGGCCGTCCAGAGCTTGCCGAACGACGGCGGTCGGAAGCGCCGGCCGCGGTGCAGAATCGAGAGGTCTTCGTACGTCTCTTGCAAGAGCGAGGGGTAGTAGAACTGGAGTGGCCGCTTCTTCTTCCGGCCCTTGCGCTTCTTCTTGATGCACTGCCGCTTGACGTGGTTGTGGCTATAGCAAAACGGGCAAAACCAGTCGCCGGACGGGACGTCGGTCAACGGCGGCGAGAGGCAGTACAGGTGGTACTCGTCGTCGCAGCAGTCGCACAAGATGATCTGCGAGAGGTTTGAGTCGCTCGAGCAGAGCCGACACGCCTTCGTTTGCTGGCCGATGGGAGTCTGCAGGCAGCGCGGACACCACCACGGGTCGACGTCCTCGACGGGGTGGTCCATCGGGAGGCAGTCGTTGTGGTACACCGCTGGACATCGCTCGCAGCAAGCGAGCGTCCCGCTCTTGCCGCAGACTTCGCACTGCGTTCTATTGGCCATGCCCGGGGCGCGAAGGTCCCACGGCGCCACGGGGAGGTCCTGGAGCGTCAGGCTCTCGGGGATCGCGGCTTCGGGGTGGGGCTTGCGCACGGGCGACGACGGCGCGGAAGGGGTCGACTCGGCGCCGCTGCTCACACCGCTGTCGCTGCTATCGCTCTCGCCAGCGTCTAATGCAAGAAGGTCATCGGCAGCTGGCTCGGCATAGAAGACATGAGGTACCAGAGGCAAACTCGAGGCGCCGTTTCCGCAACGAGGACGCCACGGACTGCGAGTTGTCCAGCGCCACGTACGCGCCGTCGCCAATGCGGTGGAGACGGACGATGAGCGGGTCGCGTGCCGGCGCAGTAATCGGCAGCGTCGGTGGGACCGCCGTGTAGCCGTCGTCGACCTTGCGAAGCCGGACGCGGAGGCAGCGGGGTAAAAAGTTGCCGTTCGCAGGTGCCACATGGCGGCGGGCCAGCTGTTCCGGCGATGCGCCGACGCCGACCTCGGCTCGACGCGGCGCCGTGTATTCTTCGTCGTCGACGTAGGTGTCGTCCTTGCCGTCGTCATCGTCGTCGTCGTCGCCATCCGCATCGTCGTCGTCGTCGCCGTCGTCGGGGTCGTAGGTGGCCGGCGGGCGGCGGCGTGGCGTGCCTCCATCGGACCCGCGGCTCTTGGGCGTCGACGCTGCGTCATTCGTCTCGACAGGCTTGGGGGGCGCAACGCGGCGGCGCTTGCAGCGGCACATGTCGCTAATGAGCCGTTCGACCGGCGGCGGGGCGGCCGCCGACGTCGTATTTTGGGCAATTTGGGCAGCGGGGATGGCCGCGGTATCGAGCGCCACGACTAGGTAATAGGACCCATGAGCATGCTGGGCTACACGTCCGCAGAGGCGAAGCGGTCGTACCTCGGCTCTTCCCGCACGTCTCGCATGGCTCGTACTGCATCTGGACGTGGCCTCGGCCGAGCTTGAGCATGGTCGCGTCGGTCGTATGGGTAGGTCAAAGTCGTTGCTCGCGGGTAATCCTACGCGGTCGTGGTCGTCGCAGGCGCGGTCTGGGTAGCGAGCTTATGGCCCGCGGACTCGGCGCTCGTGGACGGGATCTGCCGGCGGAAGGCCTAGTGTTACAGTGTACACCCATACAGTGTACAAAGTGACACCGTGCGAAGGAGTGGGACGGCCCTATATTATTTTACAGTCGTCGCAACTACTTGCGTATTTTAATAAAGAAATGCAATCTTTGTACCTATATTTGTATCGCCTGCGGCAGATGTTGGATTGTATTACGTCGCATCATCCTGTTTTTATCACACGGTCGGGGGTCCCAACACCTACCCGCAAGGGACCCGGGCGGTTGCATTCAATACAATGCCACATGGAACGTGAAATACAATAGATTATTCACCAGTAGCAGCATACAACAAGTAGGTGTTGAAGGCATTTTGAGGCTTTAAAAATGCGCTCATTTAATAAACATCGCGCACGTCCCATGCGCTCGCTTCTTTGCTAACCCAGCGACTAGATATCGCCGCGTTCGACTAACTAGACGACGCTATCGCCTTCAGTAGCATCAGCATCCTTCTGCACTCAATACATTCCCGCTTGTGCAGGACGGCGATGGTTGTCACACCATGACGTGAGGTGGTCGGTTCAATGACTTCAAGAAAGTAGGTTGAGTCTTCCAGTACCTTCGTGGCACCAATGCAGCCGCCAGCATAATACTGCAAGCGATGACTATGGATGCTAGTAGAGCTGCTGCTGGTACTCGACTAATATATGCGTCTACCCGAGCATGTGGCTACGGAACTGGGTGGATGCATCGCGGCCACTCGTTTCAGATCGAACGGCTCTCGTGCTAACGACGTTGCCTTGGACCAGAATGGAGCTAACTGCATGATTGGCAAGCGCAGTCTCGCTGGTATCGTGATCGTATATTCACACAGGAAGGTATTTCCAGTACTACATTGCAGCACCGACCACGCTTCGACGGCGGTCGCGAGGTGACGTTGCGCGAAGCCACTGGCTCCATTCCGGTGGAAGAAGCCATCGCGACCCTTCTCCAGTGCACCAACGCTGTGGGGTCCCCGCTTCGAGTCTCGATCCCGTCGATTCATCTAGCGTCGAGCGAGGCCGAACGACTGCCGTTGCACTAGCTCAGCGGTATGGTCACTCCAAACTACGAGGTCATTTCTGCAGAGAACAGTGTAAGTGCATATGTGATGCACAGAAGCAGGAGACTGGCGTCTCGCTCGGCGACTGCTATCAAGTGTAGTTACCAAGTCAATGTAGCTTGGGCTCAAAATGTATCAGAGCGAGGCCAGTCGAGAGAGCTGGAATCGTCGGCCATCCCGACCACTCAAGCACTGGAATTACGACCACTTTACACGGCAAGCCACGAGCGCCGACTACCGTTGTCATGGGTCTTGACCCATGCGTTGTCGACCATACTCAGTAGAGCGGATCATCGCATCCGGCGTCGAGGCTGAGGTCCACTCTGCGCCCCATCCGCATATCGACAGCGTTGCGATCTTAGCAGAATGTTGGCCGACGATATCTTTCCTGGCGACCGTCCATCGTACGTGCGACGATCGCACCAAGCAGTCTCGTCCAGCGACCTCATCTTGGACGTCTACCTCGGTGGAAGTCGCATCTTGGACCTCGTTTGCTGCGGGCGATGGCCATCACGACGCGGCAGCGACAGGATCCCGCGCTGTGATTGGCCATTTCTCGGCTGGAAATTCATTTTAATAATATCAACGTATTTGTATGGAACCGCCGGCCTGGAAATAGATTGCGGAATAAAAATACGCTGTGGGATGGGATTTCCACTCTTTCGACGGGACAAAGACCGGGTTCGCCATGAGCAGCGCAACGGGCGGCGCTCCGCGGGGCGGCCAATGCGTCGAGGTCGCGGTCCGCGTCCGGCCGTTCCTACCCAAGGAGCTCCTGCGCAGCCCCGAGGGCGTCGGCTCCATGAGCATGGACCGGGACCGCCGGGCGATCGAGATCGCAACGCCCAACTCGACGGCCCAGTTCTACTTTGACCATGTCCTTGGGCCCGACTGCTCGCAGGCGCAGATGTACGAAGAGACGCTGCAGGTACGATGCTTGTGCTGCAGCGGCGACAACTGAGCCATCGTCCTCTGTAGCCCAAGATCGACCACTTTCTCAATGGTATGCGAGGAACCATGGCCTGTATTGGCAACATGGGAACATGAACATGCGATATAGGCTTTAACATCACCGTCTTGGGCTACGGGCAGACGGCCAGCGGCAAGTCCCACACGATCGGGAGCGGTCTGAGCAACCAAGACGAAGACGAGTGGGGCCTGCTCCCGCGCATGCTCCACGACGTCTTTGCGCGCATTGCGATCGAAGACGAAGCCACCGTGTCGGTCTCGTTTCTCGAGATCTACGGCGAAGACATCCACGATCTGCTTCTGCCGCTCACGACCTCGAAAAAGGCCGTCAAGCACGCGTTGCACTTGCGCCAAGATCGCTCCGGCGTCTTTGTCCAAGGCGCGCGCGAGGTACTCACTGCGATTACTGTCTTGTAGCGCTACAACAGGTACCTAGGTGACTGTCACGACGCCCGAAGATGCACTCGAACAGCTCCGTGTCGGCTGCTTGACGCGCATCACGGGCAGCACCGAGATGAACGACGTCTCAAGTCGGTCCCACGCTGTGTTCACGTTGACGCTCGTGCAGAAGACCAAGCGAGCGACGCCCGAGGACAAGTCGTTTGTCGACACAATGACAACCATCTCCAAATTGACGTTTGTCGACTTGGCCGGCAGCGAACGGTCGCGTTCCATCGTCGTTGCTCCTTCTTCTCACGCTCAAGTAGACTCAAAAAGACCTTGGCCGACGGACAACGCATGAAGGAAGGCATCCAGATCAACGGTAAGCATCTCGATGCACGGCCGAGTCTCATGCACCATCAGTCGGCCTCCTCGCGCTCGGCAACGTCATCAACGCGCTCGGCGACGAGCAAAACCAAAAGCGCACGGACACGGCCGCGTTCGTACCGTACCGCTCGTCCAAGCTCACGCGCCTGCTCCAAGACGCGCTCGGCGGCAACAGTCGGACGCTCTTTGTGTACGTTTTCCGATATATTTATATCGATGAAGCCCAAGGTGCTGCACAGAGCCTGCGTGTCGCCCGCCACGTCGAACGCTGCCGAGAGTCTCAACACGCTGCAGTACGCCAACCGGGCCCGCAACATTCAGAACAAGGTGGATTCTGTACCGTGAAATACACGGCTCAATAGTCCCTTCTCGGTCCTAGGCGGTCAAAAACCTCGACCCGCGGTCGGCGGAGCTCACGAGCCTGCATGCGTACATTGGCGTGCTCCAGCGGGAGCTCGTCAAGACGCTGTATGTGGACCCGAACGCACCGGACCGCGCGGCCAAGATTGAGTTGCTCCTGCAAGACGCCAAGATTCAGCACTTTCTCAAGCAGCTCCAGTTGAACGCGAGCGACGGCGTGTTTGCACCGACCGCGCTGCTGACGCATGCGGCGTCACGGGTGTCGCACGGGCAGGGCGACGAGCCGCACGAGGATACGACGAGCGACGACGATGACGACGACGACGGTGTCGACCCGACCGTGATTCCCGGTATTTTGAGCATCCTCGAGTGCTGTCTCGAGAAGGAGGCGGTCTTGTCGGACTACAAGCAAGCGAAAGTGGACATTCAGTGCCAAATGCAAGCGTGGCAGCTCAAGAAGCGGCGCGAGACGGCGCGCTGGAACACGCTGCGCCAGCAAGCCAAACCGCTCGAAGCGCAAGTCAAATCCAACGCGGTCGAGACGTGGATGCAGCAGCTGAACGCGCTTCAGCAGGAAAAGCTGAGCAACACCAACAGCGCCAAGGTCGACGAAGCGCTGCGAGAGATTAGCGCGCAGCTCCAAGCCCACAAGAAGGTCGCAACCGTGCTCGCCTACACCCAAGAACGGTACCCACACCGTTTGAGAGCTCGCGAATGACTCTGGTATGTGCCGATAGCGCCCAAGATGCCCAAGATCGCGTGCGCGAAGCCGACGCTGAGCTCCAGAAGCTCCAGGAGCGGCTGCACAAGCAAGAGCAGCACTGCAAGTACACGGTCAAGCTCAAGGACAATGACATTCAGCGGTACCGTGACTTTCCGCAAGCGTGCGCCAAGTGGAACCACTTGGGTGCGCTCGACTACTTTGCCGACCTCGAGGTATAGCGTCGTGTTGTGAACCCTCCAAAGCCATGGACGGTGTAGCTGCACTTTGGCGCCGACGCGGTCAAGAAGATGGTCCGCCAGCTCACGATTAGCGAGCAGTTGGCGCTCAACTGGCTCGAGCGACATCCACCGCATTTGCCCGAAGCGTCGCCGGCCCTTCAAGCTCACATGGCCCACATCCTCGACACGATCCAAGTACGGTTATTGAAGTGTACCAAACGATGCATCATGCGTGGTTAGACGCGGCTGACGTTTGAAGACACGGAAGCGACGCTGATGGAGTCGCTGCGAAAGCGCACGACGCTCTTGACGCAGATGCTCAACCGCGGCGCGTCGAAAGAGGCCCAGGACGACATTCGCCTCGCGCTGACGCGCATTGAAAATGGCATTCAGCTCGCGAGCGACACGCTGCAGCACATGGAGTCGGCGACGGACCTCACGCAGCTCGTGCCGACGGACGAAGCGACCGTCCGGGACCTCGTGGCGCAGCTGATATTGGCGCTCGAGCACAGCGAGCGCATGCAATACCACTTGGCCGACACGCGCAAGCGACCGACCGAAGCGAGCCCGACGCGACTCGGGGCCTCGCTGACGTCGTCGTCGGTCGCGCTCGTCCGCGAAGAGTACGAGCAACAGCTGCATGCGATCAAGGTGGCCCACGAGCAAGAAAAGCTCGCGTGGATCAGCCTGCAAAAGGAGCAAGAGTGCAATGTGACGCAGACGCAGTGGGACGAGCTGCAGGACGAACTGCGGGACGCGCGCAAGCAAATTGACGACCTCACGAGCCAAATCGACGACTTGCAGCGGCGCGAAGTGGCCTTCTCGGCCGTCCACGTACGTTGTCGTTGGTGCACTTGACTGTGGTCGACGGATGGATCCGTGTAGAAATGCCAAGAACTCATGGAGGAGCTGGGGCTCCAGGAAGGCGAGCGCGAGATCCAGATGAAGGAGCTCGCTATCAAGTGCCAACAGGACCTCGACCGCCTCCTCGCGATGAAGCAAGAGAGCCACACGGCGCTGCAGGCGATTGTGCAGCAAGTGATGCTCTGCGACAAGGCGCTCGGGACGACGTCGCGCCTCGACTTCCCCGCCAAGATGCCGCTGACGATCCAAGTGCAGCAGTGCCAACTCATTTTGCGCGATTTGGAAAAGACGATTGAAGCGCGCGTGCTCTCGCGACTGCGCAACCTCAAGCTTGCGTCGGAGATGTGCGACGAGCTCCAAATGGGCACGTCGGTGCCGGTGCCGCTCGGCATGGAGCGCGCGGTGTGGCTGAGCCTCATTGACAAGCAGTCGAAGCTCCAGAAGGACATTGCCGAGACGCTCCAGCGCTTCCATGGCGACATGTGCGTCTTTGCGATGTTTGATTCGATTGGCGAAGAGAATGCGGACGAGCTCGCGCAGTTGACGAAGCAACTCTTGCTCGAAGGCACGTTGCCGCTCCATGAGCTCAACATGCAAGAAGACATGACGCTGCTGGAGCTCCTCCAGCAAATGAAGGACTCGCGATGCCGCGACTTGGAAATGTGCATGCACAAGACGCGCGACTTGTATCTCGAGCTCCAGTTTACGACGGCCGACATTACGGCCGTGAGCGACGCGGTCGTCGCGACCTTGTCATTTCCATTCTCGCCCGAGAACCTCTTGCAGCGCCTCTTCAACACGGGTAGCGGTCCCTTCTCACGCTGGCTTCTCATGTCGATATGGGTAGGTGGCTCGATGGACATTTCCAGCCAAGGCCTCTGCTACATGCACACGCTCTGCACGAGGTAGTCGTACTATAGGAGGGTGAGAAGACTCACAGATGTCGGTAGTCTCGACTTGATTCGGCAAGCGCGCTTGGAGGTTCATGACGCGATCCATGACATGTGGTCCAAGGAAGAGGCGCTGTACAACGCGACGGTGACGCAGAGCCCAAAGCTGGCGCAGCTGCCCATGGCCAAGTCGCCGCCGAAACTCCACCGCCACGACCGCCACGTTACGAATGCGTCCATGTCGCGGCTGTGCGAGCAGACGGCGCTCTGGGCGCTGCGCGTGCGGCGCATTGTGTGCGGCAACTTGCGTCTCCTCGAGGACGAGCTCGACAGCTTTGGCATTGAAGACGTCCAAGATCGCATGGACTTTCTTGTTGGGTCGCGCGACCGGCGGCTCTTTTTGAACGAGCGCAACCTCTTGACGCACTACCACCACGAAGCGCAGCCGTATGCGACGTCGGACGAAGACCGGCCCGAGACGATGGACCTGTTGCACTCGCTGGATCCGTACCACGACAGTCTGGGCGCTGAGCTCGCCATGGCGCTTCGCCCGACGCTCCTCGACGACCTCCAAATGGAGTTGGCGTCGTTCCAGGGCGTGCAGACGGTACTCGAAGACGCCAAGGTCCGGCTCGACTCGCTGAGCAGCATCATGAAGTGTGTGGCCCAGGTACGTGCACGCAATTTTGTATCAAGTTTGTATCAAGTGCGCGTCTAGATTCGCGAGTACAACAAGAAGATCAACGAGTTTGAAGCCGCGGCCAGCGACAGCGATCGGCTCTTGGACCGTCGCGGGAGCTCGCTGCGGCTGCTCGACGAGGAGAAGTTTCGCAAGACGGCGGCCAAGAAATACCCCCAGTACGAGCACTACTTTGACTCTGGGTTATGAGACATTTTTCATTGATTAGGTTGGTGCAAAAGGTGCGGGACGAGGTGGACAAGTGGACCAACCAGTCGGAGCGCGGGTTTGAACTCGACATTCTCGGTGACGACCTCCAAGCGCTCTTGCGCGACACGATGCAGTACAACACGGAGTTTATGCACCTGAGCTTGATGAAGAACACGCGCACCAAGGCCAAGCGGCTCTCGTAATGCCCTAATACCATAGCTTACGATTCATATATATAACATAGCATTAGGAGATGGAGACTAGGTCCACAGGAAGCCAAAGCTCACTTCGAGCATGGACGAGATGCCCCCAAAGCCCGGGAGCATCATGCCCGGGTCGCGGAAGAGGTACTCTTTTGGCGCCTCGGGGGCGTAGAACAAGGTCGAGTGGCGGGTCGGCGGCAACGGCCTTCGGCTTTCCTTGCGCGATGGCGCAACAACCGCGACGGGCGACGGACTCGTGAGGTCGAGGTCGTCGTCGAGCTCCGTGTCGTCGTCGCTGAAGACGCTGATCGGACCGTCGTCCTCGCTCTGGTTGTCGAGGAGACTTCGGCGCAGCACGTTGTTGTTGCTGGTCCGGCGGCCCTTGTCCACGGACGACGTCGACGGCCCTTGCTTCTTGAGCCATTCGATGGTCGTGTTGGCCTAGACGCAATGCATGGGACAGAGCAGTAGCAAAGGGCGTCGTACGTCGTGGAGTTGATGGGTGAGGAGCTTGATCTGGTCCCGCAGCTGCTGCACGAGGAGCATTTGGGTGTCGGCGTTCTTGACGGGCGTGTTGGAGATGCACTACGGAGCGGCTAAGGACCCGCGCGTCGCTCTACATGTGGCGGTACCTGGGCCCGCGCTGCGTACTGGAGGGTGCTCAGGTTCTCCTCAAAGCAGAGATCGCTGGGCGCGAGGCAGACAACCATGATGGTGATCGAGTTGCCACCCAAACTAGCCGAAAAAAGAGGAGGATGAGCTGCTTGATATGCGTGTTTTTGGTGCGCGTGCCTGTGCTTGAGGAGCGACGTGAGCTTTGAGTCGCGGTAGGGCACGTGCGTCTTGGCGAGCGCCGAGTTGCTGGGGTTGTTGTTGCTGGCTTCGTCACTGAGGATCTGAATGACTTGGCGCAGTACGAAGAGCGACTTATTGATGCCGATCGACTCTTGCAGCGTCACGCCGCTGGCGCCCGTCTTCATGATGCGCTCCGAGCCGGCCAAGTCGACTAGCCATGCTGCGGATAAGACACGTAGCTCCTTGCATGGGCGTACCGAGGCAAAACTTGGTCGTCGTGACCACGCCCGGGTTCTCGGCGTCGCTCGACTCGATGTAGAGCGTGTAGATACAGTGCGAGCGCGACGACGACGCGTTCAAGTTGGTGGTCGCCATGATCTTTTGCTTGATTGCGTCGTGGAAGACCGCCATCATCTAGTCTCCTCCGTCACTCGTCCAGAACCTCCCGGATGCAAACGTACGTCGGCGGCCGAGGTGCAGTCGACCATCGTGAGGTCCTCGACGTAAAACTCGTGGTCGGGCGACCAGCGCAGGCGCAGGCAGCGGCTACCAGAACCAGACGTGAGCGCTGGGCGAGCGCTCTATACTGTACTTTTGGTTGTGGAGCGTTGGCGCCGGGTTGAGGAGGTCGAGGATCTAATGAGGATCCATGAGGTGCTGGGTGCGAGAGGACGAAGCGGACTTGTTCGTTGTAGATTTGGACGCACGAACACTTGACGCGGTACGTCTTGTTCTAGTGCGCATTGAGCCTGTCTGCTGGTCGACGAAGGGTCGTCAGTAGTACCTGGACCACCGACGCCGTGTCGATCGCGTCAAAGAGGTTGATGATCACACGCGGAATGATCTACACGCGAGACAGCACTGCTGAGGACGAACGGTTGGTCGCAAAGAACGTACGCCGATGCGCGACGAGCTGACAGCCACGTTGGCCCGCGACTGGACACGCTCGCGGCTCGCCGTGCTGTTGGAGCGCTAGGCATGCGGAAGCTTGAACGATCGCCAAAGAGGATCGCGATCGTCGAACCTCGTACGAGTAGCCTTCCATCGTAAACGTCTTGCCCGAGCCTGTTTGGCCGTACGCAAACAGCGTCGCGTGGTACCTACGCAAGGGGCATGACGCACGTGCATCGCAGCCTCGTGGGCGTACCCTTCGAGGACGCTCGCGATCGACTGCTGGACGCCGGCAGCGTCGTACATGTCCTCTTGGCTGGACTTTGGACCCAAGACATGGTCGAAGCGATACGTCTTCTCGGGCGATGCGTTGTTGAGGCGCAGCCGCACCATGTGGTCGTCCCACTGCAGCGTCCGGGACGAGTGGCTCTTCTCGGACGGGAGCTGCGGCCGGACGCGGACTAAGACGCGGATCTACGTGGCAGCCTGAGTGGCCGAAGCGCCCATCGGAGGCTTCGTACCTTGCTGTTCATGAGGAAATACGCCAATGTGCCAGCTATTTCCAGCTGCGACGATCTTCATTTGCGTTGCGTGACCAACGCCGTTTGCCACCCAAATCTTGCTATCCGGACGGTATCCGGAACCGACTCACCGGATACCTCCGCGAGTATCCGGCATACGCGCCTGTTGCGATCCACACGCAGGCGTGGAAGGCTTCTCGCGCCATCGGACGTCCAACAGGACGTAGCAGAGAACGCGCGCTGCAAGGTTCGACTCGTAGCGTGGTTTCCTCTTGTTGAAACGTAGGAGAGCGATGGGTGGTGGCTGTCGAGTGCAAGTACCAGGTACCACAAACGCAGAAGATGGAGAAAAGGTAGCTCGTCGCGGCCAAGACGAGGCGTGATGGAGCGGCCCTCGACAGCGCGAGTCGTGCGACAAGGATGTGGATGGGCGGCAACTGGCGCAGTTCTTATCGCAGTAGCTTTGGTGGAGGCTCCGTACACGCTTCCACGGGACACCGCGCCGTACACTGTAGATGATGGTGCATGTGCGATATCGTATGGAGCGCTAAACTGCTAGTGCGACGACTTGGTGTCATGGAGCCGACTCAGGTCGAACGTTGAAGCCGTGTCGCGCCTGCAACGCATTTCCATACTGAAAACAGTACTAGCTGCGTACATGGTATATACGCGCCAGCGTGTCGCTGGAATAGAAGCACGACGACCAGCTTCGTGCAGATAGAAGGCGGCGCAGCGGCGGCCGACTCTCCAGGTCGCGCGTTGTCGGCGGAGATCGATAAGGTACTTGCAGACTGCAATGGGATTGGCGCGCGCTACGCCAATCAGTGGTGAGCAATGCTGGCCATTTCAGCCAATCCCCACGCGATGCACGCTGCTCGGCATAGAAAGCGGCGCGGGAGCTATCACTCGATGCTGGATTGATAATGCTTCCTACATACTGTGTACGGGATCGTTGAAGCTGCCGACTGGCGTGCTGCGCGTCGCACACAAGACGCCCCCGCGCGGCTGCAGAGAGCGGACGCACTCAGATCTTTGACGTGCGCGCTACGTTCGAAAATCTCATATATACACTATTTCGCGAATTACTCACGACTATCCAATAGTGTGAGCAAGTAGAGCTGTATTCGTGTACGACGCGAATTACTGTCGTTTCAGGGCTTCGAGAACATGACGGACGACGAGGTGCTCGCCAAAGACCGCGCCGAGCACCCCGAGTGCAACTACACGACGAGCCTCTCGACTGCCTGCCGCAGCGTCAACGGCGATCGCACATGCGAGACAATCCGCAAGATCTATCGCTGCTGCCCAGGCAAGCCAAAGGAGCTCATCATTAATTCGAGTACGAAGGAAGAGGGCGCCGCCGCCGACGACAACAACACTGTCGCGGACGACCCGTTCCGCCACTTTGGCCCTCGCCGACGCGACGGCCCGGCCTTTTCGATGGGCGACGATCCGTTTGAGGCGATGGACGGCTTCTTCCGCGGTATGATGGGCGGCACTGGCCCGTTTGGCGGCTTTGACCAGATGCCACGACCGCCGCAGCACGAGACGCCGCCGCACCACGGCTACGAACGCCCGCGGGCGCCACGGCGCCAGGCCCCGCCCCAGAAAGATGTATTCGATGGCTTTGACGGCCGTGTCGAAGAAATCTAGCCATCATTATTCCGTGTCGCTGGCTGTCGCTGCAGCGTGTCTACGCTCGCGCCTTGGTTTAGCGCATCGCACGAAGCGAATCAGCTCAGCACCGCGCTGCCTCTCTTCTCTGCTGCGCGTTGGTGTGGCTGAGTACCAAGGTTTTGGACGTATGGCTGCAACTCTGGGAAAACGTGAGACCAAGGTGCAATGCAGCTGCGTTCTGCGTTCACATTTGCTTGGCCTTTCCAGTGGCGCGTGTCGCGGAGACTTCGAATGCCCCTGACGACGCTGGTCCTGGCGCCAAGGGGCAGCTGCGCCGGGTGGAGTTTGGTGTGGCATCCGCTGCCAGCAGGCATGAAACTCCGTCGCGGGCGGCTACTGCGCTTGAATATTTCGCTTCGAGGCAGTGGACGGCGCTTGCTACAGCTCTTCCCATCGCTCGAAGCTCGTGACTACCTTTCGTGTCGAAGCTGTTCGAGTTTTTAGGCCTAAAATGGTGTGTTCGTGAAAGTCCGGCCTTGTGTTAATGTGCATTGATGTTTCACACTATTTCGATACCCAGCTCTTCGATATTTCGATATTTCGATATTTCGATATTTCGATATTTTGGGACGCAAAAATGGCGCGCCGACAGAGTCGCACCTTGTGCCCAAGAGAACCATCAACTTTTGTTGTTGGAGTCCGTAAAATAGAAGCGGCGACCAGGGATTGAAGCGAAGCCAACGAGATTCGCTGCCTCGTTCTTGACAGCTTGACGCAGTTCAGCACGTTGGAGGAATGATCGCTCAGCTGAGCCGCGAGCTGAGATTCCACCACGGCTCCATTCGATCGAAACAAGTTTGCGGCCTACGAGCCAAACTCAGCGAAGCACGGCGCTCGTATAGGACTATAAATATAGGACAATGACGAGTCCCGAGTATGTATCGCCACTCGCCCCGTCGCGTCTCCAAGCGCCACCCCACTACATGTGCACTGAATGGTCTCTTTCTTGGCGCCCATCATCGCCATCACCCGGTTGATGTGTAACCGAACGACTAGCTCATCGACCGATCAGCAATGGTTAGCGGTCAACGTGCTCTCAGGACCCCGCCCAATAGTTGGTGACAAAACCATTTGGTTGGGTGGACTAGACTAGCATGGTATTCTTCTATCGGTCTATACTCTATGCACAAGTATTCTCATTCTGCCTCGGCTGCATTCCACGTCAAGACGGACGGCAGCGAGAAGCTCGTGTCGGACGCGCCTTCGTCCTTCATGGCCACGCGCTCGGGCAAAATGCGAAATTTCGTGCAGCGTTTCGAGCGCGGCCGGCCGACGCGCGACGTGACCTTGAGCTTTGTCACGGGCGACGGCGTGCAAAAGCCCATGCGGGTCCGGCCCGTTGGCTTGGTCGGTTTGGTCGGCGACGCGCACACGATTTGCAGCGTCACGGGCTGTTGCAGTCGCCGGCTGAGTGCTTTTGCGAGCTTTTGCCGGCGCAGCCGCGACGGCTGCTGCTTGTCGAGCGCCAGCAGTCGCTCTCGGAACGAAGCCGGCTCAAAATGGAGGCCCGGGATGCCGCACTGGGAGGCGATTGTGACATTGTCTGGGCAGTCGTCGATGAGGAGCACGTCGGCGCTCTTGATGGCTTCGTGCAGGAGGAAGTAGTTGGCGGGGTCGGACTGCTGGGACTTGCAGGCGGCGAGGCCCGCCGACACGACGTACGACACTTTGTTTTTTCGGTCGAGATGCAGATGATGCGCATCGATACCGGTAAACGTCTCGGCGTCCGACGCCTGGAGCGTCCATGAACTGTCGTTGCAGCGAAGGACAATCTTCTCTACAATACATTGAGGCATGAGGTCCGATGTGCGTTGATAACAGCGCTCTAGTCGCACCGGCAACAGACGGCTCAAAACACAGCTGCAAGACCGCTTCAATGAGGTCGCGCTGCGGCGAAAAGGTCACGAGCGCGACGGTCAGCTGGCTCTTCTCGGTCAAGAGCGGGCAGAGGTACCGAAAGTACGCCCTAGATGACGCCATCATGATGAATGCGGCATGGACTCGTGTCACTCGTACCGGACTTGGAGCGCGAGTTCGTCAGCCGACTGAGACCACTCGCCGTTGGTGTGCACCTTGACAAATGTCGCATCAAAGTCGATGCAGACAAGGCGACAGCCCATTTCAGAGAGCGCCTCAACGGTCTCATGGGCCATGCGCGCAGCGACATGGTCGTCTTCCATGTCGTGCTCGTCGTCCGTCTCCAAGACCGGATCCTCTGCGTACATGGGGTCCATGTGGGGCGAAGCACGGACCTAATCGTCGCCGTTCCATGAGCCATCCCATGCCATGGCAGGGCGCTACGCCGATGCATCGCAGTCTGCCGCATGCGCAGGCGGTGACCGCCAGGCGCATGGGCGACAGCCATCGCCAGAGAGCAGCTATGGTCGTTGTCGTACCGAGGGTCGTCGTCCGCGTCGTCGCCAAAGCGAATTTGCGCCGGTACAGTTTGAATATTCGGTTTTCAGCCAATGAACACACAGCTGTTTGCTCATTTTATAGTTTATCTTGTTGACTCTATGTGAAGTGACGAGGACGCTATTAAAATACCTTCGCGCCATACCCGACAAGGAATTTTGAACCGAGCGGGTTGTGACGCCCACAAACAACTATCGTCGTGCTACTATCCACCTATCTATCTATCCAACTATTCATCTACTAGTATCTATAATCCATTCACCGATCGATTTGATTTCATGGGCGGGCTCAGCGACACCGTGTTGCTGAGAGTATTTTCGTGCAGTAGTTGCCTCTCACGTCTTGTCGCCAGAGTCGCATTGCCGACGGGCAGTCCACGGACGTTGACAGCATTGGACCAAGCCCGAGCGGCAGACAGGCTGCGACTGCGCCGGCATCAAAGTCACACCCCTCACATCACGAAGACAAGTCTCGGCAAGATGTGGATCAGACAAACTCGAACCGTTGGCGCTGGCACGACACCACTGCAGCACTGTACGACCACAGACACGTCCGCACCAACTCGAAGCACGCAAAAGCCCTCTCTGTCGACGCAGCGATTCGCATACAGCTTCACAGCGCTGCCACGTCACGCGGTCCAGAGATGCGGCAATCTCGTTTGATTCGAGCACGGCTTCGGCTGGCTGCACACCGCCACTGCCGCCACACGTGATTAGCCGTCGTCACGCAGTAGCAGACTTGGAGCCCAAGACACGACGTAGCCCACGTTGTCGTCCCAAGCATTGCCTTCTGGCGCTTGCAGTGAACCAACTTCAAGTTTCTCGGCGGCGTATCCGGATAAAGGTCAAAGTCGGATCAGCATGGCCTCGGGCATCACGCACGGCTTCCTCCGCGCCGTGGGGCGGACGCCCTTGATCAAGCTCGGGTCGCTGAGCGCGCTCACGGGCTGCAACATCCTCGCCAAGGCCGAGTTCATGAACCCCGGCGGGTCCGTCAAGGACCGGGCAGCGCTCTACGTGGTCGAGGGCCAAGAGAAGGCCGGGCTTCTCGCGCCAGGGGGCACGGTCGTCGAGGGCACGGCCGGCAACACGGGCATTGGCCTCGCCCACGTCTGCGCCGCCAAGGGCTACAACTGCGTCATCTACATGCCGGATACGCAGAGCGCCGAGAAGATCCAGGCGCTGCGCATCCTCGGCGCCGACGTCCGCCCCGTGCCCGCGGTGGCGTTCACCGACCCGCTCAACTACAACCACCAGGCGCGCGCGTACGCCGAGAGCCTGCCCAACGGTACGACACCTTACACACTCATATCTGGGATGACCACGAACTAGCGGTTTGGACCAACCAGTTTGACAACGTCGCCAACCGACTCGCCCACTTCGAGACGACGGGCCCCGAGATTTTTGCGCAGACGCAAGGCGACGTCGACGCCTTTACGTGCGCGACGGGCACAGGCGGGACGCTGGCAGGTACGTCCGGACGCAGTCATCACAAGTTGACGCCGAACGTTGTCAAGGTACGGCGCTGTACCTCAAGGAGCGCAAGCCGGGGGTTCGCATCGTACTGGCGGACCCGCCCGGTAGCGTGTTGTACCGCCACGTGCATGACAATGTCCTCGAGCGCACGGGCAATGGCAGCATCACCGAAGGAATCGGTCAAGGCCGCGTCACCGAGAACCTCCGCGGGGCGCCGATCGATGACGCAGTGCACATTGAGGACCACCGGTCGATTGAGATGGTACTTGGACCACAGTCCTGGAACTGCAAAGCTGACTGTCGAGTGCAGGTCTACCGGCTGCTCAAGGACGAAGGTATTTTTGTCGGCGCGTCGTCGGGCCTCAACGTGACGGCAGCCGTCGACGTTGCCAAGGCCATGGGACCTGGCCATACTGTCGTCACGATCCTCTGCGACAGCGCCGCGCGGTACCAGTCTCGCCTCTTCAGCCGCTCGTGGCTCGAAGGAAAAGGGCTGCTTGCGGCCGTGCCCGTCGACTGCCAATCGCTCGTCTCGTTGCCGTGATCACATTACTGGATCTTAGTCTCGTTTTATCGAAAGGGTCGAAGCCACTCGTGTTGCAGTGCGTCGTCGAGGGACCGCCGGAGCTCCACGGGCCGGAGGAGGCCGTGTACAAAGTCTTTAGCAGTCGTCGATAGCGTCGGGCTCGATAGCAGTCTACAGAGCCCATTACATGGTCGTCGTCATGACGCATCGTACAGTGGAAAGGGCGGGCAGTCTTGTTCGTACCACGCAGCGATCTTGGCAAACACGTCCTACACAGAGTTGGGGAGGTGTAGACAAAACGCAGGTTTTACGTCGCCGTGGAATGGGGTTTGGCCAAGGAGGAGTTCGTACGCCAGGACGCCGAGGCTCCAAATGTCGACCTCGCAGCCGTACTCGCCGCGACACACGATTTCGGGGCCCATGTACTCGGGCGTGCCACAGAATGTCCGGCGACGGGTATCGGGAGGTGGCGCGTGGGCAGCGAGACCGAAGTCGGCGACCTTGATGCCACCTTCGGGACCGAGCAAGAGATTGTCGGGCTACGTCACCAACGAGAATGGCTTCGAGCGACCCATAGTACGGTGGAAGCGTACCTTGATGTCGCGGTGGATCACATGCCGCTCATGGAGGTACTTGAGCGCGCACGCAACCTGATAAATATAGTGGGCAGCCGTGGCCTCAGGAAAGCTGCCATTCGGTTGGTCGGCCAAAAGCTTCTGGAGCGTCCCGCGGGGCGCGTATTCGAGGATCAAGTAGAGGAGTGCGTCGTCGTGAAAGTGGCCGTACAGGCGCAGAATGTTGGGGTGCAAGAGGCGCGACTACCGGGGCGCCGTTGAAGTTCAAGCTGAATCAAGTCATTGATCGTACCTGGATCGCGACCTCCATTTTCAGGCTTTGCATGCCCGCATCGTCGAGACGGAGCTTGGTCAACACCTAACGACATGTGCGCACGTCGACCACCGAGATGGGATGACCAACCTTGAGGGCGACCTCCTTCTCGGCGGCCGTTCTCTGTCTCGCCAAGTAGACGTACCCAAACTTGCCAAAGCCAAGCTTCTTGTCTGTAAACTTGAAGTCGTCGCGTGTCCATTTCCTACATGTACCATGCGTATGAAGATCATCACGCGGGATGGCGAAAGGACGTGAGGATGTACCGTGTACGCGGGGCAAGCGAGACTGACGGCGCGTCCATCGATTGCCGCTCAATAGACGAGCGGCTCAAGGACGTCCGGCGCGCCAAGCTTGTAAAGGCTGGGCGGCTCTGCCACGGAGAGGGCTGCGCGGTTGACTCGCCACCGCTCGAGCGCGACGCGGGTTGGTTGTCACTACTCTCATCCGAATCGCTGTCTTGGTGCGTTGCAAGCACACGGAGAGGGCCGGCACCGAGGTTGGAGACGCGTCGGTGGTGCGGCTTGAGTGGGTTGGCCACGGATGCTCGTCGATCTTCGACCTGGGTCATGGGCTTGGGTCGAAGCTGATCCATGCTGACACGTCGCTGGATGACGGAGGGGGCGGGAGGCGCAACAAAGGACGGGGTCGATACGATCGGCGAAGTCGTCTTGGATGGTCCTGTCATCGACGACGAGGACGACGTCGACAAGCGCTTGCGCTCAAACGACTTGGTCAACGAGGTCGATGGCGACGACGTCGAGCTGCTCGAGACCCGCCGCAATGGCGACGCGGTGGCAGATGGTGCTCGCTGGGACGCGCTTCGGTAGACGTCGGTTGTTGAGGAAGATGCACTCGACGACTGCGAGGACGATCCAGATCTGGCAGGGGCGTCGTTCACAAGGGCAGGAGGCGTAGGCTCGGGAACGATGGCCACCGCCACGACGGGTGTTGCATCGTCCTTCGCCTCGCGCGCGTTGGCCGAGGGTACGCTCGTCACCTCGATCGACGGGGCTGGTGGCGCCGTCTTGGACGCCTTGGCCACGAGCACCTTGGAGCGCGCTTGCTTTGCAGGCCCCAGATTCCTCGCCGGGACCTGCTTCTTGGACGGAGGAGCGGCCCTACATGGAGAGCGATGGTTGAGGTAGACGCAAGCAGCATGTGGACGCACCGGTTCCGCGCGGCCTCCTCCCGCTTCCGCTTCTGCTCCCTCCACGCCTGGAGCTTGGCCTCCATGTCCCGGGTTCAAAGTCTGGCAATATTTTACCGCCACCTTTTTTAAATGTCCGACCGACCATACAAACAACAAATGATTTTGAGTTTTCAATTCTAACCAATCAGCGTGCAGAATAAACGTGTCGGCAAAGATCACCAAGCGCTTGGCGCCACGACGCCTTAGTCGAGTTAGTCGATATGACCTCGACTTTAGTCGGATAGGGTCGTACACGGTCCAGCACGCGAGCCTCTTCCTCTCGATCGCGTCACTCATTGGCGTCGACTAGACTCGTTAGTCGCCAAGCTCATCTGCGATTTACAAAGCTTAATATGGTGTCAACCTTGACAGCACGTAAAAATAGTATTGTCCTGTTGCGCCATGCTCAAGCTCCAGATCCCGTTCCTCGTCACGACAGCGTCCTCGGAAGACGATGACGTACGCGCGTCTCTCTTGGTCGTATCCGAATGCGAATGGGATAGCACCCGTCGATCCACCTGCAGTCCTCGACGTCGCAAGGGTGGCAGTCCTCCAAGTACGAACCAACGCCTTCGCATCTCATATTGAGCGACAGGATCCCATCGAGTAGGTTGTGCGAGTACCCGCAGGAGCTCGTGCTCATGGTCAACCACGGCAACGCCGTCCGCGTGTCTAAGGTCCCTTGTCATCGTACTCGGTCCTAGCATGACTCGCTGTCCTAGTGCCAACTGCTAATGCACCAGACCAAGATTCCGTCCCGCGTTGACGTTCACGTCAAGCCCCGGCTCAACGCCGCCTTTGTGCTCTTGGGGTATGTGGGCCTCGACTCGAACGTCTCGACGCAGTACAACGCCCGCGAGCTCAAGACGATCGCGATCGACCGCGACGTCGCGTACCTCAAGCTCGTGCTGCACAGCTGCCACCGAAATCGCATCAACGTGTTTGACCAAGTACACATTGTCATATGTCCCTTGCGAATAGGATTCAATTCTCCCATTAGGTCGGGCTCGTCTCGGTCAGCTTGTACGGCCACACCGCACTGGACCCGCAGAGCCCTCAGAAACGCAAGGCCAACATGTCTCTCAACCCCGTGCAGCTACCAAGCTGTCGCAGTACCCCGCGCGACGACACGCACTACGACTGCTTTGCCGTAGCGCACCCGACGCAGCGCGCTGTCCGCGTCTCGCTGCGTCAAGTCCTCGAGCACCTCCGGCGGTCGCGCCAAATGTGCGTCGACGCCCAAGACTATGCGCTCGCCAAGACGCTCAAGGGCCAAGAAGAGATGTGCCGAGCGTATGCCCAGCAGCTTCAGCAACTGCAGAGCCAAAAATGCGCGGTCGTCGCCAACGAAGACTTTGAGGCGGCGACGCTCCTCAAGCTCGAGATGGACGCGGTGCTAAGCAACGTCGAGGGCCTCTTAGCGATGGCGCTGAGCGCCGTGCCCGACACCCCGGCCCTCCCAAGCCCAAAACGGACAACGGCCATGCCGGTGTTGGTGACCCGCCGCCCGGAAACGAGCGTCACGCGACCCCTCTCGGCCATTGAAAAGACACAAGACGCCGAGCCACTGCCACCCGACTTTGGCACAGTATATGCAGTTAGGTTTCGTGGTGCATGACCTGAGTCGTAGGCGTCTGAGGCGATTGCGTCAGTGTGCCCGCTGCGCGTGCTGGCAGAGGCCTGCAGCGCCCACGCCCACCTTCGCGACCGAGGTCTACCCCAGCTTGTGACGATTTTTGAGCGTGTGCCCGCCGATGCGCTGCCTGGCACGGTCTACCTTGCGTGGTTGAGCGTTGGCTGCATCTCACCTCTGGAACACGTACGTGCGGGTACCAAGTGGCGCGGACAGTGACGTGCTTGGCGCAGGTGATGGCGGTGGCCACGCGGCTACTGGTGCTGCTTGTGGGTCGCCTTCGCGACGTCTCGGGCTTCTTGCAGTCGGTATGTGGACTGCGTGCTTGCATTGCTTTTGAGCTCGGTTGGCCCGTAGATGCCAAACGTTCTCGCACGACTCCTGCATCGTTTGGGCGACGGCTCAAGCACCATTCGCAACTTTGCAGCCAGCGCTCTTCTCCAGGTCAGGGATACCATTTTGCAGTGTCTCGATGCATCATCTAGTTGGCGCAACCGTCGCACGTCGATGCGCCTGTCGTTGTGGCTGCTATCAAAGACTATGCTGAGCAGACTGATACTGTCCACTGGCGCGTCCTTTACGGGCTCTTGCGGGTAAGTACCGCGTTTCGATTCCCTTATGTACTTGTGAGGGGCGTAGCTGTTGACGATGCTGCTGGGGGACTTTCGTAGCGTCACAACCAACGACCTCACTGTGCGAATCCGTCGATCTAAGCTCGTGCCGAGGAAGCGATCATTTGTAGGTACTCTTGCCGTTCTTCTGCCGCCACGGCGCCTTTGGCCATACCGTGATGCAAGTGGCTGATGCCGCCGACCAGCTCATTGTCACTGTGTACCACGTACTCGCAGTATGGTGAGACGACTTGCGATTGATGCATGCGACTGTAGGAGCTAGGAAGCGCTAGTGTCGAGCCCTTCTTGGACGCCAACGAGTGCGCGCGCTACCAAGCGCTTCTGCTCGCCGAGTGGGGCCCCCGCGGTGACAAAGACTGCAGTAGCCAGAAGCAAGACGAAGCTGAAGTCGCTACTACCACACCGTGTTAGGATATTCTACACCCTTTCTTGTCGTTTGACTCTTTCGCCGACGCCTTTCGGGCTTTGGTGACGACTTGATCGACGACCTTGAGCGTGCCGATCTTGTCGTCGGCGGCGGTCTGCCGAGGCGACTTGGCAGCAACCTCGTTCGTCGGTGTGATCTGATTCTTCTTGATCGACTTGGCGTCCTTGGCCGGCTCGTTGGGCTTGGCCACGACGGTAGTTTCTGGTACAATGGCGGAAGTTTCCGGTACTACTACGCTGCTTTCAACAGATCCCATGGCCGCTGAGGACGGTATACGCGCGTCGTCTCGCATTGACAACACAGGTGTCGATGCCGGATAAATGGCGACGGAAAGAATCGGGACGGCCCTGGCGTCGTCCACCGGTCGGCTCATGTCGGAGGCTGTGGTTGGCGCTGCGGTCTTGTCCTCGGACGGAAGCGTTGGCTGGAGCGAAGGCTCCTCGAGTGCTGGCGTGTCGACCGTAGCGCGCTCTTCTGGCTCGAAACCCGAGACGAGATTCGTCGTTGTCATCGTGTCAATAGGCGCTTGTAGGACCATATTTGCTGGTACGTTTGGCTCGACTAGCATTGGATGCACCCGCTCTTGGTTGGAACCCACGTCGACTGGATCCCGCCTCTTCTCGACGCTGCCAACAAACGCAACAGAACCTTTCTGGAGTCGTGATTCAAAGCCGTCCAGGGACCCTTCGTCGAGGACGTAGGTGCGCAGCTGCGTCGGCAAGCCAAAGAGCCGAGCATACGTCTCGACGTGCGCCGTGAGCCGGCGGAGCTCCATGGCGTCGAAGGGGAATTTGCGAAAGAGAGGCACGTGGGCCTCGACCTCGAGCGAGACAGCGAGCGCGTCCTGTTGCGCGAGCGCTAAGAGGAGCGTGAGGCACTCGAGGGCCGACCCGCTCACATCCGCACTCGCGTCGTTGACCTGCGCCTTGAGAAACGATTGCATGTCGGCTAGAAGCGGCTTGTTTTTGGGCAGCGGAATGTCGGCGGCCGCGAACGTGTAGAGCAGATCCTGCAGGCACTTGAGGCATAAGAGCGTCTCAAACGGCGATGTTGCGGCCTGTGTGCTCTGCCACGTCGCCTCCAAGACGACGTCGGCGATGTGGCGCTGCTGCACGAGAAACCGCAGTGTTCGGATGCACTCTTCGCGCAAGAGCGTGTTGAACTTGGCGCAAAAATGCAGCAGTTGGCGCGTGATATTCTGCACCAGCGGTCGCAGCACGCCGCGGCGCAGCTCGTACGTGCCAAACGACGTCGGCGCGTCACTGGGCTTTTCGTACATCGTTCGCACAAGATGCAAGAGCGCAAGGATCACGGGCACCGTGCTGTCGTGCAACAGAATGGCGTCGACGTAGACACTGTACATCTCGTAGAGCGTCTCGGGATCAAACATGGGCACGAGCACGGCGATGTGCTGCTCGGCGATCTCAATGCACGCCCGCCGCACGCGCCAATTCGAGTGGACGCTGGCGTGGACAAAGACGGTCCCAAACATTGTGTTTAGAAACGTGCTCGTTGACGGCGGTAGCGCCGGCCGAGACGTCGAAGAAGCGTCGCTGCCCTTGAGAGGGCTATGGCCTGGATCATCTCGGCGCCATGCGCGGACTGCAAGGTCAAATATCGATTCGATGCCACTCGCTGTGCGTTCATGATCCATTTTGTCTGGCACATCCCGGGCCAAGTCGTCGTCGATGGCCGGCGCGGGCTGGCAGCTCGCAAACGCTTTGGCGATCGCTCGTTCGCGGGTCGTATGCAGCGCCGCCATGGCCTACGCCACCGAGATGGCACCATTCACTAGATCGTATTGGGGTAGAGAGCCTACCTCGTGATACGTCAGCGCCGCGTCATAGTCTTCGTTGGCGATTGTATTCGATTTGAGGCGGGACAGCGACTGCATTTGCTGCCCGAGACTCGAGAGCGATCGAACGTGCTCAGATAAGATCTGCGCTTGGGCGTACGCCTCACTGGCGATGCAGTCGGCCTTGACGAGGAGGACGCTCGCAATGGCCTTGCGCGTGTACTCGTCGACCGCTGCCGGCGGTGCGCCAAGGTCCGTCACCACGTCCATGGGCACCCCCGTCTCAAGAAGCGCGCGCTGGATGGACGCCATCGACACTTTACGGGCCAACGTGCCTTGGGCTTTGGTTTCCCCGGTTGGCGGCGTCATCTCGACCCCGAGCAGATCGAGCTGCATGATGGCTACCTACGTACTATGGCATGAGACAACATTTACAACAGACAAGGTGACCTGGTTGTAGACGTTTCTCGAGCGCGGACCGTGCACGATGAGCTTGAGCACGTTCAGCGGCTCGTGGACATCGACGCGCATCTCTTCGGCGCCGTCCACGGCGGTCGCTTCGCGCCACTCGACCGTGCTATGCAAACGTGGCTAACTGCGTGGTGGTCTCGTAGGATATATCTACCAGAGCGGTCGGCAGTCGGTGCTAAAGTACAAGTGCAGCGGCAGGTCGTCGCGGGCCTCGGGCGACGCCGGGTCGAGATAATGCGTCGCCACCACCGTGTCGTCCCCGATCAGGAGCTCGACTAGCAAGAAGCGATTGTTGACTGGCGTTGGCAATTATTGCGAGTACCTCGTGAAGGGGCGTACGCACTGTGTGTTGCGAGGCGAATGGTCTTGATGCAGGCACGCTGGGGCAAGCAGAGACCAAGCTCCTGCGGGTAGCCGCACGACTTGGCCGAGACCCACTCCAAGCCTGTTGGCGCCTGGTTGGCCACGCGGCAGTAGTCGTCGATGGGGCTCGGGTACGACGGCGACATGTCCATGGACGATGCATGCACCCGCTCGTGGCGCACCCGCGACATCAAGAGGTCGTTTCAGATGCGTCTGTCGTCGTCCCAGATTCCAATTCTGGCACGCAGCACTGAGGCACCACAGCAGTTCTATAGCCCAGCGCCAGACGATTTCACGTCTCCTCATTACTGTGGCCGCCGTCAAACTCCCACTTTGAGCTCACATGGTCGACGAGAGGTTTGCTCTGGCGCAACACCCGGGGCGTGCGTGGTTTCCGTGGTCTCACAGGGTATACTTTTCGAATCCGCCTATCGACCTATCTGTCGTAGTGTCTATTGAATCGACAATACTATTGTGGTTGCGCCGCATCGCTTCAACGTCGCCTTGGGTTTGCTTACGGCGCTTGCGTGTCATTCGAACCTGTCACAATGCATGTCGCGGGCCCGAGTATGCATTCATAGAGGTTAAATACGCGTCGCTGATTGGTGGTTATTCGGACAATTGGGATTTTTGGCTGGTTGGCAGGAATGGCTGTTGGAGTATTTTCAACGTGTGTGTCATTTTGATATTGCAGCACCCGTAAGATGCGTATCCACACGTGCTACTTCTGCTCGAGCCCCGTGTACCCTGGCCATGGCATGGCCTTTGTCCGCAACGACTCGAAGGTCTTCCGCTTCTGCCGCTCCAAGTGCCACCGCAACTTTAACCGCAAGCGCAACCCGCGCAAGGTCAAGTGGACCAAGGCGTTCCGCAAGGCTGCTGGCAAGGAAATGGCGCTCGACACGACGTTCGACTTCGAGAAGATCCGCAACCGCGCCGTCAAGTACGACCGCGACCTTGTCGGCGCGACGCTCCATGCGATGGCGCGTGTGCAGCAGATCAAGGAGAAGCGCGAGGCTGCATTCTACAAGAACCGCATGAAGGACTCCAAGGCCAAGCAGAAGGCCCGCGACGTGGCCGAGATCGAACAGAACATCAGCTTGATCAAGCCCGAGATTGTCTTTGCCAAGGAGCGCGCCCAGCTGAACGCGGCCGACAACGAGCGCGTGACCAACGCGGTGGGCGGCGACGAGGGCATGGAAATGGAAGACTAAGTCTTTCGTATCTAGCCGTGTATTTCATTAATATAGTCTCCATAATTTTGACGCTATCATGCAACACAGGCCCGGCGAGGTAGCCATATTGCCGGTCTATCCACGGCTTGAAGGCGGAGGACGATGATTATGCCTCAATTCTTATTGGCGCCAACTCGAAGGGGTCGATACTCCGTCCTGCGAGGGGCTTGGCAGAGAGGCACGAGCGTAGCGAACACCTTGGAGCTCTGCGTGGGGAGCCGATTGAGAACGTTGTCGTCGGCCAAGGGTCGCTGGGTCGCTGCCGTTGCCGCGGGCGAGCGCGCATGAATGCCGGAGAAAAGCCGGCGCTACCGGTGCCCGTTTGTGATTGGTTGAAAATCGAATACGACCAAACGCTGAGCTGATTGGTCGATATCCAAGTTCCCATCGAGCGGCCGATAGCAGCAAGTCCACGATGCCCCGGTACTACTGCGACTACTGCGATACCTACCTCACCCACGACTCGGTACAGTCGTCGATGGCGGCGCGCTCTCATCTTCCTCCTCCACATGTGTAGCAAGCTGGGCGCAAGCAGCACAACCGCGGCTGGAAGCACCGCGAGAACGTCAAGCTCTACTACGAGGCGATCGTCCAAGGCAACGGCGCGACCATGACCCGTACGGCGGCTCATTTTCCGCATGGCCTCATGGATTTGGACTTGTAGCTGGCGCCTGGCTGCGCCCGGATGCGATGCTGCGTGGCCCGCCGCGGCCGATGATGCCAGTGGGCCTCGTCCGGCCCATGGGTATGCCGCCGGGGATGCCTGGAATGCCTGGGATGCCGCCGGGCATGCCTGCCTATGGCATGCCGCCAGGGCCCATGATGATGCGCCCTCCGCCGCAAGGTAGATCTTGACCTGCTACATGGTGGCTGACGATGGGCACGTCCTAGGGTTTCCGCCGCGCGGCCCGCCGCCGATGATGCCAATGCACATGCGCCCGCCGCCGCCGATGCAATACCAGCAGCATCAATAAGACGAGTGGAGTGGACTCGTAGTGCTTGCTCCTAAGATCCTCATAACCTTTGATTAACTTAAAAAAGCTACGCAGCGTCGTTCGCACAAGCACATGTCAATATTGTCTACTTGGCCGTTGGCGTCGTGCCGTCCTTCTTGAGAAACATGTTGTAGACAACGGCGAGGATGCCGAGCAGAATCACGAGGCAGATGAAGTCCATCATGCACTTGTCGCCGCTGCGACCGACTTGCTCGAGCGTCTTTTTCATTTTGAGATTGAGGTTCTCGACTACACCAAATCGCAATATTGAGAAATCAACCGCCATATAGAAGGCAGCGAACCGGTGGCTTGGGTGTTGTCGATACGCTCTTCGAGCCCATCCAGCATCATGTTTTGCTTTTGCAATTCCTAGCAAAATGGAGTGATTAGGCCATGCTGCTGTAGACCAAAGACAAGTCGTACCTCGTTCAAGCCGCGCGCCAAGACGCCGAGCTCCATGACACCGGTTCCGATTTGCTCGACCATCCCATCCTACCACAGGACCACAACCATGAGCGGCACGTACGAGATAGAGCTTGTACGATGTGCTGATCTTTTTGCTCGATCTGAAGCATAATATCGCGGTGTTCGCTTGTCACTTCCTCTTCGTGGTAGCTCGGGCCACCGCCGCCGCTCGCGTTATGCACACCGGTGCCACCACTGCCGGTGCGGTCGGCAAAGCCCGCAAACTCGGTTGTCGTTGTCGCGGACGGGATGCCAAAGAGGGCAGCACGGTCAAAACCGAGCCCACCGCCTGGCGAGCGCAAGCCTGGGCTCGCCTTGACGTACGCACTCGAGGCTTGCTCCTTGATGAATGCGAGCTCCGACGTGTATTGGTCGACAAAGTCTTTTCGGATAGCGAGCTCTTCGGGCGAGAACTTGCTCTAGAGGACCATACATACCATGCGGCAACATGGGTTCTTGCCTTTTTCTTCTTCATCTCGGTTTCGTAGCACTCGGCCATCTCGGCGAGGTCTTCCTCGACGAGCCGAATGTCGTCGCGCACGCCTTGCTGCTGCTTGATCTTCTCGCGCGGATGCTGCGGCTTCTTGGCCGAAGTAGGCTGGGCCATCTCGGTGAGCGTCTACTGGTTGCATGACCACTTCGCCCATGCGATGCAAATGGCGTCGTACGATCTTGAGGCCATGGAGCCGGTCGCTGATCTTGATGCGGAGCTCGCCAAAGCGGTCGGCGGCCTTGGCGCGGTCCTTCCGCGTCTCCTGGCCGCCCATCTCGACGTTGATGTGGGCGAGCTTCTCGAGGAGCGCGTCAACCTCTCTGCTCGACATGGCTAAAGACGGAATAGCACCTTGGCCGAAACGCTTCGTGTCAAAAAGATTGCAACCCGCCGAAACGGACATTGCGTTTTAGTCGTTTAAACTACGTCCGGCTGCGTTGAACGCGTTCAACCCATTCAAATGGCCGGATCCCTCCTACCGCGGACACGTGCAAATGAGGCGAGCTGTGTGCTGCACGATACTAGCACTCGTCTGCCTGGCGTGACAGACTGCCTGAGGACCAAATTGACCCTTGATGAGACTGAGAGCTGGACTGAGTATTACGTAAAACCCGAAACCTGTGTGGCACCGCGGACGTTTTAGGAGGTTTACCCTCGATCCGCCTTGCCATGTATTTTATTTTTATCCTGAATACTAAAAGCAAGGGAACTATGTATAAAAATAAAACCAGGACATTGCCATTGCATTCGGATCGGCGCCTTGCATTAGGCCGTGCCAATCATTCGTCGCTGGTATGGCTCCGAAATTGAGCCCGCAAGCGCTCGCGCATCGGCTCATGACCTTTGCCGACGAAGCGGCGATCACCAAGTTCTTGGCCGAGCAGCTGGTTGCATTCGACGAGCCCAACGAGCAAGGGTGCACGCTGCTCATCACTGCCTGCGCCTTTGGTACGACGAGGTCGGCCTTGTCTTGGGCCCTTATCTCGGTGGCTAGATCGCGCCGAGCTCTTGCCGTTGCTGGTCGCCAAGACGACCAACTACGCGGCCGCGACGCACGGGAATCTCAACAACGTATTGCACTTTGCCGCCTTGTCGCCGCATGTAGCATGCCTGCTGTGCGCTCGCTTGCTCATCGTATGTACCATGTAGCCGACAGTCCTGTCGACGCTCTTGGCAGCAAACTCCGCTGCATTCTCGCGACTCCTCAACACCGGCAACGCCAACGGCGACACCCGTACGATCGCCTCTCCCTTGCAGCGCCATTGTTGACAGATGCATATAGCGCTCATGGTGGCCTGCACGGCCAAGCACGTCGACGGCGCGTTGGCCTTGCTCGGCAGCGGCGCCGACCCGATGGCCGCCAACCGCTCTGGCATTACCGCACTCATGTGCGCCGCCCGACTCGAAGAGAATGAGAATGACAATACCGAAGCGAGCTCGCGCACGTTAGTGACGCGCTTGCTACGCGCGCTGGACGTGAGCGCGCTAAACGCAGTCAACAGCACTGGTCAGTCGGCGCTGCATTTCGCAGTCCAGAGCCGCAACACGGCAGTGATCCTCGCCTTGCTCACAGGTACGCCTTGAATATTCTGTCGATTTTTGAGGTTGAAAATGCGTAGCGGGCATCAACATCGGGCTGCGCACCAAGGACGGCTACACGGCGCTCGAGATTGCGCAGGCAGCACCGTACTTTGATGCGGATGCGCTGCTCGCGATGGAAGTTGCGTGGGGAACGCTGGAAGCGCAGCTGGAAGCCGACCTTCTGGCGCTTGCCAACGACGAAATCGCGGCGGCACCGAAAGCGTCCAAGAAGAAGAAGAAGGCGGTCAAGAAGGCTGCAAAAGCCACGCCCGCCGCGACCGACGCCAAGGTAGCAACGCCGATCACGTCATCAGTCCGACCTGCGGCGACCGGGCCGGCACGGACGAATATGCCTGTGACCACGACGCAGTTATCCGCACCCGCGAAAGACACCGCATCGACAACGATGCCGTCAGCTGGCGCCTGGACGACCGTGCCGTCCAAGGTCCGGGTCGCGTCGCCGATGCAGGCCAAGGCCTCGCCCATGAAAGCGTCGACGGACGACTGCGCCGAGTGCAGCCACTTGGGCAATGTCTTGCAAGCGCGGTTTCCAATGTTTGATGAGATGGAGATCACTGTGCGCAACTTTGTGATCGACGACATTGAGCAGCTGAGCATGTCCCAGCTCGAGCTGCTCCAGGACGCGCACCTGCAGGCCTACCAGCTACTCAACGACAAGAAGGTATTGTCCCTGAGTCTTCTCTCGCATCGCTGACGATGGCGCATTAGATGGAAATTGCGCGCCGACTCGAAGGCGAGCGGGTCCAAGCCCAGTACGAGCTACAGCATCAAGTGCTGCGTCGTGTAAACTCGTGATTCAAATGCAATGCTTCGTTGTACATGACGTGAAGGACAAGAGGAGTGTCTGTCACCATGACGCGTGGCATATTGGACAACTTGTCGTCCATGTGACGAGTATACTACGAGTAGTCGACTAGTATACACGTTGATAGTCTAGTACTGCGATCCTTTTTTGTTGCCAATGCCCTTGGGGTTGGCGTCCTTCCAGTCGTCCCACGACCGGTCGCGGTACGTGGCTTCCTCGACCAGCGCGATGTTGTCTTCTTCGCCGTCTTCAATGAGCTGTTCGATGCGGCGCGGGCCCTCGGGTGCGTTCCTAAAACGCGTGAGCCGACGAGAAGAACAGTGCGTCAAAGTACTTTTGACGCTCTTGGCGGTCGAGGGCGTCGGCAAGCTCTTGGTCGGCGAGCTCCTCCAACGACATGGTCGGGAGGCGGTGGCCCGGCTGGAAGACGCGGCCCTGGATGACTTCGCGCTTCATCTCCATCTTGGGGTTGATGTGCGTGACCTCCTACATGCTTGCGTGAGGCAAAACGACAAGCACATGGAGCGCACAATGCCCTGGCCTTGGACCGGCGGCTTGGTCTCGGCCGCGTCCAAGACGCTGTCTGTGTGCAGCTTGGCCATTTGCACCTAATACATAAAGCATAGGCGTCGGCGACAGGAGGAAGATGCGAAGGCGTACCATGGTTTCCAGCATCTCCATTTCATTGGCAATCGCGAGCTGGTCTTCCATGCTCTTGAGCACAGCGACCTGAATGAAGCGGAAGAGAAACTCGCGCTCGAGATCCTCATCAATGTCCTATGAGACTGTGTGAGGCCCACGCGAGAGGTTGAATACGTCGTACGTCGTCCTTGGCGGCGCGGGCGCGCAGGTTGAGGACGTTGGACAAGGCGGCGTCGGCCTCTTGCTGGAGCTGCCACTTGCGAATCTTGTCTTCGCGCGTGTCCTTCTTGCCTTCTTCGAGCTGCGAGAGCTGCTTGGCGCGCTCGGACCGGCGGAGGAGCTCGACCTCGACGCACTGGTCCAGGAACGCATCCAGGAGCGCAGACGCGTACTTGAGGTTCTTGAGCCGCGCCGACATGAAGTCCGAGCGCGAGCCTTGGACGTTGATCGTGTTGATCTTCTGCGCGAGCATGCCCAGGTAGTAGTCGATCAAGAGGAACTGCAGCTGGATCGTCTGGAGCTCGTGCGCAGCTTCGTTCGAGCTGTACAAGTCGGCGAGCGCCGGCGACGCCTTGAGCCGGTGGAAGCGCTCCATGAGCATCGTGAGCTTCTCCTGGAAGGCGAGGCTTCCGCTGCCGAGCTCGTTCTCCATGGCCTCAATGCTGCGGAAGAGGCCATCGGCCTGCCGCAGCTGCAAGTACGCGTCGACTTCGCCCATCGCTTTCAACGGGAATATGGACGTGGCATATGCCGAGAATAAATATAAATTATTGCGGGTCCTAAAATATATTAATGCAAGAGGTTTTGAAGCACCTGCATTCCAAAGATCCAAAGCATCATGGCTGGTCGGATGCTGCCGACGGCTGGCCACGACGACGTCGTCTCGGAGCACAGCCTTGTCTTTGGCAAGCCCATCTACCTCTACCACGAACCAACCAACGGTACGTGCATGCCGGCGCCAAGGCCATTCGCGGAGCAGCGTAGGCTACGTGGGTGGCGAGGGCTTTGGCGACACACGCGTCAACGTCCTCGTGGCCTCGAGCCGCGTGCGCGGTGCGATCGACGACGAGCTCGCCAAGCACGACTTCATGCAGCGCGTCTTTGTCGTTGTGCCACCGCAGCAGCACACGGCGGCCATGGCACTGCACAAGCACTTGGCCGAGCACGCGCCAGACCCGTGCTCGGCCATCGAAGCGCGGCTTCGCGAGAGGCAACCTCGCCATCTCCCATTGCATGCTCTCACGCCGGCTGCTAGTGTTCGCCTCGAGAAGCGACTCAACGACGAAAGCACGCACGCGGCGCATGGCCATGGTGTCCAGTACGGCCAGACGATCCAGCTCGTCCACATCAACTCGGCCAAGTACATTTGCGCTCGTACGATTCTAGAGCCTCAACGTTCTAGGTATGTGACAGTGCGGCCGCGCCTCTTGTCCGCAACGGCGCGGGACGCGATGCGGGTCGAGCTCGCGGACGCCAGCTCCGACGACGCGCGCTTCACCGTGACGTCGACCTACGCGCACATTCGCATCGGCGCCACCGTCCTTTTTGGCGATGACGTGGCGTTTCTGAGCGGTAGGTCGTCGTGGCACGTCAGTTTTGCATCGCATGCATCGACATGTAGAGGCATGGCGCGTCACGCTGCACGTGGGCGCGTCGATCGACACGCACACGGCGTCATCGTCGACCTTCTTGGAGCTCCATGCGTCCAACGCCCTCGACTGCTTCTCGCTTGCGCGCTTTGCTTCGGCCGAACGCGGCGTGCTGCGGGGCAACCACCTCGTCCGGCTCTTTCACTGCGCCGCTGGCGGCTACCTCTGCGCGGGCATCGGACCACACGTCGTGGTCCATGCGGACGCTGCCATACAAGGACTCTGGCAACTGACGCATCTCGACTCCAAGGACGGCAGCGCGATCGCCGTAGAGAGCAGCACGTTCTGTCTTCGCCATCTCGCGTCAGGACGCTTCCTCGCGCTTTCCGCTTCCGATACGGTCCGGTCTCTCGCTGCGAGGGAGGCCTGAAGACGAGTGCGTAGGAGGCGGCGCTCATCGACACGCGGTCCGACGACTGCACCTTCCAGCTCACCGCGGCTTCGCCGCTCAGTGGCGCGTATGTGGCCGACAACCAGCCATTCTTCCTCCGGCACGCACCGTCCCGTACGAGCGTTTGGACCTTGGGTTGTTCACGCAGCAGGACAATATAGGAGCATTTGTCGGTGTAGTAGAGAACCACTTGCAATGTGTCTCGCGCACGAAGGCAGAGAGAGCTCACGCGATCAAGCTCTCTGTCGTACCGCCGCCGGAGGTCACCGAGTCGCTCTTCCTTCTCTCGCTTCTGCCGCACCTTCAGAGAGCGCACAGCGTGCTGCGCAAGCCATTTGAGGCGACGGACGGCGTCGGCCACGACTGGCTTGCCGACACCAAGTGGATCGAGCTTGTCCTCGCAGAGCTTGGTGCGTTTTGCGCCGAGGCGACACCGGCGCGTCACGACCTCGTGGCCGAGCTCGACGTCACGCGGCTGCTCGTGGACCTTGTCGATGGCCTCGTCCGTGCGCCGTTGGCAGCCGGTACCATACAGACTGTCCTTTTTGATATCAAGTGCCAACATGTACATAGACCCAACGTCACCGTGGCACGACGTGCTGACGACCCGCAAGACGAGCCTACTTCGGCTGACGTACTCCTTGCTCTTGGTCCTCGTGCGGGGGCATCTCTCCAATGCAAAGCAGTGCGCTGTGAGGTGCAGCACCCTTGTCTCGCAGCTCGACACCAATCTCGGCGCCGACGACGTCTTTGCGGCGCTGCTCTCGATCGACGGAGCCTTTGTCGCAAGCCTTCCCAACACTGCAATCGACAGCGTCGTCGCTTTGATTGCGACGCGCGGCAAGCACCCGTCGTACCTCCGCTACCTCCGAAAGCTCATCGTGTTTCGCTCCCAAGGGCTGCCGGCCAAACAGGCGTATCTCTGCGAGCTGCTGTTTACCGCAGAAGACTCCAACGTTCTTTGCGCCTTCCGAGGCGCCGAGGTGTGCTGCCCGAATGGCCAATGGAAACCGCTAGCGGCCATTGACGATGACGAGCCATACGTCGTCGCGTCGCTGAAGCTCTTGGCGGCGTTGGCGACGTCCCGCAACTATGTGGCCATGGCGGCCATCGAACGGCTCCTGCCGCGGGACACTGTGCTGCACGCCTTGGATCATGCACAAGCTGACACAGTACGTACTTGTTGTAAGTAAAAGGAGAAGGTCAAGGACGGGAGTAGTTGCGCGCTGCGCTCTGCAAGCTGCTCTTGACCGTGTACGTGGACCGGCTGCCGCAGAATGCAGCGCCGCTACCGAGAACCGTCGTGCTGCTCGGACCCCCCAGTCTTGCGTCGGAGAATGCGTTCTTTGCCGAGTTGAAGCAGCGCGTTGCGTCGGCGCTGATGGCGAGTACAAGTGCGTCGGGGTATCTCCTCGGCCTCTTGCGCGTTTGCCTGGCGCTGCTGCGCTTTGGGGCCTACGCTTCCGAGTCGGAGCTACAGACGCTGCTCGGCTTGTGCCTGCCAGTCTTGGCCAACTTTGAGGACGACGTGACAAGTGCTCAACCGATCAAGCAGACTTTGGCCCACCGGCTTGGCGACCGCATGCGGAGCACGCTGGCCAAGACCAAGAGTCCGTCCATCCAGGCTATTGAAGCGCTGGTAGGTTTTTCTCGAAATATTTCGCATCCGAATCTGCGTGTAGCCGGGACCGACGACGGCGCCGCCTCCGGTGCTCGCAAAGACGGACGGCGACTGCAAGCTCGTGTTGTGTCAGATGCTGTTGAGCATTCTGCAGCGCAGCGTCGACGACCAGCTTGGCCGCGTGCTGCGTGTGGTCTTTGACAAAGCGTCGCGCAAGCCCAGTGCTGCCCTAGCCCTTGCGCGTACGATTTTTACGCTAGTCTTTGTGCTATATAACAACGTAGACACAGTCGAAAGCGCAGAAATCGAGGCGGAAGAAGGGCGCGAGTGGAGTGGGCGCCACGCAGAGATCGCTGTCGCGTGCGAAGGCGCGTTTGAGACGTCGCTCTTCAGCCGGCTTGTCTCACAGCACCGCCTGACACCGATGCTCCTCCAGCTGCTCGCCACCGACCGGTCGGACCTCGTGTCTGTGTCCCTCGACTTGCTCGGGTCGTCTTACAATACCCACCGCGAAGTCCTCAAGTACATGAGTGACGTCACTGTCGTGACCAGCGAGACGTCTCTGCAGCTGTACGTCGACCTTGCTTCTGTCTACTCTGTGCAATAATGGCGTAGGTACGGACGCATGGTCCATTTTGCAGCGATTTTGCAGCTCTACGAAGAGACGAGCGAGACGTGGCTGCTGGCGCCGTCCCACGACGCATGGAAGGAGGTCGTCGCGGTCCTGCGCTGGTTCACGGACGCCTTGACGACGCTCGAGGCGCAGCGCCTCTTCCGCGGCTTGCACATTGACGACGTTCTCCTGTCGCTGCTGATTAGCGTCGGCGGGTTTCTCCTGCAACCAACCGTCAAGGACGAGGCGCTTGTGCTGCGCCACGACCTCTTGATGGACGCTTGCTACATGCTTCTCGTGCGCTACGTCTGGCGCTATGCCGACGGTCAAGCCAAGGTCGCGGCGCATCTCGGCTTTATCCAAGACTGCGTCTCGCACCGGCACATGCGACCCGCCGTCTTCCGCGCGCTCGCAGAGGGCAATGTCCGCTGGTGCCAAGCGCTGCCGCATGGCTTTATCGCGTTTCTTGTCGACCTCGTACGTCCTGCACTTGCATGCTGCTGCAGCCTCAACACTGTCGTTGGTAGCTGGATGAACGCGGGAACGTGTCGGAGGTGCTCGACGTTCTGTCGGCCATTATCGTCTGCAATGAGATTCCGATCAAGGACAACCAAACAGCACTGAGCATGCTCCTGGTACATGTGATCGACCATCGAACAGCGGAGGTTCTTAGGTGGAAGGGTCGTAGATGGCGCCGCATCGGCCGCCGCATGTTCTCGAGGCTTTCTTGGCCTTGGAGACCCCAAAGGGCGACCCACGTGCCCTTGACGCGCTTCTCTGCGATGCAAAAGAGTCGTGTGCTGTCGTGCAGCGCAGTATCCCGCGTGACGTCGACCTGACGGGGCGGCCGAGCAGCGACATGAGCCTTTCTGCGCGCTTCTCGGTCCTCTTGCAGCAGCTCCCAGCCTCAACTCCGGCGACGCCGACCCCGACGCAAGGTTACCTGCGCCATGCGAGACGCCATTTGAACTTCGATAACGTAGGAGGCGATCCCGCTACCGGCTCGGTCGTCCTCGACGCCGACCCGCTACTGTACTACGCCAAGCTGCTCGGCTTGCTCACGAGCCTCACGGCCGGCGCCAACTTTGTGTGTGAAGCGCGGCTGCAAGGTCTCTTCCCGATCGAGCGGCTTTTACTTGCCCTCTCGCAGCCCTCGACGCCGCGCCCGATCACGACCAAGCTGCTCATGGTAGACGCAAGACGATCGCAACTCGTAGTCTCTGAGACGACCTCGTAGGTGCTCCATGAAGCGTACCTCAACACGGAGCAGCAAATGGCCGACGTCGCTGGGAACATGGCGCTCACTAGCTTTGTTGCGTCGCAGCCTATCGTACTTGCGAGCTTCTTTGGCATCGACGTCAACACTGCTGCGGGGTTCTCCGCGCTGTACGGCCACGAAATTGCCTATGTCTTTGACGGCCTGCTTCCCGTCTTGGCGCACGTACTCGGTCGCGACGCGACGACGCTGCACCCTACTCTCCAACGAACGCTGCCGGAGCTAGCGCACAGTCTATGCCAGGTGGCAGCCCGGCTCCAGAAGGCACCATTCGACTGGATCGACGTGGTTGCGTCACGGGCAAAGCTGGCTCTTGGCAACGACGTGCTTGACAAAATGGCGCGTCTGTTGCCGCGCGGATCGCTGTTGGGAGTTGGCGGGTTTTCGACCAAGCGCATCATGAATGCGGCAGGTGACGCGTCGCTGCACGTCCCTCACTTTGTCGCGTGGCTGCGCCAAGCGCCCTTTTACGTCGCGAGCACAGGTGCTGAGAAGCGCAAGCTCCTCTCTGCGTTCCGAAGTACTGAGCGCTTTGATATCGTATTGGAGCGGCTCGTGGGCCATATGCACAGCTCCGAGATCGCACGCGGCCAGGGCGCCAAGCACTCGACCCTCGAGATTCTGGCCAATTTGGAGCAAATCGCGTCGACGTCGTCTCGTCTACTGCTGTCGTGTGGCGCCGCCGTCATGGTAGTCGAGCTTCTCTGTGCTGCTCATGAGGTATCTTGTGTTTGGATTCTGGATTTTTGGATTTTTGGATTCTTGGATTGTTGGATACAACGGTGGATAAATAGAGCGATACCAAGGCGGTCTCGGGACTCGTTGCTCTCGGCATTGCTCTCCTCAAGACGAGCCAGCGCGCGTTTCAAGTGCAGTGCTTTGCGCTGCTGAGCACCAACTCGTCATCGGACTGGCTCGAGCGCGTGCGTGGTCGCCTTCTCAGCGCCATTAGCGCCCTGTCCAGCCCGTCGCACGCCAAGCTTCTGCGCGATCCCTCGGATGTGATTGCGCTCTTGGAGCTCCACCGTCTCCTCTGCGAAGGTCCGTCCTGTGCCTTGGAGTTGCATGGCGTACGTTGTTACGTAGGTCATTACGCGGAGATGCAAAACCTTCTTCGGCACCAACCAGGTCCACGCTCGATCAACTTTGTGGAGCTCGTCGTACGGCTGTTCTGCGCGCTTGCCAAGACACTCAAGCCGAGCTACGTTGCGCTGCTGCTCAAGACCCTCGAGACGGTCGTCGAGCTCGTGCAGGTAGATATTGTGGTTTTTGTAGTCTAGCATGTGGGGTTAGGGTCCGTGCGAGGGCAACCAGCTGGCGGTGATCAACCCGGTCGAGCGCAATGACGCCAACTTTGTCGACGCGTGCATGCTGCTTCTAAGTACGCGCGAAGAGGACGCCGTCGTTAGCGCTGCGGATGTGTACCAGCTCAAGGCCATGTACTCTTGATACTTTGATATTGGGATGGGTGGTGCTAATGGGCGGAGGTAGGTGCACGCTGGCGCTCGTTTCGCTTGTCGAAGGCCGGCGCGACACGATCGTGCACGAGCGACTCGCGAGTCAAGTGTCGCTTCCGCTGCTCAAAGAGACATTGGTGCTCTTCTACGCACACTATTTGGTCTCTGAATGTGAATCGCAACCTTTGCAACTGAATCTCAAATGTAGAAAACGTACCTGGGCGTCTACTCGGAGGACGCATTCGACCCGGCATTGCAATCGCCCGAAGCCCGCCAGCGTGAAGGGTATTTTGTGCGGCTCGTCAAAATCGCTCTGGGACAGGCGCACTTGCCGGTCGTCGACGACGCAGACGCTGTTTCCACAACGAGCACCGAGACTGCCACATACTTGAACCCAGGGTTCAGCCTCTACATCCTCTTTCACCGGCTCGTGGACGTCCCCGGCATCGGAGACGTTCTTCGCACCAACTTGCTGCCGCCGGATGTGAGCAATGGCGATCCGGGCCGCCACACGTAGACATGAGCTCCATCGGTTCATTTGTATCAATATATCGATATTAGGCTGCAACCGCGCCGGTCGACCAAGCACGTCCATCGCAAGCTCAAGGCACTTCAACAGCGCGACAGCGACGCGTCGTACGCGGAGGCCTACGGTTTCTTCCGCAAGCACTGTGCGTCGATCGAGGTCGTGGTCACAACGTCGACGGACGGCGCGTCATCGTCCGCGGCGGACGAGAAGCGGCTGCAGCGTTTTCACTTCCCCAAGCCGCCCGTGTGCCAGTTCCTGACGTCCGACATGCGCGACGCGTGCATGGAAGACATTGCGCGCGAGTCGCCGGCCGCCAAACTCAGTGACCTCTTTCGACGCTCGGACGCGGTATCGAAACCTACAAAAACTATCAATGTTTCAACCGAGTTGGTGCCCTAGCTCGTCGCGGAGATGACGCATCGGTATCTCATGGTCGTCGCGGGCGATGCGTACTTTACGCTGGGCAAAACCATCTCGTTCGTACTCGCCATCATAATCAACCTCCTTCTGCTCGACTGCTACGTCGATACGGTAGCATCTCGACTCCATAGGACGATCGAATGCGACGGGATATAGGGCGACCCACGCTTTACGAGCGCCGCACTGCCCGCCTCGATGCTGGCTGTTGACACCGCCTACAACATGGCGTGCGTGGGCACTCTTGGCGGTGTGTCGAAGGATCTCATTTTGTTCATCTGCGCCATCGCACAAGTCGTCGTGTCGAGCTTCATCGTGTGCATTTATGCTCTTACGTAATATCCCGATGTCACCAGCCGCTCGGAACACTAACTATATGTAGGTACGGCCCGTTGATCATGCTTGAGGGCTGGAAGCGGCGGTCGGCGCCCACCGTTGGCTCGGTACTGGCGGTCTTCTTGATGCGATCAGCTCATATCGGCGTACTAGCGAACGTGGGTGCTCGGTGGCACACGGTTTACGGATGTGCGCTTGCAGAACCTAGGCTGGTCGTTCCTGTTTCTATTGCAGAGCCCTGTGTACATGTACTACTGCGCGTACTTGCTCATGGCGATCCTCGGCCATTCCGTCCACCCGTTCTTCTTTGCGTTTCACCTCTTTGACGTCTTTCTACGGTACTCCAAATCGACAAAATCGACAAAATCGACAAAAATCATATTTGATTGAAAATAATGTAGGTTTCCCGAGCTCACGATCGTGGTGCGGGCGGTCGCGACACCGTACCGGAGCTTGGCGCTGACGTTTGCGCTCGTCATGATCGCCGAGTACCTCTTTTCGATCTTTGGGTTTGCGTTCTTCCGCAATCAGTACGCCACTGTCGCAGCCCTCGAGGCCAATCTCGCGACGGCCGAGTGCGGTATGCTCTGGTCGTGCTTCCTTACGACCGTCGACCAGACGTTCAAGAACAATGGCGGTGTCGGTACGTGGCTCAATGTGCGGTTATGAGGATACGAACTTGGTGGTATAGGTGCGCATCTCAAACCAATGTCGACCGACGACTACTCGATGTGGTGGAGCCGGCTCCTCTTTGACAACCTCTTCAACTTGGTGATTCTTCTCATTTTGGTCAACATCTTCTTCGGTATCATCATCGATACGTACGACATTTCTTGTGATGACTGTTCTTCTACTATGTTTGATGCGGGTTAGGTTTGGCGACCAACGCTCGCGGCTCCAGCAGCGCCTCGCGGATACGACGAGCAAGTGCTTCATCTGCGCGATTGATCGAGAGGCGTTTGACCGGTTCTCCGAGCGCGGGTTTGAGGTACACTTGAATCTCAATTGAGTTGTAGCAAAGTTTTTCGCACCTAGTTTCACTGCAAGCGCGAGCATCACGTGTGGAACTACGTGTTCCTCGTTGCACATCTCCGGTTCAAGGCCGAGACGGACTTTGACGGCGTCGTACGTCGCATCTCAATTTGAATCTCAATTTCAATATCGAGTTGGTGTAGGAACAATATCTCGCCGAGTGTATCGCGAGTCAGGACTACAGCTTTGTGCCGAGCTACCGCGCACTGGCCTTGCGCGACGTCTCTGCCTCGGGTCCGATCCAGTAAGGATCATCCGAGATCTATCTATTCCGTGCATCAATCCATACTTCTCAATACATTTTCACTACCTACGTGTGGAAGAGTATTGGAGCCTGCGAACAACAGCCCTGGACGACGCGACACCAAGCGAGTGCGTTCGAGTGGCACCCGAGACGTCGGTCGAAGCGCTCATGGCGCAGCTCCAGGCGTTGTAACTGCGTCCATTTTCGAGTCGACCTTGACCAAGGACACCCATGTGCTGGCTATGCCGATGCCCTACGATGCCTTCTGTGAAGCGGTCGAGACCGAGATGTACACCTCGTCGACAACCTGTGCACCAAGCAGACAACAAGTGTATCCACCCGTCCATCTCGACACTAAATGCAAGCTTTATTGATGCAGATGCTACCGTGCAGCAAGCGTATGCAGTCCTCTGTGCGTCACATCACTCGTTCTTCTTGGCTTTCAGCGGCTTGAGACCTTTTGGGAGCTTCTTGGGCGACCGCAGGACGGCGACAGTGTAGCCAAGACCGCCACCGAGCACCAAGACAGCCGCGATCATCTCGAAGCGGAGAGCGAGCAGCTCCGATACAAAGAGCGAGACGGCGTGGCCCATCGCATGCAGCGCCGACGGCGGGTGCGGGAGCGCGGTCGGCGTCGTCGCCTTGTACCCGCCCTGGACAAAGTCGAGGACCGCGTCCTTGGTTCGCTCCTTGCCCGGGAAGGCGTACACGAGTCGCTTGGTCTTGTCGACCAACAGCACGCTCGGGTAGCTCTGGACGTTGAGGCGCGTGCGCAGCTCGTCCTCGAGCGCGCCGTCGATGCGGGCGACGACCACGTTGGGCGCCGACGTCTTGAGCTCTTGCGCAATGGCTTCGTACGCAGCTGCAAACGCCCGGCACGGGCCGCACCACTGCGCGTAGAACTCGAGGAGGAAGAGCTCGGACGAGACGTTGGCCGGTCCTTGCAGCACCGTGTCGAAGATCGTGGTCGTCCACTCGGCCACGTGCACGTTCTTGGCCATCTCGGTCGGTGCGTCGTCCTTGACCTCCTTGGTCGCCGTGGGAATCACCGGCATGTCCTTGGTGTTGGTCGCCATCTTGTAGCCGCCGTCAGCAAATGCTACGAGCGCGTCCATGCTGCGCTCGCCCTCAAAGAGCGTGTACGACGTATCGTGGAGCATCAGGACAGTCGGGTATGACGCGATGCTAAAGGCTTGCAGGAGCGGGCGGTTGGCCACGTTGGTGCCATCGATCGAGCCGGCGAGGACGTGCTTGGCCTGAAGCGCCGTCGCCACCTTGCCAAAGGTCGGGAGCAGCTTGTTGCAGTGGCCGCACCACGGCGCATGGAACATGACCAGGCGCGGTAGCTTGGCCCCGCGCACGTCGTCGGTCGTGAGCTTGTGCACATGAGCAAGCGCCGCTTCGTCGATCTCGCTCACGGCCTTCTTCGCACTCGGTGTCCCAGCGATGGGCGGCAGCGGGCGCGACTCTTTGGTCGCATAGTCGGTCAGCGCAAACGCCGTCATGAGCTTCGGGTCGCGGACGCCGTCAAACTCGTAGACGCGGCCGTCGCGGATGAGCACGAGCGTCGGGTAGCCCGTGATGGCAAAGCGCATGCCGAGCTTGGCGTTCGTGTCGGCGTCGACGCGGGCGACGTGGACGTTGCCGTGGTCCTTGAGCGTCAGCGCTGTTTGCAGCATCGCGCCCATCATCTCCTTGCAGTGGCCGCACCAGTGCGCGTGGAACTGCACCAGCCACGCGTCGGCGTCGGGCTCGTGCACGCGCGTGACCGCATCAAACGTGTCGTCACTGAGGTCGACGAGCGGCGACGTCGGGATGTCCGACGCCTCCATCTCGGCGTAGCCGCCGGTCGCAAACGCCGAGAGCGCTTCGAGCGTGCGCGCGCCGTCGTACGCATACATCTGGTTGTCCTTGACAAAGAGCACGGTCGGGTACCCGTTGACTTGGAAGCGCAACTTGAGGTCAACGTCGTCGGTCGCGTCGACCTTGGCAATGTGCACGTCGGCGTTGTCCTGGAGCGACAGCGCGAGCTTTTCCCACGTCCGCGCCATCTTCTTGCAGTGGCCGCACCACGGCGCCATAAACTTGATGAACCACCCGCCGCTACTCGGCGCCAATACGAGCTCGTCAAAGGTGGCGGTCGTGAGCTTGACGACCGCCGAGTCCTCTTCCGAGATACCGCCGTCCGCCATCGGAATCGGGTCGCCACTCTGCTCGAGGTACCCACTCGTGACAAACGTCGTGAGGGCGTCGAGGCTGCGCGCACCCGCGTACTCGTACATTTTGCCGTCCTTGAAGAAGACGAGCGTCGGGAACCCCTGGATGCCAAAACGCTCGCCAAGTGCTTCGTGCTCGGTGACGTCGACCTTGGCAATGTGCACTTGGCCGTGAAGGTCCTGCGAGAGAGCGTCGTACGTCGGCGCGAGCTGCTTGCAGTGGCCGCACCACGGCGCGTAAAACTTGACGAGCCAGCCGTTGCTGCCAGGCGCGAGCACGTTGGCGTCAAACGTGTCGGCTGTCAGCGCCTCGACGAACGACGGCGCGTTCGGGTCGCGCTTCTTGGGCACGGGCTTGGCGTCCACGGCCTCGTACCCCGTTTCGAGGAACGTCTTGAAGCCCGCGACCGAGCGCTCGCCCTTGAAGCTGTACATCTTGCCTTGCTTGAAGAAGAGCAATGTCGGGTAGCCCGTGACGCCAAACTGCTCCTTGATGTCCGTGTGCGCCTCGACGTCGATCTCGGCAATCGAGGTTTGACCCGCGACCTCGATAGCGAGCTCTTCAAAGATGGGCGCGAGGCGCTTGCAGTGGCCGCACCACGGCGCGTAAAACTTGATGAGCCAGTCGCCGCGATCGCCGGATTCGAGCTGCGTGAGCTCGTTAAAGTTGTCGCCAGTGAGCTGGATGACGTTGCTGGCGTCGTCGGCGGCGACGACGAGCGAGAGAAGCGCGATCGAGACCGCGAGGAGCGCGACCAGTACCTTGTTCATTCGACGCACGGTGCGAGGCAATGAGAAATGAAAACTGAGTTGCATCGGGCTGGTTGGATCCATCCGGAAAATTCATCGAAATGTCCGGTTAATGGCTTCGATCTTTTGAAAATGTCGAATGTGCAAAGATCGAAGACGCGCTATGTGCATGGTTCGTGGAGGGTCGCGCTGGGCGGTCGCGCTTCCAAAGATCGCTGGCCAACTGACGTCGTGGGCCAAGACAGACGGCTGGTGAGGGCGACCGAGATTGCACGGTCGGCGAATCTTGCAACCGTTGAGCTCCTTGCTTGCTATCGCGTAAACGGCTCGTCCTGAGCTGCGTGACCCGCTCGTACCGGACCAAACTCACGGCCAAGCACTCTCAGAAAGGAATGGAGATTGTGTTACTAGTTGTCGAGTAAAGAACGGCAATCACGCTCAATCGATCTACTTCGTCGACAGCACTTGCGTGTCGACGGCTCGTTCGTTGGCGAAACCGCTCGCCTTGTCAGAGAGCAGCTCCCAACGACCAAGACGCTTCATCTCTCCCTTGCTATAGGCTCTGCAATGCAGCAGCTGTTCTCAAGCGTCTGAACGCTCTGGATTGAGCGCTGGTCCGAGCTGTAATTGTACACCTTGTCGTCCTTGAAGAAGACGACCGCAAGCGCTTCAAAGAACGGAGCGATCGCCTTGCACTGAGCAGTCGGCGGAAAACACTCGTGAACCCGTCGCGGGTTTGATGGTCGTGAGCTGCGTCAACGGTGGTCAGCGCAATGATGCCCCGGTCACCGTCTCAATTCTGAACATCAAATTTTGAGATTCAGCAACCATCAGTCGCATCGATTTGCAGCGGTGCTCCATGGTCTCCACATTCGTCTCCTTCGCAGGCTCTTTCCAGACAGGTGTCAGCGATGGAAAGTACACTATCAAATGCTGTCGCGCCGACCTGGTGGCTTGGTCGGCAAGTGGTCGAGGTGGCCATCACGACGGCTACGACAGTCTAGTCGCTGATTCCTTCGCAGTGCCCATGAACCTTGCCTCCATACAAACACATTTGCGTGCTGTTTGGTTGGACCGTGGTTGTCTCTAGAATTCGGACAACCACAGAAATTTGCAGCTTATAATTGAGTAATTTTAGCCCAGCCCTTCATTCTTCGACTACTACGTACATGATTGCTAGTCAAAATATACGAATCGCAAGGGTGTTGGATGCTCCTAGAGCTTATAGTCGCCAGCGCAGAGTTTGGCGTACACCGCATCGGTGACGCGCGTGACACTCTGCGTTCGCTCCAAAACAAACACGGCGTCGGTCGCCTTTTGGGGGTTGAAGCCGTCGATCGCGAGCTCGTACGTCTGGTACTTGTGCGTCGTCGTTGTCGGCAGCGGACGGGTCGTGACGCGGACAAAGCGCGGCCACTTGAACGGGGCCACCTTCATCACCTCGAGCTGCGCGTACAACGTGGTCACGCACGTCTCTGCGTCGTCCTCGGGGGCGATCCGGATGAGCGCCATGCCGGCCTTGCCGTCCACTTGGGGCACGTTGACGCCGTAGACGACAGCTTCGCGCACCGAAGCGACCGCATTTATCGCGACTGCGACCTCGGTCGAGCTCACGTTCTCGCCCTTCCAGCGAAACGTGTCGCCGATGCGCTCGACAAAGTAGACAAAGCCGTCCTCGTCGACCTCGAGCAAATCGCCCGACCGAAAGTACGCGTCGCCTGGCTTGAAGACGTTGCGCAGAATCTATGACACTATTGTCCACCATATCGAAACATAGAAATAGTGTACCTTGGCCTCGGTGGCGGCAGCGTCCGAGTAGCCATCGAAGCGCCGGAGCACGTGCGAGTTGTCAATGAGCGCAAGGAGCTCACCGGGTTCGTGGTGGCCGACGGGGATACAGCGACCGCGCGCATTTCGCAGGACCGACTGCGTCTTTGGGTCGTAGCGAACAATCTTGAGCGGGTAGAGGCGCTTGACGAGCGGCGAGAGGCAGCCAACGGCGCCGACGCGACCTTCTGTGTTGATCAAACCGCCGTTGCTCTCGGTCGCTGTGTAAAACTCGATGATCTTGGGTACGTGGAACCGCTCTTGGAAGGCGACCCAGACGTCCTTGCGCAGCCCGTTGCCGATCGCGAGGCGCACAGTATGAGCCACGTCGGCTGCCTGCGGTGGCGTCTGGCAGAGAAACCGGCAGGTCTCGCCAATGTACTGAATGACCGTCGCCTTCCAGTGCACGCAGTCGGGCCAAAACTGGGACGCCGAAAACTTGGGCTTGATGAGCTGGACCGCCCCAGTATGCAGCGCGAGGCAAAAGGCCAACAGCGCCGAACCATGGTAGAGTGGCAGCGCCGTGTAGATGCGGTCGGTCGCCGTCACGGAGCAGTAGCGCATGTAGAGGTACCCGGCGCCGTACCAGCGCAAGTGATTCATTTTAGCGGCTTTGGGCAAGCCCGTCGTACCACTGGTGAAGATGTGCACGAGCGTGTCGGTGAGCTGGACGCGGTCACGGTAGCTCTCCTCGAGCGGCGACGACGACGCATCTGCGTACGCCAGCACCGGCGCGTCATCATGTGACGGCGTCTTGTCGTCCAAGCACAAACATGGGATGCTGGCACGCACGTCGTGCGGTAGCGCGAGGTAAATGTGCGCGGTGGCCGCTGTGCAGACGACGTGCGTGGCGTGGCACACGTCCAGCGCGTGCACGAGGTGGTCGCCCTGGATCGACGGGTTGAGGAGCGCCGAGGTCACGCCTATCTTGGCCATCGCAATGATCTACCCACCGACGATAGAAGTGAAGTCAAGACCGTATTCGCTGAAGGAGGAATTACGAGCAAGGGAAAGAGCACGCCGTTCGGAAGTAGGAGCGCGGCCGTGGCTTGCTGCTGCAACCCGACGTCGTGGCTTGCGCGGGCGATTTGGTTCGTCACTGCATCAAACTCGCGGTACGAGTAGACTTTAGTCGGCCGCACTTCTTCTGGCAGCGTCGGCGATGGCGATGGCAGCTCGACCTCGACGAGCGGCATGTCGAGCCGCTGGTCGACGGCGGTAGCCCAAAAGTCGATAAACGTCCAACCGCCCGGGCGGTTCTTCTTGGCGATCGCGTTGCCGTGCGAGGCCACGTCGATGAGCACGCGGAGGAAGCGCAGGTCCCGGAGGAAGCCGCTCCAGACCTTGCCCATGCTCGTCGACTTGGTGTGGCAGCGGGTTGTGTCCAGCGTCTGAACCCTACCACCGTTGTTGTCCGTGATTGGTTGATATAGACCAATCGCCAACGAGTATATCTTTGGCGAAAGGTCACAGCGAGGGTCGTCGACTCCTCTCGACGCGACAAGGGAGTCGAGGTAGACGAACATGCGAGGGCCCCATCTAGACCCTAAATACGAGATGATAAATGTATTCGCGTGGCGAATACTGGGCCTCTCGGCGTCTTCGCACCTGTTTGACGTGTACCGACACCGCACTGCATCGATCAATCTCACATGTGCAACGCGTAAAACTAAATGGCCAAGTTGTCGCCATTCATGGAGCTATCTGGTCTGGTTTCTGCAGTTGCCTTCGTCCCCACAGAGACTCTAGCCCACACGTAGTGCTGTCGACGTCGCGTAGCCACCACACAAAAGTCCATGAGCCGCTGTACGGAATCGCTCGCTGGTATAATAGGCTGCACCAGTCGTGCACCCATGTACTCTGGCAGGCACCTCGCCACGTCACCGACTTGGAACAATTTGAGGTAGTCGCCTCAATAAGATGAGGCAAGTACCGTCCTCGACTGTAGCTTCGAAAATCGAACCGACTCCCGCTTCAAGCTGCAGCATCACACGCACTTTCCAAGTACCCACCATACGATGTATCTCGGCCATGCGTCTGCGTACATGGCGCTGGCCTTCTGGATTGCGTCGTCGGCGGCGTCGTCCGTCGTCCGCCTCACCAGTGCCACGTTCGACGCGGTGACGCAGCTCCAGTCGCCCGAGACGGACTGGTTCATTGCCTTCCACGCACCCAACTGCCAGTACTACAAAGCACTTGAGCCGACGCTCAGCGCTGTCGCCAAGGCTTTGCCCAAGCAACTGCGCGTTGGCGCGGTGGACGGCCGTCAAAACGCCGATCTCAAAGACCGCTTCTATGTGCGGCGAACGCCGACCGTGTACTTCTTCCACAATGGACGCATGTACCCGTTCAAGGGGCCGCAGACCGTCGAGTACATGACCGAGTACGCCAGCGGCCGCTTCCGCGAGATTGACCGCGCGAACCTCAACTTCAAACGCTACCAGCCCGTGCCGCCGCCGGTCCGACAACAGACGACTCTCGATGACGTCAATGCAACGTCGGCCGCGGACTCGTCGGCGACGTCGACGACCCATCACTTGGCGGCAACTAGCAACATGAAGAGTGATTTGTAACGAGAATATGGTCAATTTGTCTATCTATAGTCGTGGACGGGTAGCCGTTGTGACGTCCAACGCTTCATCGTAGGCGGTGGCAGTAGACAAGTGTAAAGGTGCGTCAAGAACGGAGACTCGGGCCGTACCACAGTATAGAGAGCTTCGCCTGAGTCTGCCGAGGCGACCATTGCCGCGTGCCCCTGCATGCTCACACACAAACGCACGGGTGCTGTCGATAGCTGCTTCGCAGTCCGTCCGCGCGGCCACCGCACGCACGGTTTCCCAGTGGTTGGTGACATGTACGACAGTATCGGCATCACGCTTGGCAGGTGCTGCTGGTACCCGTGGGCTAGCATAGAGGGCTTCTGGCGGCGCTGGCACACTCGTGGCGACCTTCGACACATATCTTCTACATTTCAAAAGATCGAAGCCATTAACCGGACATTTCGATGAATTTTCCGGATGGATCCAACCACCACCATGCAACTCAGTTTTCATTTCTCATTGCCTCGCACCGTGAGTCGAATGAACAAGGTACTGGCCGCGCTCCTCGCGGTCTCGATCGCGCTTCTCTCGCTCGTCGTCGCCGCCGACGACGCCAGCAACGTCATCCAGCTCACTGGCGACAACTTTAACGAGCTCACGCAGCTCGAATCCGGCGATCGCGGCGACTGGCTCATCAAGTTTTACGCGCCGTGGTGCGGCCACTGCAAGCGCCTCGCGCCCATCTTTGAAGAGCTCGCTATCGAGGTCGCGGGTCAAACCTCGATTGCCGAGATCGACGTCGAGGCGCACACGGACATCAAGGAGCAGTTTGGCGTCACGGGCTACCCGACATTGCTCTTCTTCAAGCACGGCAAGATGTACAGCTTCAAGGGCGAGCGCACGGTCGCGGGCTTCAAGACGTTCCTCGAAACGGGGTACGAGGCCATGGACGCCAAGCCCGTGCCCAAGAAGCGCGACCCGAACGCGCCGTCGTTCGTCGAGGCGCTGACAGCCGACACGTTTGACGCCAACGTGCTCGCGCCTGGCAGCAACGGCTGGCTCGTCAAGTTCTACGCGCCGTGGTGCGGCCACTGCAAGCAGCTCGCGCCGACGTACGACGCTCTCTCGCAGGACCTGAACGGCCAAGTGCACATTGCCAAGGTCGACGTCACCGAGCACGAAGCACTTGGCGAGCGTTTTGGCATCCAGGGGTTCCCGACACTCGTCTTCTTCAAGGACGGCAAAATGTACGAGTACGCGGGTACGCGCAGCCTCGACGCCCTCACGACATTTGTCACGAGTGGGTACCTCGAGCAGAGTGGCGACCCGATTCCGATGGCGGACGGCGGTATCTCGGAAGAGGACTCGGCGGTCGTCAAGCTCACGACCGCCACCTTTGACGAGCTCGTATTGGCGCCGAGTAGCGGCGGGTGGTTCATCAAGTTTATGGCGCCGTGGTGCGGCCACTGCAAGAAGATGGCGCGGACGTGGGAAAAGCTCGCGCTGTCGCTCCAGGACAACGCCGACGTGCACATTGCCAAGGTCGACGCGACCGACGACGTCGACCTCAAGCTGCGCTTCCAAGTCAACGGGTACCCGACCGTGCTCTTTGTCAAGGACAACCAGATGTATGCGTACGACGGCGCGCGCACGCTCGAAGCGCTCGAGGCGTTTGCGACCGGCGGCTACACCGAGAAGGAGGCATCCGACATCCCGACGTCGCCGCTCGTCGACCTCAGCGACGACACGTTTGATGCGGTCACGCGCGTGCACGAGCCCGACGCCGACGCGTGGCTGGTGCAGTTCCACGCGCACTGGTGCGGCCACTGCAAGGAGATGATGGGCGCGATGCTGCAAACAGCGCTGACGCTCAAGGACCACGGCAACGTCCACGTCGCCCGCGTCGACGCCGACAAGAACGCCAAGCTCGGCATGCGCTTCGCCATCACGGGCTACCCGACGCTCGTGCTCATCCGCGACGGCCGCGTCTACGAGTTTGACGGCGTCCGCGACCCGAAGCTCATGACGGCGTTTGCGCTGACCGACTATGCGACCAAAGAGTCGCGCCCGCTGCCGCCCATCGCTGGGACACCAAGTGCGAAGAAGGCCGTGAGCGAGATCGACGAAGCGGCGCTTGCTCATGTGCACAAGCTCACGACCGACGACGTGCGCGGGGCCAAGCTACCGCGCCTGGTCATGTTCCATGCGCCGTGGTGCGGCCACTGCAACAAGCTGCTCCCGACCTTTGGCAAGGTGGCGACGGCGCTTCAGGCCAAGCACGTCCTCGCCGGCTCGATCGATGGCACCAACGTGGCCAACCGCCCGCTCCTACAAGCCTTTAGCATCGCGTCATACCCGACCGTCCTGATGCTCCACGATACGTCGTACACGCTCTTTGAGGGCGAGCGCAGCATGGACGCGCTCGTAGCATTTGCCGACGGCGGCTACAAGACAGCGACCAACACCAAGGACATGCCGGTGATTCCCACGGCGACCAAGGAGGTCAAGGAAGACGCACCGACCGAGATGGCCAAGAACGTGCACGTGGCCGAGTGGACGACCACGATCTTCGACACGGTGCTGCAAGGACCGGCCAACGTCTCGTCCGAGCTCTTCGTCCTCGAGTTCTACGCGCAGTGGTGCGGCCCGTGCCGGGCGTTTGCAGCTGCGTACGAAGCCATTGCGCAAGAGCTCAAGACGTCGGCGCCCAACGTGGTCGTCGCCCGCATCGACGGCGCGCTCGAGGACGAGCTGCGCACGCGCCTCAACGTCCAGAGCTACCCGAGCGTGCTGTTGGTCGACAAGACCAAGCGACTCGTGTACGCCTTCCCGGGCAAGGAGCGAACCAAGGACGCGGTCCTCGACTTTGTCAAGGGCGGGTACAAGGAGACGACGCCGACCGCGCTCCCGCACCCGCCGTCGGCGCTGCATGCGATGGGCCACGCCGTCTCGCTCTTTGTATCGGAGCTGCTCGCTCTCCGCTTCGAGATGATCGCGGCTGTCTTGGTGCTCGGTGGCGGTCTTGGCTACACCGTCGCCGTCCTGCGGTCGCCCAAGAAGCTCCCAAAAGGTCTCAAGCCGCTGAAAGCCAAGAAGAACGAGTGATGTGACGCACAGAGGACTGCATACGCTTGCTGCACGGTAGCATCTGCATCAATAAAGCTTGCATTTAGTGTCGAGATGGACGGGTGGATACACTTGTTGTCTGCTTGGTGCACAGGTTGTCGACGAGGTGTACATCTCGGTCTCGACCGCTCCACAGAAGGCATCGTAGGGCATCGGCATAGCCAGCACATGGGTGTCCTTGGTCAAGGTCGACTCGAAAATGGACGCAGTTACAACGCCTGGAGCTGCGCCATGAGCGCTTCGACCGACGTCTCGGGCGCCACTCGAACGCACTCGCTTGGTGTCGCGTCGTCCACAGCAGTTGCCTCGTACGCAAAGCTCAGCCCCAAAGGCGTCGGTATCGGCGCCTCGAGACTCGTGTCGGTGCTGCCATCGCACACTTGGATGCCCCAGTCGTTGGTGTCGTGCACCACCGCATCAAGCGTCACGACGTCGGCGATGGACGGGGACCACGGACCGTGCGTGGCTTGCTGGCGGCGGCAGTCGGCGCTCGCACACTCGGGGTTGGGCCGCAGAAGGTCCATCGGGAAGAAATCGCGCAGCGCGCTGTAGCCGAGGTAGTACGAGACGCTGCCAAAGCGCAGGAGGAGCTTGAGCGCGTTCTGAACGAGAAGCGCGGCGATGAGCCCCATCGTCGTTGGGAGCGAAGCGGCGCAGACGCCGTCGCGCTTGAGCGTCGACTCGGGCACGCCGGACGCGACGATGAGGGGCGGTAGGCACTCGAAACACGCGGTGCGCCCGGGCAGGAGCGTCTGGATGTGGCCCGAGACCGCGTCTTCCGAGACGCCGCTCTCCATCCACGTCATATCGAGCTCGTTGCAGGCTTGGTTGATCGACATGCGAGCCGCGTAGTTGTCGACGCAGCTCAAGACGAGGTCGACGCGCCCGCCATGGAGGCCACCGTGCGTGATGCGATGAAGGAGGCGCTCAAAGTTGGCGGTTGTCGTAATGTCCATCGTGTGCTCTTCAAAGGCCACGTCCGGGTTGATCGCCGATAGCGTCTGCACGGACGCGGCCGTCTTGGTCATGCCCGCTTGGTGCGGCCGGAAGAAGAGGCGGTTCATGTTGGCGAGCTCCACGTGATCGTAGTCGTAGAGCAAGAGCTTCCCGATGCCGCAGCGCGTTAGCATCTCGGCGGCGACAGATCCGACGCCGCCGAGACCGACGATGAGCACCGAGAGCGACCGGATCGACTCGTAGTCGGCGACGACGCCCATGCGCTGGAGCGCCATGAGCCGGCTGTAGGGATTCGAGTCGATGACCTCGCTGCTCATGTGCTCTACCTTGGGCCGAGCGCCATGCTTCTCTGCCTCGAGCTCGCGGATGTGGGCTTCGAGGACCGCGATGCGCGCCTGCAGCGCGTCGACGTCGGCCATGTGGCACTCGGATCGCAATGCCTAATTAGGGATTTGATCTTTCTTTGTTTTCGGCACCGCAGCCCATCTTGGCGAAGTTATCCGGATCAAAATTCACCAGCGGGCATTTATAGCAAAACGACTGGTAGAAGCGCGCATCAAGGGACTTCTCCGTTCGAGTGATAGATAGGAACTGCTGGACATCGACCATTCACACCTCATTTTCGCGCCAAGAACGATCAAAGCCGAGCTGCGATGACAACGACAGCGCGGGGCGATACCGTCTGTCTGCAGTGATCAGGTGAGCCTGCTCGCCCGAGAATGGCTGATTTCCAAGCTCCAAGCAGATCTATTTGGACGCTACCTGTGAGCGTACGCGCGTAGGGATGACTGTTTAGGGCTTGTGTTGACGACCAATCCTCGTATCTTATTGTACGTGGAACCCAACGGAGCTTGAAGCGGCAGCTGCGTGTCCGGCAGTCTTGGCCATCGAGCCCTTCGTGGCGATTCGGCGCGAAATGCAGCAATTTGAGCCTCCACTAAGGACGGCTACCGATTGCAGTCAAGGAGTTGCCCATCAAGCTCTACTGTCGCCGCCACGCAACTTGGAATTTGTATGCTCTCGGTATCCGGCGCCGCCTGTCTTGGCGAAACCAGCTTTTTTTCCCAGTCATTTCCCAACCCTCAACCATGTCGACTGAAGCGAGTCCCCCGCCAGCCTTGGCCATCGCGACGCCTGCGCCGGTGCCGATGGCCGTGGCGGTCGCCGTGCCATCGTCGCCAGCATCGTCCTCGACTGCGTCGTCGCCCGTCGCCGGCGAAGGCGCGGCGCTGCTCCCGGGCAAGAAGGTCAAGATTTCGGCGAAAGAAAAGTTCAAGCGCCTCGAGATCCGCCGCGTGAACGGCTACCTCCGCATCGTCAACCTCGTGCTCGGCGCGCTCATGCTGTGGTACAGCGGCAACCTCCTGTACACGACGACGACGTACAAGGGCATGCTCGACGCGCTCTTCCTCATCGCGCAGGCCGCGCTCCTCGTGCTCTTTGAGCTCCGCGACAACTTTCCCAACGTCGCGCAGGGCATGCACGACTTCCTCGGCTTTATGTTTACAGCGTATGGCCGCTCGACGCTCTTTCTCGTGTACGATCCAATGATGATGACGATGAACCATGGACGCTCATGCGTGTGGATAGGATGGGCACGTGGGCGCCGACCCAGGACTCAACGGGCATAGTCTTGGGCATTGCGTTTTGCATCCTCGGCCTCATCAACTTCACCTTCATCCTCGCGGTACGCTCGCCATCCCATGCTGCTGCGGATGGCTCATGCATCCTATGCGTAGCACCCGAGCTACAAGCAAGCGATGGCCGATGCGTCGGGCTCGCAGGTCACGGCCGTCGTTGTCGTCAGCGAAGCGCCCAAGCCCGCGTACGGTGCCACGGACGCCCCCGAGAAGGCTGTCTAAGACGCTATCATTTCTATATGGTTCTTCTAATGCATGCGTCTTGCCGCTTTGCAGTGGTGGCGTTGGCGGCGGCATGTAGCCTCCTGGAGGCGCAGGGAGCGACGTTGGTGAGCGGTGACCCGGCCATGTGAGCCTCGTTGGGCGAAGAGCCCGTGAGCCTCGTCCTCGCTTCGTCCACCGCCACTCTTCCAGCAACGGCCACTTCGAAACGAAGGTCGAACAAGTGGCGTGTTTTTAGCGCATCTATTTTATTCCGTCGATTTAAAGATGACTTGATAAATGTATGGAATGCGCAGCAATGAATTGTCTGTCTTTTCTGTCGCTGGCACGCTGGATCTCAATTCCAAATTGGAGCTGAGAGCCGCAGATCGCTGTGCCATGAGCTTCCGCGCTGTCGTCGCTGTGTTGAGCCTGCTCGTGGCCTTGGCCCACGCGTCCCATGTGGTCGAACTCACGAGCGACTCGTTCGAGCACCTTACGCAGGCGGCCACGGGCGCGACGACGGGCGACTGGCTCGTCGAGTTTTACGCACCATGGTGTGGCCACTGCAAGCACTTGGCACCAGTCTACGAAGACGTGGCCAATGGTACGACATCCTTGATCGCGTGATCCTGGGCTAATGTCAATTGTAGAGCTGCACGGTACCGTCAACGTGGCGAAGGTGGATGTGACGGCGAACGCGGCTTTGGGCCAGCGCTTTGACATCAAGGGCTTTCCGACGATCCTTCTCTTCCACAAGGGCTCCATGTACGAGTATGGCTCGAACGAGCGCACGAAGGAGGCTCTGGTTGCATACGCCTCGGGCGGCTTTGCATCGGGCTTGAAGAAGCCGGTGCCCACCGTGCCGACGCTCATGGACGAGGCGACCAAGCACGCGCACATCATTGTGAAGGACCTCAAGACGCTGCTGGGCACGAAGAAGAATGCGATCATTGCGACTTTTGCCTTTGGTCTTGCGATCGGCCTCGCGCTCGGCTGCTTCTGCAACTGCTTTTCGAGTAGCCGCGAGTCGCCCAAGCAAAAGCGCGCGTAGTGCCATGTTTGCCCTAAGTTAGCCTAGTGATTCCTCTCGAGCATACTACATATAGGTCCCGTCGTGTCTTATCCTTTGTCAGCTCTCAGGCGGCCATCGACGCGGGTGGGCCTCACCTGTCCACGCCTCGTCATCCGGAAGATCGTCGTAAATGCCGGTCTTTTTCCGGAGCCATATGTTTCAAACCCATGTGTTTAAAACACGTTGCAGTTGGGATTAGTCGACACACGGTTGGAAATGGAGCGGCCACGGTTTGGCCGCCACGGTTCGGCAGCCGATCGTCGTACGGTTATCTTGTTCGTAGCGCCGAACGAATGCGCATGCGCTTCGCCACGTCACGACATGGCTTGCCCCGGATGCGTCAGTTGCTGGGCGTATCAGCCTATGAAACACCGTCTCGCTTGTGCGTCAGTGGCGCCACCACGGAGCCCCTCTCGACCTCTCAACAAAGAGGCCAACGCAACGGCGCCTCATACTCTCTACTTGGATTTGCTAGACGCTGCGTTCTCAGAGCGCGTGCATACAAGCCACGAGCGACGCTCCTGCAGCTCAAGTTGCCGCAACCCACCCTCGTCGCACGTTCTTCACCGCAGTGGACACCGTATGAATCAGAACGACCAAAGAAGCTTTGTCCTTGCGGGTTGCAGTGGTCGCTTTCGCCCTTTATCTATCGTCCTGCACAAGTCGTAGTTGAGCCAAAGATCGGTCGCGCCCATTTGCCAATGATACATGACGTGGCCGCCTGCTGGTTCGTGAATGTGTTTTAAACACGCACGTTACCCAGGTGACCGCATTATCCGGAAGGAACGGTAAACTCGATCTTGCGTGTCGCAGAGCGGCTTTCCCTCAACGCCGCAGCAGCGCATTTGCGGATTTCCCTCCGGTCCCTCACTCAGAACTGATCATGTCGACGGCCAACTACCACGACGTGCAGCTGCTCGATGGCGGCACCGGCGAAGAGCTCTTCCAGCTCGGCCTCCCGGACGACCGCAAGACGTGGTCGGCGTATGCGCTCGTCCATCCCGAGTACAATGCGCTCGTGCGCCAAGTGCACGAGAGCTTCTTCCGCGCCGGCTCCAAGTACGTCACGTGCAACAACTACACGGTTACTGCGTGCTCGGGCTTTTCGCTGGCCGAGATCCAGCAGTACACGACGCTGGCGGGTGCGCTCGCGGTCGAGGCGCGCACAGCCGCGGCGACGCCGACGGCCAAGATTGTCGGGTCGCTCCCGCCACTCACCGAGAGCTACCGTCCGGACCTCGTGCTTCCGGCCGCGGACGCCGTGCCCGTCTACACGGTCATTGGCGATGCCCTTGCGCCGTACGTCGATATCTTCACGGCCGAGACCATGTCGTGTATTCGCGAGGCCATCATGGCCATCGATGGTGTCGCCCATCTGAAGAAGCCGATTTTTATCTCGTTTACGCTCGGTAAGGACGGTGCACTGCGCAGCGGCGAAGCTGTCGATGCGGCGATCCGGGCGGTCGTCGCCCACTCGCCGCTCGTCCAAGCCATTCTCTTCAACTGCTGCGAACCCGAGGTTATCACGACGGCCTTCAAGGGCTTTAGTGCCGAGCTCGAAGCCGAGCTGCGCTTCAAGGGCATTCGCTGGGGCGCATACGCCAACGCGCTCACGCCCGTGCCGGAAGGCTGGACGCTCTCGGGCGCCGAGGCCGCGCAGCCGCTCCGCGAAGACATGTCGCCGACCACGTACCTCACCTTTGTCGACGCCTGGATCACGCATGGCGCGACGCTCATTGGCGGCTGCTGCGCGATTGGGCCCCAGCACATTAGTGCGATCCGCGACTTTCTGGCCGCCAAGACCGCTGCGTAGAGGTCGCATAACTCTGTTAGTACATGTTATAGACTCGACCACAAACTGCGTTGAAACAGCAGAGGGTGGAGGGTCGAGGGTCACATTCGGAACTGTTAAGCGACGTACTCGTGGAGCAGCCACATGCAAGCGGCCTCCACGTCCTCTGTCCAGACGTCCATGTCGTCGGTGGCTTTGCGACTCAAGGCCGCGACAAGCGATTCAAAATTGGCCTGCGTCTTGAGCGCTGCGTCCACATGCGTCAGCGCGCGGAGGGCGTCGGCGGCGGCCAAAACGCCGATGTCGTCGTACGCGGTGCTGAGCGACTGGACATAGTCGTCAAACGGCAAGTTGCGCCCGAGGACTTCGTACGGGTCGACGCGCATGCGTGGCACCGCGGCAGCGATCGTCTTGTCGTACGCGGTGCGCAGGAGCGGCGGCAAGCGCGCCAATAGCACCTACAAAGGCGTGCTCAGATTCCATTGCTTTCGCGTACCCGATGAACCTGGGGGGGCGCAAGGGACCCGATCATGTCCTCCTACAAGAACGTATTTCGACAAGTGGCATTCCTGCACATGTGTACCTCGGGTGTGTCGGACACGAACGAAGCTTGGCTCGACGAGTATGGCACCTCGGACGACTCGAACGAGGCGTGGCTGCTGTACGACGACGTGTGTTTCTGGGACGCCAACGACGCGGCGCTGGGATTGTTGGATACCTTGGCTGTAGGAATCTACGTTACTGGTGAGTCGTTCAACCATAAACCGTCGAGCGGTACATCGGATGTGAACGAACTTTGGCTGTACTGCTGCGAGAGATGCGACGACGCCGTGTCCGACTCGATACCTCGGAGCTCGTGAGAAAGTGCGGCGACCTGTTCCCTGCTTGGCGCCGTCGTTTTACGTGGCAACACGTCCTCGTCGTCGCTGCCCGGCGACTCGTCGCGGGGAGTAAACTCGACATCAAATAGGTCGGGAGGCGTCGGCTCGTCGACAGAGGAGGTTGAGGCGCTCGGCTCGTCGGACGCCGTCGCGGTCGCTAATTCTGCACTGGGCAATCGCGCTTCTGTCTCTTCCTTGTGTGCTGTCCACCGTGTGGCGTCGTTGATGGGCGTATTGGGGATAGGGTTATCGACTTTGCAAACGTCGTTCTCGGGCGTTGTAGGACCCGGGGCGTGGAGCGTAGCACTGCGTGTTAACGATGTGGCGGACGATGTGTGCGCGGCCGCTCGACGCAGGGCGTACTCTCGGTACGCGGTCTGTAGCACAGCGGCTGCAATGTGGTGTGCACTAATGTCGGCAGGCGAGACTACGAGCGCTAGCGCTTCAATGGCGGCGGCTTCGCGCGCGATATGCCGCGTCACGAAGCCTTCGACGCTGAGTTGTTGGTGCATCTGGCGTCGCACCACGTAGCCCCGGATCACGGCTTGGATGGATGTTGCAGCTATCGAACGCACCGAAAATGCGGCGGCGTACATGCTTAGCGCTGTCTCGATGGACGCGCGCACGACAGTCTCAGCGGCACTGCACAAGACGGCGGTATCTTGCGAGGGATGCTGTCGCACCGCGTTGACCGCAGCCGCTGCGAGTATCTGCACGACGGCCTCAGCGCCATCTTGACCGTGGCCTCCCAAGAACGCGGCCATCCGGTCTCGCAGCGCAGCGTGTAGACTGTGTGCATCCGTCGAGGCCGACCATGCGGCGTGTGCGTTAGCAACGCATTGATCGACGGCGTTTGGGCAGGTGTTAGCAAGGCACTTGAGGACGACTTGGAGAGACTGGTCCTTGGAAGCGTCGTGAAAGCTCTGAAGCGCAGCGCAGATTCCACGGACAGCTGCGGCGTGCACCGTGCTATGTGGATGACGATCGGTTGTCGCTATTCGTGTATCCAACGACGCAGCCGTTGCTGTTGGGGCAGCAGACGCGGCTTCTTCTTCGTCATTCGCAACGTTGCTTTCGCCAGAGACGCTGCTTGGCGCCGCTGTGGCGTCGGCCACCAAATCATCTTGGACTGCATAGAGGGCCTCGTACGACGTGGCGGCAGTGGTACGAAGGGGGGCGGCTTCGTTTGTGGCAGCCACCAAGCCTGCTTGTGGGCAGTCGCTGGTGCCGGAGGCGACTGGCGCGCTCTTCCAAGTCGGCAACAATTTTCGCACCAAGTACCCTCGTCCGACTGCTTGAATCACCGATGCTGCAAGTTGTTGTATCGCCACGTCCACTCGGCGATACGTTTCAAGCACCGCGTGGCGAGCGTTTGCGAGTAGCCGCTTTCGCACTGCGACGCCGCGACTTAGTGCTTGGATTGTTGTCGCTGCGCGGTCGATCACCACCGCCTGCACGAGATCATTGACGTCGTCGTTGCGCAGCTTTGGTAGCACAATCTGCTGGCGAACAAGGCAGCCGCGTACGAGGGCTTGAATCGACGTTGCAGCGATCGCTTGGATCCCAGAGTTGGCCGCGTCCCGGGACTGCGCGATCCGGTTCTTGATACAAGTTGCGCTGGCGAGAGCGAGGCGGGATGCCATGTCGGCTTCGTCCGAGAGCAGCGCCGTACGCGGCGTCATGACGTGGGCATATATGTAGTCGAGGCAGGCGCCAGTGAGTCGCTCCGACATGCGCGTCGTCAACTGCCACTCGTCATCGACACGATCATGGGTCTTCTCGAGAAACGCATGAGCTAGGCGACTCGCCATGGCTTCGTCCAGCTGCGTCGAGCGTTCGGCGTCATCACGTCGCCGTCGGTGCAGCCAGTCGATGACCGCACGGGATAGATCCACCGCCATTGCATTCTCGTCTGTCAGCACCGTCTCGGTGTGTGCCCGCACGGCAGCACCCAGGGCGAATGTTGATGCTTCGGCGAGGCGCTTTGCCATCTCTACTGCGTCCGCGGTGGCCAACGAAAGCTGCTGCTGGCGCGACTGCGAGAGGGCGTCCGAGATGGCCTGTGCCAATCGCCATGCCATTTCTCGCTCGCCGCCTTCGATGCGTCGCGCCACTTCGTACGTCGCCTCCGTCTTGGCCAAATATCGTCGCCAGGCGTGCTGCACGACGTGTGCTGCCATGCTGTGAATGTGACGGGTACTAGTGCGCCGTCGCCGCGACTGGTGTCGCCGGACTACACGCTGGATCTTGCGGCTCGCTCCGTCATAGCCAGCACGCAGTGCAATACAGAGGAGACGACATTGATGGCCGCGCACAATGGCTTGTATGGTAACCGCTGCGCTCGACCGCATGAAGCGCAAGGTTGCAACGTGACGTCGGCACCAAGAGCCTCGGAAAACGCGCTGCAGCGTTGCGGCCGCGCATGCGCGGTCCTCTACTTGCATCTACAACCAGTATTACCACGCCAGTATCGATCGCCGCGTGTACCGCCGACGTCAGCTCGCGCTGTATGTGGTAGCGCGAAATGACGTGCGTGCTGAGGTGTCGGGCGTACACTTGCAGCGCGCGCTGGCGCACGGCAAAGCCTTTGCAAAGCGCTTGAAGCACACTGGCTGCGACGTGCCGAGCTTCGCGTTGCTGGGCCGCGAGCTGCTTGGCCCGCGGCAAGACCCGGTTGCGACGCACGGAACGGCCTTTCACGACTCCTACAAATAGGATCGTCGAATACGTCGCTGGTCCAACAAGTTGTCTGTACCTTGAATGACACTGGCGGCCAAGTGTTTGGCTTCGCGTTGCTGGGCGGCCAAGAGGTCGTCTCTGGAGATGCGGACCTCGAGTTGCTGTGCAAACTCGAGTGCATGTTCTCGTCGAGCGGATGCGACTTTGGCAATACCTACATTGCAGTTATGAGTCGTAGCATGGAACTCTCGCCACGTACTTGGCTCTCGCGGCAGCTCCGAGGAATCGGCCGGTGCGGTTGGTAGAGGCAGCGAAGGAATCTCGGGTGTACGCGCGGGCACCTCGACAGCAACGGCACTGGCCTTCTCGGCGTCAATCCAGCGTTGGGTTTCTGCATACTGAGCTTCCAACGCGACCTGCGCCGCGCTAGCGCTCGCCTGCGCCGCATCCGCCTTGGCCATCTCTTCCTCTGCAATGAGCGCCTTGGCCTTGGCTTCGCGCTGAGCCAAGAGTGCTTTGACCTTCTCCGCTTCCTGAAGCGCTCGTAGCGCTCGGGCTTTCTCCACATCGTTGAGTGCAAGGAGCTGCTTCGTCTGCGCTTCCATTTGGGCCAGTCGCTGCTTGAAGGCCGCGGCTTCGGCTTGGGCCGCAGCTTGCTTGGCCTCGGCATCGCGCAACGCGGCTTCGGCTTTGGCCCGCGCAGCTTCTTGATAGGCAAGAAGATCGCGCGTTTCAGCTTCGCGCACCGCAAGCTCTCGCTTGGCTTCGTCGAGTAATCGGCGCTCTTGGGCGCGAATCGCAAGTTCGCGTCGCGTCGCCTCCAGCTGCTGCGCCTCGCGCATTTGCGCCTCGCGCATCTGGCGCCGGTAAGCAACAAACCACCTCCGCACGAGATACATGCGCACAATGGACTGGATCACGATGACGCAGTGTAGCCGGTAGCGCTCGGCCCGCGTCGGCGACGGTGCTCCCCAAGCAGCCCGGGCTCGCGGCAGGCGTCGTCGCACACGGTGTCCGCGGTAGTGGGCTTGGAGCTTACGCGCCGCGACGTCGTGTATTCGTTGCATCTCGAGCTGTTGGCGATGTTGCTTGGTGATCTCGTGGGGCCGAGTATCCGTATTGGTACTGTCCGTCTCGACTGATTGCCGGAGCCGCTTGAGGTATTCGATGTGCGACACGCGTGGTGGCAGGCCCGTGGTGCTGGAAAGCTCGATTTGGTGGGCAAGCGTAGCCCGCGCCTGCGGTCGCCGGACGTCGACGCGCTCCATACGCACAGCTGGCGACGGTGCTTGAAACACTTCGACAATCTCCTCGTCCGAGTCCGAGTCGAAAAGGTTCGTTGTGATCGTCGTTTGCTGTGACGCCGATGGCCGAAGTTGGGCTTCGGACGACGCGGCCGATGGGGCATCCAAGTGCACCTTGCTGCGTAATGAAGGCATCGGAACAGAGCGCGTCGACTGCTTGTGCGGCGGTGCAGCGATATGGGCACTGGTGGGTCGTCGACTGTACGGAGGTGGCGGCGATTGTCGGTCCGGGGGCGCGACTTTAAACGCCGACGCAGCCGCTTCTGCCGCCGGGCCTTTGGCTTTCAAAAAAGCCGCAAACGTCGGTTGCTTGGGCGGCGACGGCGCGCGGTCGTGCCAGCGTCGACCTGCCGTATCCGGCGGAGGTCGCTTCCTCGACGCCGTTGTCGGTCGCGTTGCTTTGGACGGCTGTGTTGGCTTGTAGGAATGCGCCGTGTCGGCCGCCGGTGCGACGTGACGGCGATGCGACCGCGGTGGGGCAGTCCTACGTTTTGCTTAGCATGCCAAGCGTGCGTCATGACGGTCGTACTCGACAGGCAATGGTGCGGTAGCGTGTTTCTACGCCAAAAACTCAAAATCACTCGATCCGAGAGCACGTTCGTACCTTCTTGGCAGCATCGTACGAGGTCTTAAACGTCTTCCAGAGATTCCCGTTATTCTCCTTGTACTTGAAGACCATTTGCAGAGCTTTCTTGTACCACTGGACGCCACTTCTTACCTATCTATTGTGGGAAGTTGCGTTTTACCTGGAGACTGGCGTCGCCCCGTGCGTTAAACTCCATCTCGACCGCCAAGTTATGATATGCAATGGCCAACGCGACGATCTTCTCTTCGCGGGACTGCGCGTCGAGGACGTCGCCGCCCATATCGCTTGTGACGAGCTCTTCTTGTGCATGAAAAATGGCCGACTGCGCATGCTCGAGGGCCACGTCATGACTAGCAACAATCAAGTGGCCTCCAATACGACGTCGATGTAGCGTACCGGCCGAGCTGGGACTGGATCGCACACAGGTTCAAGTGCGTCACCGAGAGATTGCGAACGCTGGGCGTCGATGCACCGAGAGACGCGGCTTCCGAGAGGTACTTAAGCGCGGTCTTGAGCTTGTGGAGGCTACACGATCGGCTCATGCACCAAGGGGAGATGTCTGGAGCGTACCGCCGGTAGTAGCACCCAAGGTTGTTGTACGTCAAGATACGCAGCGACTCGGGCGACGCAAACTTGCCGGGCTTGGTGAGTGCGTCGGCCTTGAGGAGGAGGTCGAGGCAGAGCTCGTGGGCGCCGGATGCGAGCTGCTCCATCGCGTGCTGATTGTACAGGAGCACGACGTCTTGGAACATCTTGCACACGTCGTCATGCTACACGCGCATGCTATGCCATGACATGATATAAGGAAGGTCTACCTCGGGGCCTAGCATGCGTCGCTTGAGGAAGAGCCCTTGCTCCAAGCACCCGAGCGCTTCAAGGTCGAGCTGCTTGCTCTGGAGCGTCGCGACCATGCTGTCCATCATGTCGAGCAAGGTAGTCGTCGCTTCCATCGTCGTCGCCATGGCGCATGGGCGGGCGGGCGGTCGGCGCGGGCTTGCTGCGGTGATCGTTACTTGCCGTTTCCGCGGAAACCGAATAATCCCGTGCAAAGCCCATACGTATGCATTTATAGAGGTTTCAATGACCAGATTATGGCTGAAAACGCGCTCCACTGTGCTGCAGGCGTCTATCGGTGCTGTGTTCAGCCCCGAGGAGTAGAGCTCATGTAGCGTAGCTCGTCGTCTCAACGATCTAGTGCTTGCTGACGACCATTGCATCGAGTTAAAGTACGATGTCAAGCCCGAGGTTGAGGTCGCGTTGACGACCAGTAAATTGCTGAATCGGGTCCATGCCAATCACGGTGTTGGGTTTGAGCAATAAATTGATTTTTGCATTGTCCAGCCGTCGCGATGAGTGGTGGCCCGATCTATGCGCTGGGCATTGAAGGCAGCGCCAACAAGCTCGGCGTCGGCGTCCTCGTGCTCCATCCTGACGGCAGTTGCGACATCTTGAGCAACCCGCGCAAGACGTACATCCCGCCGGCGGGCCAAGGCTTCCTTCCGCGTGAGACCGCATGGCACCACCAAGTCCACTTTGCGCCGCTTGTCCGGCTTGCGCTCTCCCAGGCGAAGATCAAGCCATCGCAGCTGCATTGCATCTGCTACACAAAGGGCCCGGGCATGGGCGCGCCGCTGCGGTCGGCGGCGGTCGGCGCGCGCATGCTCTCGCTGCTGTGGAAGAAGCCTCTCGTGGCCGTGAACCACTGCGTCGGCCACATCGAGATGGGCCGCGCTGTGACCAAGAGCGAGAACCCCGTCGTGCTCTACGTGAGCGGCGGCAACACGCAGGTCATCTCGTACTCGATGCAAAAGTACCGCATCTTTGGCGAAACCATCGACATTGCGGTCGGCAACTGTCTCGATCGCTTTGGTACGACCATCCATCGACGCCTCCGGAGCCTTCAACCTTGTCTAGCACGCGTGCTCGGCCTCTCGAACGACCCGAGCCCAGGCTACAACATTGAGCAGCTGGCCAAGGAGTTCGTCCACGTCGTGCCATACCGCGGTGGCTAATTCGATGTGGTAGCGGCTCCAAGTACATTGAGCTGCCCTACGTGGTCAAGGGCATGGACGTGTCGTTCTCAGGCTTGCTCTCGTTCATTGAGAAGGAAGCCAAGTACGCTCTTCTGCTATTGCTTGCTATTGCGCTGACAATCGCGACTAGAGACAAACTCGCGTCCGGCGAGTGCACCAAGGCCGACCTCTGCTACTCCCTTCAAGAAACCATTTTTGCCATGCTCGTACGCGACCTCTGGCGCAGCATGGACGACTGACCGTATGGGTGCTAGGTGGAAATCACGGAGCGGGCGATGGCGCACTGTGGCCAAACCGAAGTGCTCATCGTCGGTGGCGTTGGCTGTACGAGTTCTTTCAAACATTGGGAAGCCTATCAACCATCGATACTAGGCAACAAGCGTCTCCAAGAAATGATGGAGATCATGGCCAAGGACCGCCAAGGTCGCGTGTGTGCCATGGACCACCGGTGCTGTCCCTAGACACCTTGATTGTATGCGCACTGCCCGTCGTTGTAGGTACTGTATTGATAATGGCGCGATGATCGCCCAAGCCGGCGCCCTTCAGTTCCAGCACCTCGGCCCGACGCCGCTCGCCGAGTGCACGTGCACGCAGCGGTATGGCCTCCTTGAAGATGCTCTTAACGTTGAGCACACGACGACCCTTCTGTAGGTTCCGTACTGACGAAGTCGACGTCATTTGGCGCCAAGGCTAAGCGCTCGGTCTCCGCGTACTGCGGCGTGACAGCATCGTAGACGACATTGGCCGTCAGAACAACACCCAGAGGCGTGTCGACCTACAAGCGAATATAGGATGCTGCGTCGCTTGCTGGCGTCCGTGTCGTACCGTCATGTCATCCGTCTTTGGGGGTTGAAGGAGCTACAAACCACTGATGTTACTGGCGACGCGAGGTCCGGGGCGATGGCGTACCGTTTGCAGCTCGCTGTGCTCGGCGTGGCGTGTCTCGTAGTCGCGGAGTACGTACGTCGTGTCAAAGCTGTGATAGTAGCGCGCATCGTGGAGCTTGACGCACTAGTCAGACCCTTGGTAGTCATTGTATCCAGCGATATGAAGATGGCAATACCTTGTTGTCGACGCGGGCAAAGAAGCGGCACAGAATGAGAAAGCCAAACGGCATGACGCGCTACATCGTGGCATGTGCATATGAGGTCGGAGATGCTGCGCGTACGAGCTTGACACTGCACTCGACGTCGCCGAGGTCACGCACGTCGTCTAGATGCAGTCCGTGATTGCACGCAAGACGCTGCCGGCGACAGACCTTCAAAGAGGATGACGTCGTCGTAAAAGAGGATGGCGGCGTGTTCGCGCAGCCGATCGAGTGGCAGCGTCTCGCATGTCGACTGCGGCGTCACGTGCTAGAACATGCCCCCGCGATAAGCAACGCATGGCGCAGAATGATGGCGTACCTCGGGATGCGTCCCGCGGTACGCGCACGAGTACGTAACGTCGAATGCGGTGGCCTCGACGTGGTGCGCGTCTCGCTGGGCGGTCGCCCACGTCGCGAGCGCGTCTTCCGCGCAAAAGGCCACGCGCCAGCCCGACGCCTCGTGCGTCGCCTGCAAGAGGTTGTCACCAAAGAGCATTTCGGGCAGCGGTACGTGCGGCAAGTGGAAGCGGTCGCTCATGGCCGACCGCGCAGTCGAGCTCAGCGCGCCACGCTTGGTGGTCTCGAACGTCCATCCAGCGTACGCAAACACATGGCGGCCGTCGACCACCGCTGGCTGGGCCATGGTCGTTTCGTGGCAAATCTCAACAGTGTCTTTGAGTGTCGCTTGGCCAAGATACTGTTGCCCATGACGTGGCGGTCCACCAGAGGCCAGTGTCGTGGAGGCAATATTGCGATCTTCGCTTCGTCTCGTCGCGGCCCAACCACGCATTTGCTTACTTTACACACTGCTTGCATGTGTCTACCTGTCGAGCGCCGTCTTTGAGGGCGACTTGCCTTTGCTCGTACTTAGAGAATAACAGTACAAGATAATACTAGAGGACAGTCGTTCAGAAGGTGTGTTCGCAGCTTACTCGCAATGTCGGAGCCGCACCACAGAGCATCCTCAGTAGCACACCTTGGCGCCAAGTCGGGGTCATGCCAAAGGGCAAGCTGCCTCGACCGACAGCCCATTGCCGGATTACCGTACACCACGGCCACTCTTGGTGTTGGATCGTGGCTGCAGATTTCGAAATCGACAAAGTCCGCAATCGCTGACGTGATCCGCGCTGGCGTGCGCCAATCACATGGCAGCAGACTGCGTATACAGCAACGTACGAACGAGTTGTGGGGCGAGTGGCCGGCAGCGCACGGACGCTTCAGAGATCAATCTTCCGCGCCTCGCCATGCAGCGCTACGCCATGGCGCTGACCTTTTACGCGCTCTGGGTCGGCTCCATCTTTCTCTTTCAAGGCGCCGTGCTCACACTTCTCTGGAGTGCACACTACCGGTGGCATGTCGTCGCCTTCTACGTCGCGTACGCCTCGTGGCGCTACCTCTCACCTCTCGACACGTGGCCGCTCGCGCAGCGTTGGATGTTGCGCATGAACGCAGCGTGCCAGTACTTTCCGTCGCGGGCCGTGGTCTTTGAGAAGGGTGCCACCGCGCCGCCGCCCGACACGAAGGCCATGCTGGCCTACCACCCCCATGGCATCCTTGCCTGCGGCTGGTAAGACATCCTATAGCACTAAGAACCTAGTCGAGGCTGATGCGCTGGTGTAGGGTCGCCAACGGCTTTGCCGACTCCGTGTTTGCGCCGTCCCAGATTTCCTGGCTTGTCTCGGAGCTGCTCTTTCTCATGCCACCGATCGCCAACATCATCTCGTGGTTTGGCTGCGGTCCCGTGCACCGCGTGAACTTTGAGGCGCTTGCAAAGCGGGGTCGCAACCTCGCGCTCATTCCCGGCGGGTTCGAAGAAGCGACCATCTACGCCTTTGGAAAGCACCGCGTGTATCTCAAGGAGCGCAAGGGCTTTATCAAGCTCGCGCTCCAGTACGGCTACAAGGTAGTTGTCTCTCGACTCTATTGCTTTACGAGGCAACCGAGTAGGTCTACCCAGTCTACACATTTGGGGAAGAGCGCACGTATCTCGCTTTCCAGCCAGGTCTGCGTTTTCGCCTCGCGCTCAACCGGTTTAAATTGCCCGGCGCGCTCTTCCGAGGCCTCTGGTGGTGCTTCTTCCTCCCGTTTGCGTCACAGACAATGACAACGGTGGTTGGTGCGCCGATGCAGCTACCGACGCTGCCGTCGCCGACGCCGGACGATGTGCGCAAGTACCACGACGCGTACATGGAAGCCCTCAACGCGCTGTTTGAGCGCCACAAGGCAGCGTACGCCCACGACCCCAACGAGACGCTGACGTTCTTTTAACGAACGAGTCCAGGCACGGTATAGCTGTCCTCGCAACACCGAGACTTCACAAGAGATGTCCCGCTCTTGGCTGCTAAATGTCTTGCTACTCGGCTATTACTTGAAGGGGCATGAGTTTCTATGGATGCAGCGGGAAGAGGTTGGCTCTGGTCCACGCGCGGTAGAGTGGACTGATATCACCCAATGTTTTCGAGCTCAACAACTCGACTACGCCACGCAGAGGTCGACAGAAGAGCGAGCTACGTCGGCACGAGTGCGATCAGCCGCCACACGGTTCCCACCCGACCATGCGCAGGATTCTTCGTGCCCCTGTTGGATCCAACACAAACGGAGCGTCGTCGGGTCACCTTAGCTTGAAGGCAAGGCAAGTTTGAAAAAAATCGGCTGAAGTTTTCAGCGACCTGGCGCCAACAGGCAGCGCAAGGAACCGCTTCATCGATAGACGGACTGCGTGTCGTCGCGGCTTGTCGCGTTGACAAACCCAGACGCCGCGAGCTACGTCATGGCCACGACGCGGCCTCGGCGCCAGCGTGATGCAATGTCCAGTGCTCTTTGGGATTGGGCCGCGTATGGACGGCTACGAGGAGGACCATGTACCATCATCACACCGTACGTCGACTCGACACGCGACGCATGATCACTTGCGATATCCCATAGATCCACGAGAGACAGTGCCGAATCAGCCTACATTGTCGGGCGTGGCTGCTTGTGCCATGCGTGTCATTGATGATAACGTTGCGTTAGCCTACGTGGCAACTTCCGTAGCCTAGACTGTAGCTTACAAAGAACAAATAAGTACTTATGTGCTTATTTCATTAGGACTTCGCCGACACACTAAAAGCAGAGAAATGCCATTCGTTAGGCGCAAGGACTGGCCGAACGCTAGGATACTTCCAAGACAGCTGATTTGACGCACACTATTTTAGCGACCTTGCCGTTCATGCGTTGCTCGCGTGCCTGGTATTTTCATCATGCATGCAAGCCCGTGCTTGGTATATATATACGAGGTGCACTGCGTCCAACGCGGTGCCATAAGAACAAAGCCGCTCGGAGAGAGCAATGCTCGACCGGATAGGAAGAACACTATTATTGAAATGTGATATAGTGTAGAGTGGCCGACGGCGCGCGTCTGTCACCCCTGGCGGCTTGTTGACACTCGATTCGTCAACAAGGGTGAACAAGGGTCATGGGCGCGGCTTCGTAGCTCATTCTGGTATTTCCTTCGCTTCGGCCAACCTGTCCAGACAATGCTGCAGTACTTGATGTACGCCGTGTTCTACTCGGTCTGGGTCGGGTCACTTCTCTGCTTTTACCTCGCGCTCGCGGCCATCGTGGTCACGGACCTCCGCTTCTACCTCATCCCGTTCTTCGCCATCTACTACAGCTACCGCTACTTCATCTCGCCGCTGGCGCCGTGGCCGGCCGCCCAAGCATTTGCGTACAAGATGTTCAAGACGCACCAGTATTTTACCGAGCAAAAGGTCGTCTTCGAGGACAACATGGGCGCACCGGCTGCCGACTCGAAGGCGCTACTTGCCTACCACCCCCACGGCGTTCTTAGCTGCGGCTGGTACGATTCTTTCTCTTTAAATTTGCGGAAAGACTCATATCTTATTGCATAGGACGACCAACGGCATTGGCTGCGAGACGTTTGCGCCGTCCAAGATCCAATGGCTTGTCTCGGACGTGCTCTTCAACCTTCCGGTGATGGGCGACATGATCTCGTGGGCGGGATGCGGCCCCGCCGGCAAGGAAAACTTTTCCAAGCTCTGCGGCCAGGGCAGCAACATTGCGCTCATTCCCGGAGGCTACGAAGAGGCGACGACGTACAACTACGGCAAGCACCAAGTCTACTTGAAGAACCGCAAGGGTTTTATCAAGCTCGCGCTCAAGCACGGCTACAAGGTGCGCCCGGGCCTTTTTTTTAGTTTGGGTTTTGGTGGATTGAAAGTCATTTTAGGTCTACCCCGTGTACACGTTTGGTGAAGAACTCACGTACACGACGGTCAACCAACTGCTCAAGTTCCGTCTCTGGCTCAACTCGTGGAAGATTCCTGGCGTCGTCTTCCGCGGCAAGTGGTGGTGCTCGGTCCTCCCGCATGACGAGAACGCGCTCGTGACCGTCGTCGGCAAGCCCCTCGAGCTGCCGCTCATCGAACACCCGACGTGGGAGCAGGTCGAGAAGCACCACGCCGAGTATATGACCAAGCTCCAAGAGCTCTTTGACAAGCACAAGGGCGAGTACGCCAAGGACCCCAAGGCCACTTTGCACTTTTTGTAATTACTTGTCGAAATGCAAACACTGTATGTGAGATCATCCACTGGTTCAACATCGAAAGTCCCCCTTGTCGTGCTGGAAGAAGGGACGTGCATCGCACGCACGTTCGCCGCGCTTTCGAGGTGCGTGACCAATGGACCGACGCTGGTCGTGGGCTCGTGTCGCTCCCACGTGGCCATAAGTAGCGCCAAATTTGACTACATTTCCTGGTTCAAGGGCAAAAAGGGGCGCGTCGGCCCGTGGGAGGTGCATCGTCACATGCGCAGGCAAGGACGCGGTGGCCATCTCTCTGTCGACGCGGCCTCGGCTTGCGTCACGGTTGACGGAAACACCCACGGACGAATTTGGCGATCTTTCGGTATGTATCATATCTGTCTCATTTGAGACGGAAACAACCGAGTGCTCATCATAGCCGATGTTTGAAGCAGGGGCATGCTCGGCTTGTAGGTGCAGCAAAATATGCGCGCGGATCGACTCGTGAGTGACTAAGATATCCAGCACTTCGCACCGTCATAGCAAACTATGGAGCCCATTCCAGCCACTCCAGCGGTGTACCTGATGTGATTTGTTGAGTGCGGGGTGCAGCCACCGAGAGCACGCCTCAAACAGCTAATAGCCCTTGCGCTGGGTCATATGATGCACAGACTAAGCTTAGCGCATGGCGATGTGTACTACAAGACGACATGCTCCTCGTTCTCTCCGCAAATCGCCGCGGTGTCCAGCTCTGTCCCAACAATAAGACACTTGAGAGAAATCGGGCTCGTGCAAGCGAAGTTCGAAGCGCATTTCCACGCCGTGCTGATGTTTCGTGATCATCCGGGCGCCCGCAGACGAGCAACCGGTTGCCCACTCTGCAAGATGCTGTCTACCGCGCGCAACTTACTACTGAGCTACAGCCTCGTCTTTGGCTTTTACACGCTGTGGATGGTGTCCATGGCGCTGGCCGTCGCGTCCGTGCCCATCATGCTCTTCTCATCGAGCTACCGCTACTACGCCCTCGCCTTCCACGCGTGCTATTTCTCGTACCGGTACCTCTTCCCGCTCGCCGCGTGGCCGTCGCTCTCGACGGCACTTGTCGATATCTACCAGCGCCATCCGTACTACGCCAAGCAAGACGTCGTGTTTGACGAGGGCGCAAGCCCGGCGAAAGACCACTCAAAAACGCTCATGGCCTACCATCCGCATGGCATCCTCTGCTGTGGCTGGTGCGCGCCGCCGCCTGCTTCTTGTCTGAGGATCGTTGCTGTCTAGGCTTGTCAATGGCGGCGCCAACCCGGTGTTCCGCCACTCGAACTTTTCATGGCTCGTCACCGACTTGCTCTTCCTCGTGCCGGGGATGTCGAACCTCTTGGCGTGGTTCCAGGGCGGTCCCGCGGGCCGCGCCAACTTTGAGCGCCTCGCCAAAGCCGGCGACAACATTGCCATAATTCCTGGCGGCTTTGAAGAGGCGACGATCTTTGCCCGCGGCCACCACCGCGTCTTTCTCAAGAACCGCAAAGGCTTTCTCAAACTCGCGCTGCAATATGGCTACAAGGTATGACGTGGGCCCAAATTTGAGATTCGAATTGAGATTGTAGGTGCATCCCGTGTATACGTTTGGCGAAGAAGAGACGTTTGCGTCGTGCCCGTACTTTCTCAAAGCGCGAGTTTGGCTCAACAAGTACAAGGTGCCCGGCGTCATCTTTCGCGGCCTCTGGTTTTGCTTCTACATGCCATTCCGAAGTGCGCGCCTCACGACGGTCGTGGGCGCCCCGCTGCAGTTGCCGACGCTCGATCACCCGACAGTCGACGACGTGACCAAGTACCACAACGCGTACATGGCGGCGCTTCAAGCGCTCTTTGACAAGTACAAGGGGCAGTACGCCACCGACCCGAACGCGGTCCTCGAGCTGTTTTAACTATCAACTTGATACATTGCATTTTTCCTACAGTAGTACACGTGGCAACAAGAACAAGACAGTGTTGTCGGCGAGAGGGAGAGTATGTCTTAGGCAAAGTGACCGCGTTTGCGACCCAGATCAATGCCGCGCGAGTTGCGTGGGCTGTAGAGCGCGACAGCACTCTGCAGCTGCTCGACGCGCGTCCTACAAAACCCCATCGTCGGGTGCAGATGATGCAAAGACGACGTACGTTTGGGCTGCGAGCTCGCGCTTGAGGTCGCGGACGACGCCTTGCACTCGCCGCGCCTCAACCTAAAGCATCGTTCAGTCGCGTTATCGTCGACGCACGGACCTTGCGCAAGACAGGCACTTCATCTAACTCTTGCTGCAGGCGCTGCATTTCCTTCATGACCGACGTCAGTGTGTCTTGAGCGACCCGGGTCTGCCGCCGCGCCTCGTCGAGTTCGTCGCGCAGAGCATGCGCCGCGGGACTGCCCACGACGCCGTGAACGTGGACGTGGCCGCTGCTGTCCATCTCATTCGCTTCATCCTACTTGGTGCATTCGAAACGCCACTGGGCAAAGGTAGCTACCTCGAGTCGCTGAAGCCGCTCCCGAAGGCCCCGGTTCTCCTTGCGTAGTGCTACGAGGTCCAGATTGACCTTGTCGAGCGACACTTCGGCGAGCTTCCAGTACTGCGCTCGTTCCATGGCGAGGTTCTACGTGCTTAGTTCACGCGGGCGTCGCAGATCGGTTGTCAACCTTGTACTCGAGCAGCTCCTGCGCCAGCGTGCGCGTGGTATGGCCCGAAAGACTCGGCTTGTGCGGATCCATGGGCGGTTTTTGGGCGCGAAGACGCTGTTCCTTGAGTGCTTCCTGCGAGTTGAAGCGCTCCGACTGGAGCTCAAACTTGAGCTGGATCACTTGCTCTTCCCAGATCCGACACTCGGCGCGCATGGCCGAAAGCTCCTCTTCCTTGGCGCCGAGCTTGCGCAAGAGCGACTAGACGTGGTTGCTGGTGCGAACAATGGGCGAGTGCGTCGTCGTCGTACCTGCAGGTCGTGGCCAGCCAAACCGTCGTCCTTGGCGGGCTACAAAAGAGGGACTACATCGCATCCAGTGCTGGGAGGCAGCGTGCTGCGTACGGCAGGAAGCGGCTGGACGTGGCTGAGCGCGTCTTTGAGCGCTTTCACTTGCTCCTTGAGCGCGAGGTTGTTCTCGACCACCTCTTGGATCGCCTCGGGCGTCGCCTGCGCCGCCCGCGCGAGGCTGAGCTCGTACTCCTTCTTGGCCATCTCTCGCTGGAGGACGTCGACCTGCGCGGCGAGCCGCTGGTTCTTCTCCTGGAGCTCGAAGCGCGCGTTGCCTTCCTTGAGGAGCTGCGTCTGCAGCGCCTGGAACTCGCGGACGTTGATCATCTTGGTGTGTTGGCGTTTGTGACAGCGCCACCTCACTCGCAGCTGTTCGTGTCTTGTTTTGAGGGACGTGTGCCTGTTTAAACACTGCTTTATCCGGATACAAAGCACGTCAAAGGCTTGCACCGGGTCCTTTCTTTGTTTTCAAGCCTTGCAGCGTTGCAAGTGCGGAATGATCGACCAATCATGACGCGTGCATTCGTAGATTCTTAGTGGCGCGATGGCCATGGCAATGTGGGCCAACGGCAGCGTGCTCGAGCTCCACCACGTCGCAACGGACGCGACCGCGACCTTTCTCATCGAGCGCGAGAAGAGCCTTCTGACCTTCTGCCGACTGGACGCGCCGTACGAGAAGCTCAAGGTGGCGCAGACCGGCGACACGTCGTGGGGCGCCGGCGGCGGCAAGTTTGCGTCCTTCGTGCCCATCGCCACCGACGACGCGCTCTTCACGTTCCAGCTGGGCGCCAATCAAAAGAAGGCCAATGCAGCCGGCGGCGAAGGCTGGTACCTTGGCGTCGCGACTGGTGCCAGTGGCGTCGCGCTTGGCCATGGCCTCGTGCTCGTCGGGCACGCCGCGCCGCAGGTGTTTGCCGTCACGCTGCACGCACGCAAAGCGACCTTGCAACTCGATGCGTCGTGCGTGACGTCGTCGCTGCCGCAGCTCTCGCCGTCGCAGATCAACGCGTTTATGCGCGAGGGGTACCTCGTGCTGCCGTCGGCGGTGCCGCTCTCGCTCGTGCACCAGGCGCTGCGGCAGATCAACCATGAGCTCGGAAAGCCGGGCATGATGATCGAGGGCGGGGTCGAAGGCGCTGCCAAGCTCGCTGGCAACACGTCCAACTCGGTTGCGATCCGGGATCTCTTCTTTGGAAGCGCGGTCGCTGGGTACGTGGCAAGCCTCGTGGGCGCGATTGCGCCGCCGCAGGGCGCGCAGATCGCGCTGCGCTTCCCCGAGCTCGGGCCGGCGTACGAGCCAAAGGGCAACGAGTGGCACACGGATGGCATGCGCCAAGGTCACCGCCGACGAAAGCCTCTGAAACTCAACACCTCGACTGTAGGCAAGTGGAACCCATTTTCACTGCTGGTGGGCATCGCGCTCTCGGACGTCCAGCAACCGCAGAGCGGCAACCTCATCGTCTTTCCAAGGTCGCACCACACGCTGCACGGCATGCTGCAGGAAGGCGGCGTGCTCGCGGGGTGCGCCACGACGTGCACGTCGGTGGACACGGTGTGGGGCGACGGCCACCTCCCGGACCTCGGCACGCCCATCCCGCTTCTCTGTACGAAGGGCGACGTGGTGCTGTGCCACCCCAAGATGGCGCACCGGGGCGGCCCCAACTTGTCTCACGACATTCGCTACCAAGTGTACTTTCGCATCAAGCATGCACTGCACGAGGAGCGTATGGAGCGCGCCAAGACGGACCTCTTTGCCGACCTCGACGGCTGCGACGTGTCAACAGGATGATGCGAATACAACTAAGATTACATCAGGCCTTGCAGCGGCGGGAGGTGGTCTTCGTGGCCGACCGAGTTGGACGGTCCTGGTCGCGAGAGCGGGGGCAGCACCAACGGGGCGCTCGACGCGTTCAGGATGTCCTGAAAGTTCATGCGCGAACGCCGAAACGCACCAATGTCGAGCGTGTGCGACCGGCCTTCGCGGGGCACCCCCATGGACGGGAACGACGGGGTCGGGGCCGAGTGCGGCGGCGGCACGAGCGCTGGGAGGCCCGCCACCGACGGCAAGCTCGGGTTGACGGTGAACGTGCGGCGCGGCGCGGCGACCGGCGCTTCGCCCGCCTGCTTGCCGTTATAGATGATACTGCGGATGCTCTCGTTCGAGTAGAGCTGGAGTCGTTCTTTCGACCGGTTGGCCATCGTCGGCTTCCAGAGACGCTTGCGGTTGTTGGCGAACCAGTTGTTGAGCTGGCACATATCGAGGCCGGTCTCGTCACAGAGCGCCTTCTTCTCCACGTCGGTCGGGTACGGGTGCTCAAGATGCTCGGGCGACATCATCCAGTCCTTGAGGATCTAGCTTTCTATGAGCAATGCAGCCTCTAAGCAAGCTCACGTACGCGAATGACGTGCGGCGGCAGAAGCGAGCTTCGCCGAGCGCGCTTCTCCTTGCCGTTGCTGTCGTCGTCCTTGGCATCGAGCTCGCGCTTGAGCGGCGGCGACGGCTTGTGCGTCGACGCATCGCTCGCACTGCGCTCGTTGCGCGGCGGCAGGCGCAGAAACGACGATGGAATCGGGTGGTGCGGGGCCGCATACGGGTGGTGCACGCGGTGGTGCTGTGGATGTTGGTGGTGGTGGAGCCGGTCGACGACCGACTCGGATACGGAGCGGTGCGATCGCGGCTCGAAGAACGCGCCCGACGGCGGAGGAAAGGCCACGGGTGGGTACTCGTGTGACCGCGCCGGGTACTCGGGCACTCGACGCTCCTACAAGAATCGGCTTTAGATTTGCAGGAAGCGGATCGTGAATACCAAAAGATGGTGGAACGACCGGGGGTCCGTCGGCGGCGGGTATCCCTGGTAAGGGTCGTTCGGGTGGCTGAACGGGTGGTCGGGCGCGTGGCCGCCGTGGTGCGCCATGCGGAGCGGCGCGTGCCCGTCTCGCATGTCGTCGGTCGGGCGGTCGTGGGCGAACGGCGGGGGCGGGATCCGCGGGCCGCCTTCGCGCAGCTGCACATCGCGCGCAAAGGACGACTGGAGCTGGCGCGAGTGCTCGCGGCGCATCATGGGCTTCCATATGCGCTTGCGTGCGTTCGTGAACCAGTTGGTGAGCTGCTTCATGTTGATACCCGTCTTCTCGAGTAGCATCTTCTTGTCTTCGTCCGTCGGGTACGGGTGCTTGACGTGCTCGGGCGAGAGCATCCACGTCTTGAGGATGGCGACGGTCGCCGGCGGGAGCTCGCGCCGAGGCTTGCGCACGTCGCCCGGCGCCGTGTTCTCATCGTGGTCCTTCTCATCGCTCGAGCCGCCATCGTCGTCGTCGTGGCCGACCTCGTCCTTGACCCGCGGCGATGCGGCCGCCTGCTTCTGCTCCTCAACCAGCATCGTCGTCGTCATGGCCGATCAGGATGGATGAGTGACAGGATGGATTCGCTTGTTGGGACATTGGGACCCCTGGGACAGACTACTCTCTACCTCCTCCGTAGCTCTTGGCCATGACGACCAATCACAGCTGCTCAACGTCATTATTTTGACCAATCGCGTGCGGTAGCAGCCCTCGCCTCTGACACACCTCTGACAAGTGATATGCAACCCCCCACAACGTATTTTCTATCCGGATAATCCTCCCGCCGACGCGTCGACTAGAACGGATGCCGTCGACTAAACCCAGCACGACCCACTGCCTTGAAATAATAAAGTAGAAGAATTTATGGTGCCCGGTACTATTCGGTGCTTGCTTCTTGTGTGTGGGCCTACTCGTGGGCTTGGGCGATAGAGACATTACCGTACCTTGCTGTAGTAGCCAAGAGCGTCGTATCGCTACGATCTTGACCGGATTGATGCGAATGAATGGACGCGCTCAATGCTGATCTCCGAACTGGGATGTCTAAACTGGGTTTTATTGTGTGGCGCTGCGTCATTCGCTTTCCCACATTCCTACTGAGTACAGGCGGATTGTAGTCAATCGTCAACGGGTGTCTGAAATTACGGTACGAAGGTGCTCTGCCATGATGAGCCCGCACATGAGATCCAAAGCTTGCACCGGATGCGCGCAGATAAATTGATAGGTGTGGTAGCAGTAGTTGCGTTGGGGGCACGACATGCCAATGCTCCATGATGGCTCACGCGACGTTTTAGTATAAGTTCTCAAACCACCGTTTAGTCAAAGTTTAGTGGACACTGCGCCGGATACTCGAGCCGGACTGGAAACCATCAGTTGGTCATCCGGATAATGCGACCAGGAGGTCCCCCTGTTGAACTTCAACGGCTCTCGATGGCTTGAAACCTCGGGCAAGTATCGCCGTCCATGACACACCCGCTCTCTCCCCCCACAGCGTGGTGTCTATGACATTGCCCGATTCCTCTCGCTCAAAGTACAATCTTGAAAGTGACCGAGGCGAGTGTGTCACTGCTCCATCAACACGAGCACGACGCGGCGGCGAGTGCAACGGCGGGCGCCCTTTTTCAGGCGCACCCGTGGGGGCAGACCAGGTCTGCCATCACGCACATTTGACCCAATGCGAGGTACTGACCATCCGGATACGACCCGAGTTGGCGCTTTGGATTCGCGCACGACCGTGATATGGCGCCAACCAGGAGGTCCTTCACCATGTCGTCGTGCGACGCTCCTTGCGTCATCGTGTCGCAGGAGACATCCGGATAAATGTACTTGGTCCAACAAGGGCGATGTCGCATTCGGTCAGCGCGCGACAAAAAGGCAAGGGGCGCACGCAAATCACTTTGTGTACCTTCTTCGCACACTACAATCTACCCACCTTGTTAGAGCTCCTTGTCAGGCTCCCCACACCCAGTGCCCCACACCATCTATCCAGTGCACGCGCCGGCGCCATTTCGTTGGGTGTTTTCAGAATGTATCAGCACTGCACGGGGTTTTCCCGCAACGTTTTGGTCAACAAAAGATGAAAAGCAGGGGTTACCCTGCTCCGCTGCGAGGGCCGCAAAATACATGGAGGATTCGCTGGTGTGGTGCTTCTGTCACACACGACCAGTAGACACGTGCGGGGCACAGTGCCCCTCCCACTCAAGTCGACATGGCCGTGATGACTCGATGATGTCGGCTTCCTCGCTTTTTCGGTTCCTCTTTGGATTGGCTGGCTGATTTCGACCAATCAGAACTAGTACAAGTGCCAACACGCAAGGCCATTGGTGCGTTTGGTAGAGCCAATCAAACGCAGTCTGGGAATCGATGCGCACGCCTGCCAAGCGCCAGAAGGTCGAGGCCGAGCCGGCCGTCGTCGCCGAATACGAGATCCGCGATGGTGACCACGACACGTGCTATCGGCCTAGCTTATGAAGATGCGTCTAGGCTACCGCTACGTCAAGCCCTACGTCTTCAAGTTCATGGCGCACGCCAAGCAGCGCTGGTTCAATCGGACGCTCATGGACGTCTTCACGACCGAGTTTGGCGCCTTCTCGCCCGACTACTACGTACACAACCCTCTTCCGTTATCGCCACGCATACAATCTCTAACGATACTTAGGTCATGGCCATTGAATCCGGTCGGATCACGCTGAATGGTGCGCGCACGACGCCCGAGACGGTCCTCAAGAACGGCGACCTCATCTGTCACATGGTCCGTTGCCATCCAAGCGACCGATATACTCTACTACTGCGAACACTTTTGTACCATTTCAATAGACGCACCGCCACGAACCACCCGTCGTTGGCGACGATATTCCAGTCGTCTACGAGACCCCCGACCTCGTACGCATGTCAGCGCTCCATCAACATCAACTTAGCGTGTTGTAGGTGGTCGTTTCCAAGCCATCGACCGTGCCGACGCACCCCTGCGGCGCCTACCGCCACAATTCGCTGGTACTCGGCTCGTCGCACCGACACTTTGGCCAACGTTGGTAGCATTTCATTGTCCTGGCGAGCCGCCCCGACTTGACGGCACTGCACATTGTGCACCGCTTGGATCGCTTGACGTCCGGTAAGCAAGCAAACACGGTTGCAGTACGGCAGCAAAGCCTCGTACGACGCGTAGGTGTCGTGGTTTTAGCCAAGACGACGGCCAAGGCCCGTGAACTCTCCAAATGCATTGGTACACCCTGTCGCGACGATGGCAACCGATCGACATTTGCGTAGCGGACCGCACGGCGTCGAAAGCATACTTGGCGCGCGTTCGGGGCGAGTACCCCGAGACTCTCACGCCCGAGTGGCTCGCGTCCGCATCGGCGACAGCGGCGGCGACGACACCGCTCGCTGTGCTGTCGATGGAGTCGCCGACGCAGCTCCGTATCCAGTGCCCGCTCGCTTGCAAGTCGCACAAGGACGGCGTCTGGGGCTGCGCGGTGCCCGGTGAAGACGCCAAGGAGGCCGAGACCGTTGTTGAGTTTCGCTGTGCTATGGACGACGGCACGAGCGTCGTCTACGTCAAGGTGCGTCGCGGCATCCCCGACTTGACGACACTCTTTTCCTAGCCGGTGACGGGCCGCACGCACCAAATTCGACTCCACCTGCAGCTCCTTGGTTTGCCGATCGCCAACGACCCGTGCTACGGCGGCCAACTGCATTTTGGCCGGCACGATCTTCTCGCGACCGAAGACAATAGTGTCATCAAGGACAAGGACGACGACACCGCGTACTTTACACCGCGTCTGGACGGCGAGTCGGACGATGCGTTTATGCAGCGAACGTGCACGCGGTGCCAGACCGTGCAAGTCAACCGCAACCACTTGCATTGCTCGTGCATTTGGCTCCACGCGCTCGAGTACAAGGTACACCATTGTGGTTGAACCGGCGAGATATTCACTGCCACCATTGGCTTAGCTCGCGGGCGATACGTTTGCCGTGCCGCCGCCCGCGTGGGCCACGCCAAAGAGCTCGTCCAGCAGCGCCTTGTAGTGAACTACGGAGCCCGGATGCGGAAAGAGGTCGGCCGCAATTAGGTACAAGTCGTCGTCGGACAGCGGCGCCTGCAGACTGCGTAGCGCCGCCATGACTGCATCTTCCCCTACGCAGGATACCACACCAACAGTCAATGAAGAGGATTGATCGATCGTCCAAGCGTACGCAGATAGCCACTGCCGTCACTGTCGAGCGCGACGAGGGCTTGCCGGAGACTGTACTTGGCGCCATCGAGTGCGGTCGTGAGGAGCGTCCGCACCGCCGGGTCCATCGCTGTCACGTTGGTGGCCGTTGTCGCGTGCTGTCGGAACTTGGCTTTGGCCCGCTCCACAATGGCGTGGGACCGCGCCTGCGTCGCGTCGGCGGCGCGTTGGGCTTTGGAGAGGCCGCTTCCCACGCCCATGGCCGTCGTCGTGTAGAGCGCCGCGCGCATCTCGGGTGTCAATACATTGGCCGCACGGGGTGTCGATGCAACTGACGAGGCGGTCGACGAGGGCGACTTGGTCGCCGCGCAGGACGTCGAGGCCCGCTCCGTGAGCGCCTGCGCCACCTGCGCGTGCATGTGTTGGCTCGTGGTTTGGAACCGCCCCGACAGTAGCGACCCGATCTCGGTCGGTGTCATCCGCGAGGTGTTGGCGCGCGCCGACGTCGGACGTGACGAGTGCCGTGACGCAGGCGACGCGATCGACGAAGCGGCTACTGAGAGTGACTGGTGCGACGAGCCTGCGGTCGTCGCCAAGGAGACGGAGCGCAAAGACGCTGTGACGGCTGGTTCGTGGTCGGAGTCGCGCTCCGGTGCATCGTTGGCAGGTAGCGGAACGACGCCAAAGCGCGCCGTGTCGAGCTGCGAGCGATAGGTCGGGATGTACAAGGGACCTCGCTCGTCGATTAGAGTCGGTTGGGGCGGCAGCCGGGGCACGCTCTCGTCCTTCTCGGTAGTCTCATCACATTCGAGGTCGTTGTTGTTGCCATGGCTCCAGTCGCAGTCGTACACATCGTCAAAGAACGGGTGGTAGTCGACAAAGCCGTCGACCGACATGTACGACGCCCAGAGTCCGTCGGGCGCCGACAGCGCGTAAAACGCGAGGAGACGCTCGAGCAGTCGTACCGACGCATGCCCCGACGCCTCCGTGTCGAGGCGGGCGATCGATAAGCGGAGGTCGGCCGGAATCTAACACACAGTCCATGCACCGTGTGCAACAAAGTTGGTTGTACCTGCCGCAGTTGGCTCCAGAACGAGCCGTCGCTGGGTGTCGCCGCCGCCGACGCGCGCACGACGGCATCGCAAAACTCGGCAGCCGTTGTTGTTGGTTGCACAAAGCGCCGGGCGAGCGTGAGCCACGCATGCGGGTGGAGTTGTTGGTCGAGATGCAGTCGGCGTCGGAGCACGCCGTTCATGCCGTCGACACCGAGACAGCCGCGACTTTCCGCGTTGCAGACGCGCCGCAGGTTGGTGCCGCGCTCGTGCAAGACCGACGCCACTGTGGCGAGCACGCGATCAATGTCGGCGTGCTCAAAGACGTCCGGGTGCGCCTCGCAGTACGCCAGCGTTTGTTCATCGGCCTCGACGAGCCGGAACGGTTGCTTGGGTGTTAGTGCGAACGTCAGCGTTGCGCCAACGCAGCAGTCGGACGGCCTCAAGTACCGTGCTGCGCCACCGTGCGTGAGCACCTTGTATGCCCCGCGATCGAGGAATTTCCCGCCGCGGAGCCCCGAGTTGGGTACCGTTGGCTCGAAGATCGCTAGCGTCTCGTCGGCGAGGTGCAATGTCAGCACAAACGACCGTGCGGCTTGCGCTGGCGGTAGCTCGGGGGTTGGAGCAAAGACGGCTCGAAAGCGCAGGCACTGCGTGGTGGCCCGGCGGTCAGGCTTCTTGGCCTTTTCGCGCACCAGATGCTGGAGAAGCGACCCATTGTTGTCGTCTTCGTCGCCGTTGGGTGTATCGTTCGAGCGTTGGTTGCTACTGGGCGTGGCGGTCTCGGACGGCTCTTGCGTGATGCCATGCTGCGTGAGGTAGTACTGCCGCGTAAACGCGTCGCAGTCGTCGAGATGAAAGACGCGGCCAAAGACGAAGATCTCGTTGCCGCAGCGCAAGTCCAATGGCCGCACATGTCGCGTCTCGTCCTCTATCGGCAGGGACCTAGCCACCGTTCAAGGCATTGCAATGTAGCGTTGGTGGCATGCACATGACGTACCGCCGTGAGAGAAGCACAGCGAACGACTGGCCGCTGCCACGCCTATCCCGCGCCGCCCGGGCCTCGCGCACTTCGACCGTGTCGTCGGCGAGGAAGTAGTGGAGCGTGAAGCGGCGCGTCTCGGGGTACAACGGATGCGGGTCTTCCCACGAGCAATAGAAGCGAAGCACGTGCGTGCTGTACTGCATAAACTGCTGCACTTTGGCGGCTGCCTTCTTCTTCTCTGCTGGCTGTGGCGGCTGCTTGATCGCTGCAATCTCGCTGTAGGCAGAGGCCGACGGCGTGTCGGGGTACGGCAGCGCCATTGGCTGGGGCCGCTGCAGTACGTTGGCGTAATACTCGCGCGTCGTCGCGTCGCAGTCGACGAGTTTGCACGTGTGGCCTTTGAGTCGCATCGTTTGACCAAGGGCAAAGTCGGACGGCGTGAACGGCATGCCGGTCGGCGACAGCAGTGCTGATCGCGCGAGGAAGCGTCCTTGCGCGAGGCCGCTGTTGGCGACGCGCGGCTCGGTCGCTTCAATGGACGCGTCCGAGAGGTAGTAGAGCAGCACGAGCCGGCGCACGCGCGACGGGCCCGACGGCGCCTCGAGCGACAGCGGCGCGTAGTGCGACGGCTCTTCAAAGTAGCAGTAAAACCGCAGCACTTGGCGATCGTTCGTGACCCACGTTGGCAGTGACGGCGTGCTATAATAGCGGGAGCTTGGCTCGGAAAAGGACGCCTTGGGCTCGGGCGGTGGGTCCTCTCGCGGCGGCGGCGGCCCGTCGCGCCGCATCGCTGGCACGACGTCCTCATTGCCTGCCAGGATGCGCGCCATGGCGTGGCTCTTCCGGTGGTGCGCTTTGGTGATCTGCGCATGATGCAGCGTACGCAGACCCGGAATCATGTGTGGAAGCCCACTGCTGCCATCGGGCGTCGCCATCGGGCGCGATCCAAAGGTGTCAAGGTGGCATCTGCCACGTCGACAATAGGCGGCATCTGCCACGTCAACAAAAGACGGCACCTGCCACGGTGTAAAAGTGGCATATGCCGCCCGACACATAGACGAGCACCGACTAACGGATCTTCAACGGGCGCGCCTTTTTTAAACAGGCAAAAATAGCTGCAATATCCCAGAGGCGCAGCTAGTCCCGCGCTGCGAGCTCGCGACACGAGGAGAAACCACGACGTCCGTTCACCCGGTAGCCCTCGGCAGCGACGGGCCGGCGCCACATCACCTGGCGTCAACAACGACGACCAGTATGACCAAGGTGGCGCCGGCGCGGAGTGTCTTTGGTATCACCAAAGACGGTCTGCGCAACATCAACGTCGACCAGATGATGGAGGCCAATGTCAAGGCGTTAGCAGACCTCGGTGGCCTTGACGGCCTCGCCAAGAAGCTCTGCGTCGATCTGCACATGGGCCTCTCGAGCAACGAAGCCTCGCAGGGCTTTCTCGATCGGCGCAGCGCGTTTGGCATGAACGCCTTTGAAGACGCACCGTCCAAGTCGTTCATCACACTCTTCCTCGAGACGCTCAAGGACACGACGATCCTTGTGCTCATTGCCGCGTCGGTCGCATCGACCATCACCGGGTCGATCGAAGACCCGAAGAAAGGCTGGACCGAAGGCGTCACCATCATGATTGCGGTCCTCCTTGTCGGCCTCGTGAGTGCTACGTCCAACTATACAAAAGAAAAGCAATTCCGCGCGCTGAGCGCCAAGAACGACGAATTCAACGTCAAGGTGCGACGACACCTTGTCCACATTTGTGTAGCAAGATAGCATGTAGGTGCTGCGCGATGGTCAGTACGACGCGGTGCTCGTCACTGAGATCAACGTGGGCGACATCATCGTGCTCGAAAATGGCGACCGGATTCCTGGCGACGCCGTCCTTGTCCGCGGCCAAGACGTCAAGTGCAACGAGTCGAGCTTGACGGGCGAGCCCGACGATGTCAAGAAGAATGCTTCGTCTGATCCGTTCTTACTCTCGGGCTGCTTGATCTCGGCCGGGCGCTGCGAGGCCGTCGTGACCGCGATCGGTCTCGAGTCGCGCTGGGGCCGCATCAAATCCAAGCTCGTCCGCGAAGAGCGACCGACGCCGCTCATGGAGAAGCTGGAGGACATGGTCAAGATCATCGGGTACGGTGGTATCTTCTTTTCCGTCGCCACCATGGCCGTGACCATCCTCATGTACACCTTTTCCACCAATCGCACGGGTACATTTCGATCAATTTATCAATGTATCCACTTTGCAACGGACTCAGCCATGTCTCTAGTGGGCTGGACCGACATCATCATCCACACGTTCATCATTGGCGTGACCATCATCGTTGTCGCGATCCCCGAGGGGCTTCCGCTGGCCGTGACCATCTCGCTGTCGTACTCGACCAAGAAGATGCTACTGGACCACAATCTCATTCGGGTCCTCGCGGCGTGTGAGACGATGGGCAACGTCACGAGCATTTGCAGCGACAAGACGGGCACGTTGACTGAGAACCGCATGACGGTCGTGTCCCTCTGGGTCAGTGGTCGACGGTACGACGCCCCGCTTGACGCTATCGAGCTCGATGCCAAGTTTCTCGACGAGCTCAGCATCAACATTTGCGTCAACTCGACGGCCGAGCTCACGAATCACGGCACGACGGTCCAAGGCAATAAGACCGAAGGCGCGCTCTTGCTCTGGCTTCAGTCGCGCAAACTTGCATATGCAACCGTGCGCGCGACGCACTTTCAGCCGGGCGACCGCATGTTTTCATTCTCGTCCGAGCGCAAAACCATGACAACCATTGTCCGACGCGCGAACGGCACCTTCCGCCTCTTTAGCAAGGTACGTCGAGCAGCCCAAACACTGAGAAGACGAGGTCGGCGCGACTAGGGCGCGGCGGAAATCGTGCTCCAGCGCTGCAGCACCATGCTCACGTTCCAGCGCACCGAGGTGCCGCTGTCGCCGTCGACGCTCCAGGACATCAACAACGTCATTGTCGAGATGGCCGACCGCGCGCTGCGCACGATCTGCGTCGCGTACCGAGACTACACGGAGGCGGAGCTCCCGGCCGACCTCTCGACGCTCAATGAGCCGCCGGAAGCGAATATGGTGTGTGTTGCAATCTTTGGCATCATGGATCCGCTGCGCCCCGACGTCACCGAGAGCGTCGCGGCCTGTCGACGCGCCGGCATCACTGTGCGCATGGTGACCGGCGACAACATCCACACCGCCAAAGCGATCGCGCAACAGTGCGGTATTTTGACAAAAGACGGGGTTGCGCTCGAAGGGCCCGTGTTTCGAACCATGCCGATCGACCAGTTGACGCCGCTCTTGCCGCGGCTTCAAGTGCTCGCGCGGTCGTCGCCCGACGACAAGTACAAGCTCGTCAACCTACTGCGCGACCGCAACGAGATTGTCGGGGTCACGGGCGACGGCACGAACGACGCGCCGGCGCTCCGGGCCGCCGATGTCGGGCTCGCCATGGGCATTGCTGGCACGGACCTCGCCAAAGAAGCTTCGGGTACGCTGATATACGAAGCTCTGTTGCAAAGTGTGATATGTTACAATAGACATAATCATTATGGACGACAAGTTTTCGTCCATCAAAAAGTCGGTGCTCTGGGGCCGGTGCGTCTACGACAACATCCGCAAGTTTATCCAGTTTCAGCTCACCGTCAACATTGTACCCCGTCGCAGCAAGGATGGAGAGATCGAATAAAGTACTGTGCTGTAGGTGGCGCTGACGCTGACGCTTCTGAGTGCGATTGCGGGCTTGGACCCGCCCTTGAACGCTGTCATGATGCTCTGGGTCAACCTCATCATGGACACGATGGGTGCGCTGGCGCTCGGCACCGAGACGCCGAAGGACGACCTTCTCTTCCGCCGACCGTACCGCAAAGACGCGTCGATTGTAAGTCGCATCATGATCAAGAACATTCTCGTGCAAAGCGCGTTCCAGGTACTTTGATTTCTTGAGCTTTGCGTTCATTGAGCTATTTTTGTTGGTAGCTCATTTTGCTCCTCTTGTTGCTCTTTTACGGGGCGACGATGGTCGGTGTGCATCCGAGCGGCCACTGTCTTGCGACGACGTTTTCGCTGAAATCGAATCTCAACGTGACGTTACCACCCGATTGCGTCACGATGACAGACCACCCGTGTCCGCACTTGCACTGCTCGCTCTACACGACAACGACGCCCTTGGACGACGTGCCGCTCGCGTGCGTCGACGCTGTGTGCACGCGCGTCGACTTTTCGCTCAACACGTTCATCTTCAACGTGTTTGTGTTTTGCCAAGTGTTTAACGAGATCAACGCGCGCAACGTCTCGAACGACTGGAACGTCTTCAAGGACCTCGCGACCAACGGCGTCTTTGGCAGCATCCTCGTCGCGACCGTGCTCGTCCAGATCTTATTCGTGCAAGTGGGCGGCGACTTTACCAAAACGACGGCGCTCGATGCGAGCCATTGGGTCTACTCGATTCTACTCGGGTCGCTTTCGCTGCCGCTAGGTCCGTCACGCCGAATCTTTCAAAGTCGTATACCGTTCGCGTAGGGATCGCGATGCGCTTTATACCAGTGTACGAAGACGAATCGTCCTTTGCCAACCCCAACAACCTCGACGTCCACGCCACGAACGACACAGCGTGCGAGACTTAGTTAATACACATGGATTATTTTGATAAATCCTCGACGTGATCGACGACACCCGCTAGCCCGACCGTCCAAACCCTTTGCTCGTCGTCTCAGCAACATAAAAAAGGAGGTAGCCCGTTTCAGCCCCCGGGCCTGTGAGCACTGCGGCCTGGTCGACCTAGAGACAGCGTGAAGTTGAGTACGACCCATGCGGGTGGCCGACCTCGGTGACAAGCGCGTCGTTGTAGCGCGTCCACTTTGTACTCTGGTTGTGCACGTCGGTGATGTAGTGGCCCTCGCCCGCCGTGCGCCCGAGGTGTCGGACGATGCTCTAATTCCCAGCGATGTCTATCGATGGGAAGGACAATCTGTTGCCTACCTTGAGCCGATAGGTCGGAGTCCTTTTGGCGTCCGATGCCTGGAACGCACTCAAGTCGACCGAGGTGGGCGCGACGACGACGTCATTGCGCTTGACGAGTGTCATACTCGCCGTACTGATCTCAAACCGCTTGAGATGCAGCACGAGGATCGGTGGCGCGTGCGTGATCGTTGCATTCACCGTGGCCGAGGACCCGTGCTCGCACTTTTCACACTTGAGGTCGACCGTGTGTGTTTGGAAATGCTAGTCCAGGCTACTAAAACCAAGAAATCCAATGAAACTACGTACGGTCGTCAAGAGCTGGGGCACGTCCAACGCGGGGGCGGGCGGCTCGGGCGGTGCGTCGTCCCACGCGAAAAAGTCGCACTGCGGGAACTGGTTGCACTTGATGAACGGACGCCCTTTGTTCGTGCCGTCCTTCTTGGTAATCAAGCGCTTGACGGGCTTTTGGCACTTGCACAAGGGCGCTGGCTTACGCGGCGCTACCGCTGGAAAGTCCAGTGAGAGCTCCCGGAACGTTTCCTGAACGTGCCGACGGTACGCGCACGAAGCGCACGTGAGGGTCTGCGTGACCGTGGTGCGAAAATACGTCGTAGTCGGCAAGAGCGCTTCCACGTCGGTCGGTGACAACGTTGGATGAGCGGCCATCGCCGTGTCGTCCCCAAAGTACTGGTGCAGTGACTGCTTGCTCGCCTTCTTCTCGGCCGCGTCCTGCGAAAGAACGTCCAGTTGCGACTGCACGACGCCCTTCATGTCGGCCTCGAGCTCGTTGAGAACGTTCATGAGGAATTCGTGGGCATCTTGCTGGGCGTTGCTACCGCGAGCATGAGATACATCGGTGGCACGTAGATCGTACTTGGCAAAGGCTTGCGCGCGCTTGCCGACAACCGCCTTCATCGGACTCGGGTCCAAGTGCGCCGACTGCACGTGGCCCTTGATCATCGTCTTGAAGACGAGATAGAAGTCATAGGCGTCCTTGACTGCCTTGACCTGCCAATGGCCTTTGGGCAGCGGCACCTTGGTCAATGATGTGACCCACGCATCGTCACGGAGCGTCGACACAAAGGCCTGCAGCGACAAGAGCGCTTGCAGCACAGCATTCATATAGCACGTGTTGCCGAGGTTCACGAGTCCTTGCTGGCTCTTGGCCACGGGATTGGCCGCCGCCGCTTGGCGCTTGGCACTACATGTTTGCTCGTTGCGATGGCACTTTTCACAGAGAGCGTAGAGCGTACCCGAGGAGGAGCTCGGAGAAACCATCTTTGGCCACCGGCTTCTTCTCCGTGACTTTGTCGACGTCGTCGTCGTCATCGAGTACTTCGATCGGATTGGTCGCGTTGGTCTTGGTCTTGGTCTCGATGACCGGCGGCAGGTCCTTGGTGCTGGGTGTCGGAGACGCCTTGGGCGTTGTAGCGACGAGAGGCGACTCGGCGCGTTTGCTCGGGGTTGTCATCGTGGGATGGGACGGCGCCGCGTCAAGGTTGAGCTTGGGCGGTAGCCGGCGCACGGGGCTTGCTTTTGTCGGTGGCGGTGGCGGCGACGACAGGTCCATGAGCAGCTTTGTTGGGATGAGCCTCGTCTTGCCTTTGGGCGAGTAGAGCATCGCATCGAGCTCGCGCATGCGGTCGCCCATAGGACGCACCTTGCGCACGGGCGACGGCGAGTCCAAGCCACCACGCATCTCGTCGTCGTCGTCGTCGTCGTCAAAGGTCTTGGCGCGGGTCGGCGTCGGGTGCGCGGCGCTCGGGCTCAGCCATCGCTTCTGCGCCGTGTTTTTTCCAAACGGCGACCGGAACGGCGATTTGGTCGTCGAGTAGTCGGGCTGCTTGCGCGGCGACGACGGCGACAGCGACAGGCGAGGATGCACCCGGCTCGGCGACTGCTGCAGAATCGACGGGACCTTCTTGCGCACGGGGCTGCCAAACGACAGCATGGGCTCATCTTTCTTGATCGTCGCAGGAATCGCGCTGGGCGGTGGCGGCGGCGGCTCGTCGACGACCGGCGGCTCTTCTTTGTGCGCCACGAGCTTCTTCCGGAATGCCAGCCGCATCTTCATCGTCGGCTTGGCGAGGTCGTCGATCGTCTTGGTCAGCGCAGCGTGGAAGCCTCGGCCCGATGACGACTTCCACAGCGCCTTCTTCATCTGGAACTTCATGACGTGCTTCTTCTTGTCGGCGACCGATACCTCGACGACCGGGCCGCCTGTGGTTGTCGCCTCGACGGTCGCATGCTGCAGCCAGATGAAGGCCTCGCCGCTGCGGAGCCGCGCGTTCCCAGTCTCGACCGAGATCTCGACCCATGCTTCCGCGGGGCGGCCGTCGACGACGACCGGCGACGTGCAATCGGCCCGCTGCTGCGTCGGTGCCATCGCGAATGAATATCCGCGGCCGCTTGGTTTTATTTCAACATTTTATTCGGCATACAAAACCGAGGTGAAACAAAAGAATCGAATTAAATTGCGCCGGGCCTTTGGCGGGAAATCGCAGAGCCACAGGTACGCGAGCAGGACGCCGAGGACGACGGGGCCATGGCAGCCATGGACGATGGACGGGCGCTCGACGAGGGGGCGACGATGCATGCGACCGATGGATCCGGCCGAGGACATGGGAGGAATGCGACGAAGGCTGGCGAAGATGGATCCGGAGATAAGGGCAGTGAGGCCAAGGAGAGGCAACGGAGCTCACGATGATGGCCCGCAACCAAGAGATCGACGCCCGAGGTACGCGGTGCGAAGACGGGAGGACGACGAGAAAGCTTCGACATGGAGGATGCGAGCGCGAATGGGGGCAGCTCATGCACCGGTATGAGTGTACCTGGACGATCCTCTCCATCGTCGCGTCTATGGCGAGGAAGAGCTCTCTCATGACAGTAGGTAGCCCGAGATGGCGGCGACTCGGCGACGTCGATCGCACATGCATCTCGACGAACTGAGCATCCAGCCCCGGATGCCAGCCCCTCTACTGTAGAGGGGCTGGATGCTCGGTTCGTCGAGATGCATGTGCTTCCTGCAACGACCTTGATGAAGCCTCTGACATGGTACCTGCGATCGACGTCGCCGAGTCGCCGCCATCTCTGTACCGCATGCTCCTGCCATCGCATGCTTCCCATGCCCTTTCAAGACCTCATCATGCTCCACCGTGAATGACATATTGGTAGGTTACTAGACTTGCAGCAGCGGCGACTTTTCGTCGACCTTGCGGGGTGTCGGCGGCGGCAGCGTCGTCATATTGGGCGGCGTGTACCACTTGAGCAGCAACGACGACGTGACGACCGAGACGGACGAGAACGCCATGGCCGCGCCCGCAAACATGGGCGGGATCGACACGCTCCAATGGTACAGAACGCCGGCCGACAACGGCAGCAACACCAAGTTGTACCCCATCGCCCACACAAAGTTGAGCTGGATGCGCCGGTAGATCGTCCGCGACAGGTCCAGCGCCGTCACGACGTCTTGGAGCTTGGACTTCATGAGCACCATCTGCGCCGTCTCGATCGCAATGTCCGTGCCAGCGCCGATCGCGACGCCGAGGTCGGCTTGCGCCAGCGCCGGCGCGTCGTTGATACCGTCGCCCACCATGGCCACGATACGACCTTGGGCCTGGAGCTCTTGGACTTTGGCGGTTTTGTTGGCCGGGAGCACCTCGGCCATGACGTGGTGGCTGGGCAAACCGATTTGGGCGGCGACCCAGTGCGCGGTGCGACGGTTGTCGCCCGTGACCATGTAGACGTCGAGGCCGAGCGCATGGAGGTGTGCGATCGTCTGCTTGGCCTCGGGGCGCGGCGCATCCGAGATGCCAATGAGCGCAACGACCGAGTCACAGATCCCCATGTAGATGACGGTCTTGCCGGCTTCTTCCAGACGAAGACGATGGTTCGCGACAGCCGCGGGGACCGCCATGCCACAGTCTTCCATGTAGTCGAGGTTGCCGAGATGAACGACTGCCTTGGAGAGCTCGACCGAGATACCCTTGCCCGAGACGGCGGTGAACGCCTCGGGCTGCTCCAATGGCTTGGCCAGCAGCTTGCCGCGGTTCACGATCGCACGACCCAACGTGTGCTCGCTACCGAGCTCCGCCGACGCCGCCAGCCACATCAGGGCGTCCGACGTCCACTCTTTGCTCAGCACAATCACGTCCGTCACGCTCGGCGTCCCGTTCGTCAACGTCCCCGTCTTGTCAAACAACACCGTGTTCACCTTGTGCGCGACCTCGAGCGGCTCGCCGCCTTTGATGAGGATGCCATGCGTCGCGCCCACACCCGTGCCGACCATGACGGCCGTCGGCGTCGCCAGACCCAAAGCGCACGGACAGGCGACCACGAGCGTCGAGATGGCAAAGTTGAACGCAAAGAGGAACCC